TTTTTCCAGTAATGTTGCTTTTTTGGAGCTTTTTCCACAGACCAACTCTCCATACAGAATCGAACGCCTTACTAAAATCGATGAACGTACAATAAAGTTTTTTTCCTAATGAAAAATATATTGAGATTAAAGAATACAATACAAACATGTTATCGGTTGTAGAATGACCCTTTCTAAACCCAGCTTGTGCACTGCTTATCAGGTCAAATTCGTCAGAAATTTTATTTAAACGATTATTAATAACCGAAGTGAAAACTTTGCCAAGGCACGAGACTAAAGTGATCGCTCTATAATTATCCGGATCTTTTGGATCGCCTTTGTTTTTATATACTGGTTTTATAATACCGATCTTCCATAGTTATATAGACACAGGCTCAGGACAACACAGGTAATATGTAGCTATATAGACACAGGCTCAGGACAACACAAGTAATATGTAAGTATGTAGACACAGGCTGAGGACAAAACAGGTAATATGTAAGTATGTAGACACAGGCTCAGGACAACACAGGTAATATGTAAGTATGTAGACACAGGCTGAGGACAACACAGGTAATATGCAAGTATGTAGACACAGGCTCAGGACAACACAGGTTATATGTAAGTATGTAGACACAGACTCAGGACAATACAGGTAATATGTAAGTATGTAGACACAGACTCAGGACAACACAGGTAATATGTATGTAGACACAGGTTCAGGACAACACAGGTAATATGTAGCTATATAGACACAGGCTCAGGACAACACAAGTAATATGTAAGTATGTAGACACAGGCTGAGGACAAAACAGGTAATATGTAAGTATGTAGACACAGGCTCAGGACAACACAGGTACAATGCATATATACAGTGCAAATTATACAGTACAGATAAATACAAACAAAGAATACAACACTCCGACCATGCATACATGATAAAATTACAGCGATAGTGTAAAAAGTGTTTTTTTTTCACCTTAAACAGTAATACATCTCTTTTTTAGCTCACCTGCCCGAAGGGCAAGTAATTAGCTTATGCCATGGCGCAGCGTCTGTTGTCCTTCTGTCATCCGTCCATCAACTTTTCCTTTAAAATGCTACTAGTCCTGAATGGCCCAGTAGATTTCACTTTGGTCTTGAGCATCCTTAGGCCAAGACGACTCAATTTTGTATAAACAATGGGTGTGGCCCCTCTGGGGGCAGAGGGGTTGGGCCAAATAGAGGTAAAACCTTTAAAATCCTTCTTCTACCATAGGGATTAAGGGAGTTCATCCTAATTTGGCCTGGAGCATCCTTGGGCCAAGGGGTCTAAGTTTTTTTGAATAAACGGTGGGTGTGGCCCCCCTGGGGGCAGAGGTGTAGGATTTTGTCTGGTGCATGCTTGGGCCAAGGGGATTCAATTTTGTATAGATGGTGGGTGTGGCCCCTCTCGGACAAGAGGGGTGGGGCCAAATAGGGGAAATAGAGGTAAAACCTTTAAAATCCTTCTTTTACAATAGGGATTAAGGGATTTTATCCTTATTTCGTCTGGAGAAAAGTTGGGCTAAGGGGTCTTAGTTTTATATAAACGGTGGGTGTGGCCCCACTGGGGGCAGAGGGATGGGGCTGAATAGGATAAATTGAGGTAAACGTTAAAAATCCTTCTCCTACCATAGGGAATAAGGGATTTCATCCCAATTTTGACTGGAGCATGCTTGGGCCAAGGGGACTCAATTATTTTGTATCTGGGGGTAGAAGGGTGGGGCCAAATAGGGGAAATAGAGGTAAAACCTTTAAAATTCTTCTTCTACTATAGGGATTAAGGGATTTCATTCTAATTTGGTCTGGAGCATGCTTGGGTCAAGGGGTCTAAGTTTTGAATAAATGGTGGGTGTTGCCCCTGGGTGGGGCAGAATAGGGGAAATAGAGGTAAAACCTTTCCTTCTACTACCATAGAGACTAACGGATTTATCCCAATTTTGTCCCCGTCCCCCTGGGGGGCAGAGGGGTTGGGCCAAATAGGGGACATCCAGGTAAACCTTTAAAATCTTTCTTCTACCATAGGGATTAAGAGATTTCATCCCAATTTTGTCTGGAGCATCTTTGGGCCAAAGGGACTCAATTTTGTATAGGTGGGGTGTGGGGGCAAAGGAGCGGGGCCCAATAGGGGAAATTTAGGTGAAACCTTTAAAATCCTTCTTCTATCGTAGGGATTAAGGGTTTTCATCCCAATGTGGTCTGGAGCATCCTTGGGTCAAGGGGACTCAGTTTTGTATAAATGTTGGGTTTCGACCCCCTGTGGGAAGAGTTGCGGGCCCAATAGAGGTAAAAACCTTTTAAATCCTTCTTCTACCATAAGAATTAAGGAATTTCATCCCTATTTAGCCTGGATCATTGGGACTAAATTTTGTTAAACACAGGGTGAGAACCCTCTGGGTGCTGAGAGTTGCAGGGCCCAATAGGTCAATTTGAGGTTCAAATCTTTCTTTATCTGTACCGTTGGAGGGATTTTATGTTCCGGTAATAAGAATAATTTCCCATGGTTGCTTTATTATCCAGGTGAGCGATACAGGCCCTCTGGGCCTCTTGTTTGACTTTTGCTCAGAAATTTTGCTAAATTAGACAGTTCTTTATATTTCTTGTTGTCATGAAATCTAAAAAATTTGCCTTACTAGGTTTTTTATGATAACATTTTTTAATGAAACGGTTTCTTAAATCAGTATAGTGATTACTTTTAACAATAAAAGGATATTTGTCTTCGATATCACCGGTGTTACAATGTATACAAATTCTGTCTTTTCTTTCTAAACCATGAAACCTACCTGTTTCAATATTTAATATTCAACGTATGCGATGACAACCAAATTTTAGCAATTTGTTTTATATTTTGTTAACCCATAGGTTTAATTAAATACTGTTTAAGACAAAAAATACCACAGATCCACTTATAAAGAGAACACTTAGCAGATGAATTAATTTACTCTAGACACTCCTATTGAAATGTGTCATGCATTGTACATTAATAATATTCAGAACTTGACCTTCATTAGACTCTGCTTGCCATAAATATCCCAAACCTAACTTAAATAATTCGTTTCTAATGTTATTTGTCCATTCGCTGCCCTTTTCAATCATTCAAGTACTTGGTAATATCTATGTAGCAGTATAAGAAAAGATTCTGGGCCACCAATTAAGTAATTTCTTCATAGCTACATTTTTAGCTTACCTGCCCAAAGGGCAAGTCAGCTTATGCCGTGGTGCGGCAACCGGCACTATCCTGCATTCGTCCGGCATTTGAAGTTTGTTCAAAGGAATAACCTTTATCTATATTCAAGGTCACAGGGGGTCAAGTATGTTTGAAACCTTCAAATAACTTCTTTTGAATAAGCAAAAAGCTAAAAAAAAAAGTTGATATTTGGCTAGTTACATACTTGGGTGAAGGGCTACCAAGTGTTTTCATTTGACTAACCTTGACCCACTTTCAAGGTTTTATTTGGTCAAATGTGTATAAACCTATAAATGACCTTTTCTCAATATACAAAAGGTCTAGGGTGGTGATATTGGGCAAGTTGCATGCTAAGATGAAGGGCTATAAAGATTATTCAACAGAATGTCCTTGTTCGATTTTTGAAATTACAAGGGTCATATGTGATAAAATCTTTTAACATGTTCTTTTGAATGACTTGTAACCATATTTTGCCTGTAGCTTTATTATAGTCCACTATTAAGGTTACAAGTGTGACTGAGATTAATACTAGGTGAGTGATGCGGGCCCATTAGGCCTCTTGTTTCATGGGTCTGGCTACTTGGGTAATATCTTATGTACTGATAACTATATAAGATAAATTTGAGACTCAAATACTAATAACACACAGCAATATGAAATTAAAAGTATTAGTTCCTTTTCTTTTTTGACTCACATATTATATTCTTGGCACGCTTCAGAAAAAAAATAGATTTAAAAAAAAAGTGATAGAGGAAGTTATGAATTATGCAGCGATAAATGTAAAATGTAAAATAAACTCAGAAAGGAAAATACCATTATATTAAGACATGAGTAATGTTTTTCCCATGCTTGATTCCAGTCTGTTTGCAATAGAGTCTGGAGCAGGTGATGTGACAGCATGTGAAAAATCCAAGACAATGTTTGAAATTGCACAAGATGTGTTTCAAGAGAATTCTGCTCTCCATAAAGTACGCCTCGTGCGGGAATTATCTACAGACCTGACTATTCCAAGGGATCTACCTGGAAGGTAATATACTTACATGGACCTGTATATTAGGAATGTCATGGGACTTCCACAGTGACGTAGTTGAACATATAAGTGACTTTATTAGCTGGCTACACGGCATGTAGTGCCTGTAATGATGGCCTATGTCAGTCTCTCCAGCATCAATGTTTAAACAATTTCTTCTTAGAAGTCATAAGGACTAGGGTCATGATATTTCGAACCACGAGACCTATAGTAATGATATTTTGCTTGTAACTTACATGTATTTGAGTGCAGAAGTATTAAGTTGGTTCTAATAGATTATGATTTTGATTTCTGGCCTTAATAACCCTCCATGAGATACTTGCCTGTTCAGTAAACTCTTGTTAAACACAAATCATAAAATGTGATTCTTTAAGAGGTTTACACAAAATGTCAGAGAGTCTAAAACTGTAAATAGAGAAATTTGTTGTCATATATAATGGAAAAGATGAATATCTTTAATTCCAGGGTATCACTTGTTGTGACAGAGACATTTGATGCTGCTTTATTTGGGGAACGTATCATATCTACGCTGCAGCATGCCTGGAAGAACCTTCTAATGCCCCCAACATCTAGACTGGTAAGAAAACCCCAGTACTTAAGGGTATATGCTATCATATTGTAACATGAATGTCCTTTTAAGAAAGAGTTCCAAACTTCATTGACCTGTAAAATATCATTCATGAATGTAGATTTAAAATTTGTTTCAATTGTTGATACATTTTATTTATGTTTATTACCTCTTTTCATTTCAGTAATAATTACCATAACTTTAGTATGCATATACAATACCTACACCCATCTTTGTAGCCCAAAAACAAAAGATTCAAATATCCCTACCTCCCTACCGTGACGTAACCTCTATCTCGATGACAGAGCCACGGAGTGATCTCCCTTCCTCTTCCTTTTATGGCGCCTGCTGCATGCTGACGCACGGAGCTTGCTCCAATTCAAAACTTTGTTTTGTCGGTTTGGTTTGAGTGTCAACTCATATTTTTGCGCAGTTTGTGTGCCTTTTACCCATCTGCCCTTATTGATATAACTAATTGTTGTTGAAAATTATTTTTGTGCCTTTTACGGCCGGTTATTTTACTCCACGTGTGCCGGTGGTGTGCCACGGTCCGCCATTATCGTGGGTTAATTTCCGACCTCTGTTTATTTCGGTGACGGTTGTTTGTTTCGGCAAACGTTATTTATTTTAACCGTTTTCTGATTTATATTACGGGTGAAATTCTTTCTACGTTGCGTACTTTGTACTATCGTATTTTATCCTTATTTTCCCGTTTTATCTGCTTGTAAATTTTTTGTTTACGTTCGCTTTGGAGGGTATGTCTCGGTCGGGACAGCGACGAGGTAGTGCTCATGGGTGTTCCCATTTCTTTGTGGAACGGGACCCTCATGATGCCTGTCCCAGGTGTCGTCCTTGCAGTGAGGTTTCGCCTTGTGAACTTTGTTCACAGTCAAAATCTCAGGGCAAGGACTTCATTGTTCCAAAGCTACCCTCAACTTACCGTAAGACAGATTCGTCTGTTTCTTCCGGTAAGCGAGGGAAGCAGAGAGGTAGGGGTCGTGCCACCAGCTCTCTGGGGTCTGGTGGTACTGTCTCTGTTCCTGTCTCGGGGGGTCTTGCTTCGGCAAGTCCCTCTCGTGAGCAGGGGGTGGCCCTTCCTGTCCAGGAACTCCCTGGAGTAGGGGAGGGGCAGCCTGACCCTGGCTTGGCACAGCCAAGGGTCGAATTGGCCGGGAACGCCCGTAAGCTTTCGCGCTTGCCTTCGGGTAGGGACTACCGGCCGCCGGTCACTGACTCTGTCAGTGATCCCGGCATTCCAGGTGGTGCGGTCGTTGGGGACAGTCTTGGTGCCGGGCCTGTTCTTTCGGGTTCAGGTCCTGGTGTGACAACAGACTTTCTTTCGGGATTGTCTGTGTCTACCGGGATTAGTGACGCGCAGCTCACTAATCCCGGCATCAATGCTGGTCAGGCATACCCTCCCGGTCAGTTACCCGGACCCGGTCCTATTAGGTCCGGTCCCGAGTTTCATTCTTCTGGGAACCTGGGGGGTTTCCCCCCAGGGGTTGGGTTTGCTGGACAGGGGGCCGGTTTCCGGCCTCCGTTTTCCCCTGGCTTAGGGTATACGGGTGCCTGCGGGCAACCATCCTTGGGCCGCCCTTACCAGCCTGCGGATGGTTTTGGGTTGCGACAGCATCCCGGCAGTTACGGGCTTAGCCCGTACATGTCCGGGTTTCCACCTGGAGGGAGTGGCGGTCCACCTTCGCCCTTTGGGCAAGTTGGCCAGCCCCAGTCTCAGGCAGGCCAGTTTGGCCAGTTCTGGGGTCACTCCCAGCCCGCGGGACCTTTCCCCTATCCTCCGGGATATGGGTTTAACCCCATGGCATTTCCGTCATGGAATCCTTGGGGTTTGGTCTCTCCCTCGCGGAGACGTGTTAGCAGTTCTGTTGACCCCCCCCAACTTTCTGCTACTTCGGGGGCCTTATCGGCCGGTCCTAAGAAGGTGTGTCGGACCTTTAGGACTTCTGCCTCTCGGGCAGGCTCGTTGGTCTCTGGGTCCAAGGGTAGGGTTTTGGCTACTAAGCCTAAACCTACAGCCACGGCCGTTAGGCGCACTGCACCTAAACGCCGGTACGGGGAGCCTTCTCTCGGGTTGGCCCCTCTGGCTGGCCCATTTCCTCCGCCCCAGGCTTCTGGTCTGGATGGTGTGGAGGCTATGGACGTTGAGGGCGCGGGTATGGCAGAGGACAATGATGTTGTTCATCTTTCACCTGGTTGTTCGGATATAGACGCTGGTCTTTCCGAGTCGTCTGACGACAGTCCTCAGGAGGGCTTGCCCTCAGAGGAGGACTTCCAGGATGAGGGAGACCCTGAGGCTGCTGAGGTTGAGGCCCAGCATGTGTTATCCGGTATGCGGGGCCTTAGGGCTGACGTTTCCCGGATTCTTGGGGAGGAGGTTTGCCCACCACCTTCGGCATCATCTGTCCCCGAGTCCACCACCCTTTTGGGTTCTTTGGTGGCTCCTCGGGTGTCCGCTCGGTCGGACCGCTCTCTGCCAGAAGGCACCATTGTGTCTTCAGCTCTGGCCACCGCCCAGTCTCGGGTTTTAGGGAAGAATTCTTCTTCAACCCGTAGTCCTGGGTATGCTGGGTTGCAGCTCAGTGTTGGCGATTTGTCAGAGGTGCACGCCACTGACTATGCCACACATGATGGTCTGCTTGCCCCTCAACCAGCTAAGCTGGAATCGAGGGAACTTGCAGCTTGGCCCGGTAAATCGGTGGACCAGGTGGTGTTCGGTCCCAAAGAACACCACAAGATGGAGAGACTGCTGCGTCTCTCCATCCAGATTCTGTCGTATATAGACTACTTGACGGTTTGTCTATATAGGGTATCCGACTTGCCTGAGGGTCGGATTACCGAGACAGAGCAGGCCGACATCCAGGACAGAGTGACCTCTGCCCTGAACGGGGCATTGAGAGCGCTGGCAGCTTTACAGGTGTCATCCCTCGTCAATGTCTTGTTGGCTAGGCGGTTTTCAGTTTTGAAAAATCGCCCGGTCGATGAGCCTTACCGTTCCAGACTGTTGACTGCCCCCTTCTCAGGGTCCACTCTTTTTGGAGGGGCCCTTCCTTCTGTTCAGAAGGATTTGAAGGAGGACTCGGTCGCCTCTGCACTTCTGGTGAAGAGGATTCAGGCTGAGAAGGCCAGTACCTCGCAGGGGTCAGCGCCTCCTAAGAAGAAGGCTAAACCTTCGGCTTCGCAGTCCTCTGCGCAGCCCAAGTATAAGCCTCCCTTCAAGGGCAACAAATGGAAGGGTAAGAAGGGTAAGAACCCTCCTGGGGGTAAGAAGAAGGGTTCCTGACTCTTTTCTTCCCTCCTTGGTCGTGTCAGACGACGAGTTTGGCCGGGAGGAATGCAGTCCTCTCGGCTCAAGCTTAGGTCCTTCTCCCGCAGGATTAGGCTTCGGGTCAGCAGACGATTCTCTTGCCTGGCAAGGTCTCGATCTGCCTCGACCAGATCTTCCTGTGGGGGGTCGTCTTTCTGCTTTCCTTCCAGAGTGGAAGGAAATTACGGAAGACGCATGGACCTTGTCTGTGATCAAGGAGGGGTTAGGCATTCCGCTAGTGCGGGATCCGCCCTTAGCGTCAGAGCCAATCTTTTTTCCTCCACCGGGGGATCCGGAAAAGGCTCTGGCGCTCCAGGAGGAAGTAAGGACCATGCTTTCCAAGGGCGCGGTCGAGGAGGTTCCTATGTCGGGATGCACTCCCGGGTTCTACTCCAGAATGTTTCTGGTTCGGAAGAAGTCCGGGGCGTGGCGTCCCATCATAGATCTAAGTGCCTTCAACAAGCACGTAGATTCTCCTCACTTCAAGATGGAGACTCCTCGGGGTATTATCGCCTCCGTGAGAGAGGGAATGTGGGCGACTTCAGTAGATCTAAAGGACGCCTACTTCCACATCCCCATCAAGAAGTCGGCACGGAAGTACCTCCGTTTTACTTGCAACGGAAAGGTCTTCCAGTTCCGGGCCATGCCGTTCGGGCTCACGACTGCACCTTTGGTTTTCACCAAGCTGCTGCAGGTGGTCGTGGGATTCCTGCACTCTCGAGGAATAGATGTTCACATCTATTTCGACGACTCCCTCATGCTCCACCTAGTGAGAGAGTCTCTGGTACAGGTCACCCGGTTGGTTCTGAAACTCTTACTCAAGGTCGGCTTCATTCCTTCCAGAGAAAAGTCGGAGGTTTCCCCATCTCAGGATTTTGTTTTTCTGGGGAACCGTTTCAATACGGTTCAGGGCATCGCCCTTCCACCGATGGAGAAGTTCGAGAAGGCCAGGGCTTTTGCTCTGACCTTTATCGGCCGGTCTCAAGTCCAGGTACGTTGGTTTCTCAGTTTTCTGGGATATCTCAACGCCCTGGCCGATGTGGTCCCCTTAGGGAGACTTCACATCAGGCCTCTCCAGATGTTTCTCCTTGCCAACTGGGTCCCTTCTTCAAGGGATTGGGAAGCCTTGCTTCCTCTGAACCAGTCGGTCAAGGAGTACGCACGCTGGTGGACTCATCAGGACAATGTTCTCCGAGGGGTTCCTTTGTCCAAGCCAGTTCCCACTATGACCCTGTACACGGATGCATCCATGACAGGGTGGGGAGCTTATCTCGACGGGCGTTGCCAGTCGGGGGAGTGGTCTGGGGAACAGCTCTCGGAGCACAGCAATGTGCTCGAGATGAGGGCTGTTCTGTTGGCTCTGCAGTCTTTTCGGGAGATCCTGCATTCCAAGGTGGTTTGTGTGGCTACGGACAACACTACGGTTGTCGCGTATCTGGAGAGACAGGGGGGAACCAGGTCTCACACCCTGTGTGCCCTCGCTATCCGCATTCTGCTTCTATGTCAGGAAATGCAGTTGACAATTTGTGTCAAGCATCTGCCAGGCAGGTTGAATGTTCTGGCGGATACTCTTTCCAGGCGCCGCCAGCCGGTTTTGACAGAGTGGCAACTGAATCCCTCGATTTTCGTGGGAATTTGTCAGGTGTGGGACAGGCCTCACATAGACCTGTTCGCCACTTCACTGAACAATCAGTTGCCAACGTTTGTCTCTCCGGTACCAGATCCAAGGGCTTGGGCCGTGGACGCTCTGTCTCTGGATTGGGAGGGAATGCATGCATATGCATTCCCACCCTTCAACATGGTGGGCAGGGTGCTGCAGAAGTTTCGGGAGCATCAGTGTTCCCTCCTCCTGATAGCGCCCCTGTGGCCGAGGCAGCCTTGGTTTCCGGAGCTTTTGTCGCTTCTGGTGGAAGAGCCCCTGGCTCTTCCTCTCAGAGCGAACCTCCTTCGCCAGCCTCGTTCCAGGACGATGCACTCTCGTCCGGAGATCCTCCACCTTCACGCGTGGAAGCTATCTCAGGAGGCCTCGCTCAGGCGGGCTTTTCTAGGGACGTGTCAGATCGCATCGCTCGATCAATTAGGGCTTCCTCATCTGCCGTCTACCAGTCACGATGGAAGATTTACTGTGATTGGTGTGTCGGCAGGAAGGTTGATCCGATCAAGGCTACTGTCCAGGTGATTGCGGACTTCCTTCTTTGGCTGTTTAGGGACCGCAATCTTGCCCCTGGCACTATCGCTGGTTATCGCACGGCCATTGCTAGTGTTCTCTCTGTTCATGGTAGGTCGGAGGTAGGCTCGTCCTCCTCTCTTTCTGCCTTGATTAGGGGGTTTGGGTTGGACAGGCCTAGGGTCCGGCAGTTGGCTCCGCAGTGGAATTTGCCACTGGTGCTCGAATCGCTGATGCGGGCACCTTATGAGCCTTTAGCGTCTGCCTCCTTGAAGTTTGTTACTTACAAGGTGGTATTCCTTGTTGCCCTGGCCTCAGGTCGAAGGAGGAGTGAGATTCATGCCTTGTCTTCTCACCCCTCTTGCCTCCGATGGTCCAGGAATTACTCTGCCGTTACCCTTCTCACTGATCCTGCCTTTATGGCTAAGAATCAGGTTCCTGGCTTCTCGCCCGATCCGATTAAGATTCCGTCTTTGACTGCCTTCGTTGGAGCTGAGGAACGGGATAGGTTGCTCTGTCCCTGTCGGGCGCTTAGGTTTTACCTCGATAAAACCAGGGGGGGGCGAGGTCCTCGATCTCGTCTGTTTTTGCCCATTAAGCAGGGTCAACAGGATATCTCTTCTCAGTCAGTGTCTAGATGGATCTGTCAGGTCATCAAGTACGGTTACGACCACTCGGATGATCAGGTTCGGGCGTTGTATAAGGTGAGAGCTCATGAGATCAGGGCCCTTGCTGCGTCATGGGCCCTCCTCAATGGGTCCCCCTTTCAGGAGGTCATGTCCGCAGCTTTCTGGCGCGGACAGACTACCTTCACGGATTTTTATCTCCGGTCCTTGGCCTCTCATTCTGATGGATTGTATTCCCTTGGACCGGTGGTGGTTGCACAGTCTGTGGCTGTTCCTCCACAGTAATTCAGTGATTTTAAATAGTATGCTATCAGGCACCACGGTGGTACACCTGCTCGTTTCACGGGGAGGTTTTCCATTTTTTAATTACTTTCGGGGCTTTATTAGGGGGGTTCCTTGAACCTTTTCCCTACCTTGAGCATGTCTCGAGTTTGTTCCGTCAGCCTGGTCTGCCTGGATTCGAAGCCTCCACTACGGTAAGACGAATTCGCATACTAAAGTTATGGTAATTATTACTGAAATGAAATTGAGGTTTTTGAAGTAAAACCAATTTTCATGATGTAATACTTACCATAACTTTATGGAGTCCCACCCTGTATTCCTCCCCTTGCCTCCTCATCCTGGCTGCCTTTAGGCTCCATAAAAGGGGGTTTGAGGAAGGGAGATCACTCCGTGGCTCTGTCATCGAGATAGAGGTTACGTCACGGTAGGGAGGTAGGGATATTTGAATCTTTTGTTTTTGGGCTACAAAGATGGGTGTAGGTATTGTATATGCATACTAAAGTTATGGTAAGTATTACATCATGAAAATTGGTTTTACTTCAAAAACCTCAAATTCAAACCAAAGGGAGATGATTCTAACATTAACTACAGGTATATATATCAACCCTCGATTGATATACCATCTTTAAGTCAAACCTCTATAAAGCTGTCTGTGTAATATTATATGACTTTCATGTATAAGGAGTCAGAAAATGTTAATTGGGATAGAAATTGTTACCAAAAAACAAACATTTTCAATCAAAATTATGAATTTCCTGTAACTTTCAATGAATCGTCATAAGAATTCAATATTAGTTAGATATTATAAGTTGGTTCTGAAGTATCTGTATAGTAAGCATATTTGACTAATGTGATTTTTTTTTATTATTGTAAAAAATGATGTACAATGTATTTAGTGTATATTTGTACATACATATTAAGAGAATAGGTATAGTTTGAATGTTGATCTGTTTAGCGTTCCAAGGTGATACCAAGTGGAGCTACCCTGTACATTTGTGCAGTGGAATCGGAGGCCATCCGCACACAGAACAGGTATATATACTTTTCAGCTACAGTATTTAGTATAAACATTCTAAATCAGACCCTCTTTAGTCTGGATCCTGATAGATATAAACAAATCTGACCTGTTTAACCCTTTCCGTACTGCAACTTCTGTCTGGAATCCATATGGGTTGTCCTTACTAGACTCACCCCCGCACATATAATAAAATGGCAGATTATCAATGTATTTTTAGGCCAGGTATAGCTGCTGCAAGAAATAAACAGGTAACTATGAACCAATGTTGTTATTGTTTCATGTCGTTGTTCATTGACATACACATCTATATTTTTGTAGCATGGTGACTTAATGGCAGCTGATTATGACTGAGAAGTCGACATTAGTCTGGCAACAAACAATTAGAATCTTTGTATTCAAAACAGTGTTGTGGTGCGGTTCCTTAATGGGGATTGATTTTGGTTAAAATGGCATTTAATTTTTCTAAATACAAGTAGGTTTTATTGTGACTTTTTTCAAAATATCCATGATTACTTCCATAAGTCTCCATAAATATTTGGTGATGAATTTACGAGTGTTCGTATCAAATTCAGTTGTCGCAATATTGTTTATATCGGAGACCACAAAAGGCAACATGTTGTGGCAAATTCGAAATAAACAGGTCACATGATGAAAAATGTGTACTCTGCACCTGTAAACATCTTTCTTGCCAACTGATTGGTGCTGATTTTAGCGACAATTAATTGGATTACACAACTGTGGTGTGCTACAACCAGTTAAGCAGAAGACCGGCAACACTCAAAACTCCTGTCGTGTATAAACAACAACGGGGATGAGACGGCATATATTTTTGTTGTGTGTACACGACAGGAGTACAGAAAGAGTCTATATGGTTTTGATACTTGATCCTGCTATCATATCATATTTGTATCCCCATGACATTTTTTTCTCAAATAAAAGTATGTATATTCTGGAAACCAGCGGTGTAGTGATCCTGCTACTGTACAGTTGCTGATTATGATCATACATTTTATCAATATTCATGGTCACCTTAAAATGTTATGTGGGAAATTAATGCCAATTTCAACAAACAAAATGTCATCATGTGTCAGTGAATATCAAGATCATGGCCTACTTTCCCGACAGCATGGTGTCTGAAACTGGTTCCATGTTAGCATTATTGTCGTAACCCCAAATTTTTCCGTTCTCAACCATGGGCTCTACCCCAGATCGTAACAAATTAATGAATATCTTGAAGTTCACAAGGCTCATATATAGTAGACAACAATTCAACAAATAACAAACAGTTGACTTTGATAAGCACTCGGAACTATTAGTGAGGTGTTCTAAAATAGACTTCAATCAATTGTGATTCGCAAAAAACAAACCCTGCGAACAGGTTCCGGAAACAAAATGGTGCAAATTAAACACCTTATTATGCAACTTTTCAGTATTTAAATCCATATTATTACACTTGTTCATTTCAGCCTTTCTATTTCTTTGCTTCACTATTTCTGCAAAAGTATTAACTTCAATTGTATATCATTGTTAATACCGGTAATTAAATCTAAATTAAGACATTTACTCTATTTCCTGTTCTTATATCAATGCTACATTTCAATGTGTATTTAACTTACATACATATATACATAGAATGTTAATACTTAACATCAGTGATTCTGTATAAACTGAACCCTGAGTAAGCTAGCCAAATATATCCAGCATAGACAGGTTACACTGTGCTATTGTACTGGGGAATATAAGACACTGTGAGGTGTGTAGTATTCAGCTATAATAAACTGATTTACATCACAGTGTATTCCAAATGTTATTTACAATTCAGCTGCAATATACTTATCTTGGATAAGTGCTATGATAAAGTAAGCAGCTTTGGAGTATACCTAGAATTTGAACCCACTATTATCAAATTGTCAGAAATATCTGACCAAATAAAGTGTCATAGTGCTGATTCCAGGTTATAACATTTCTGTGAAATTGGATTTTAAAACGGCTGGTGAGTGGCTCCACCATCAGTGGCATCTGTCCTCACATGAACTTAGCTGTGTTAGCCAGTTTATTGTAGAAATGTTTGATTGTTTATGCAGTCTTGTGCAGTATATGTTGTATATGAAGTTTGTTACCAAGACTTCTTTGTTAACTTTGATGTATTTGTATACGGACAGGTTTCTTTACCCTGGGTTACACAAGTTGGATATAGGAGGCGTGAGTATAGTGTGTACCACTGGTACTGTGGCTGACGAACCCTACACCACAGAGAACCTCACTCGTCTTCGCCGGGGGTACAAGATGTTGTCGGAGCCCTCCCTTCTCACATGCATCAATTTCAATGATCCTCTGGTACGTCTCCTGGAAACACTACAACAACATACACCTTTAGTTGTGACTCCAAATGTAAACCAGCAACGCTAGCAGTTGTGACTCCAAATGTAACCCAGCAACACTAGTAGTTGTGACTCCAAATGTAACCCAGAGACACTAGCAGTTGTGACTCCAAATCTAACCCAGAGACACTAGTAGTTGTGACTCCAAATGTAACCCAGCAACACTAGTAGTTGTGACTCCAAATCTAACCCAGACACACTAGTTGTTGTGACTCCAAATGTAACCCAGAGACACTAGTAGTTGTGACTCCAAATTTAACCCAGAGACACTAGTAGTTGCGACTCCAAATGTAACCCAGAGACACTAACAGTTGTGATTCCAAATCTAACCCAGACACACTAGTAGTTGTGACTCCAACTCTAACCCAGAGACACTAGGAGTTGTGACTCCAAATGTAACCCACAGACACTAGTAGTTGTGACTCCAAATGTACACCAGCAACGCCAGCAGTTGTGACTCCAACTCTAACCCAGAGACACTAGGAGTTGTGACTCCAAATGCAACCCAACAACGTTAGCAGTTGTGACTCCAAATCTAACCCAGAGACACTAGGAGCTGTGACTCCAAATGCAACCCAACAACGTTAGCAGTTGTGACTCCAAATCTAACCCAGAGAAACTAGTAGTTGTGATTCCAAATCTAACCCAGAGACACTAGGAGTTGTGACTCCAAATGTAACCCAGAGGCACTAGTAGTTGTGACTCCAACTCTAATCCAGACACACTAGTTGTTGTGACTCCAAATGTAACCCAGAGAAACTAGTAGTTGTGACTCCAAATCTAACCCAGAGAAACTAGGAGTTGTGATTCCAAATCTAACCCAGAGACACTAGGAGTTGTGACTCCAAATGTAACCCACAGACACTAGTAGTTGTGACTCCAAATGTACACCAGCAACGCCAGCAGTTGTGACTCCAACTCTAACCCAGAGACACTAGGAGTTGTGACTCCAAATGTAACCCACAGACACTAGTAGTTATGACTCCAAATCTAACCCAGAGACACTAGTAGTTGTGACTCCAAATGTAAACCAGCAACGCCAGCAGTTGTGACTCCAAATCTAACCCAGAGACACTAGGAGTTGTGACTCCAAATGCAACCCAACAACGTTAGCAGTTGTGACTCCAAATCTAACCCAGAGACACTAGTAGCTGTGACTCCAAATATGACCCAGAGACATCTGTGGGTGTGACTCCAAATGTTATCTAGAGACGTTAGTGGATTTGACTCCAAACCCAACCTTGGCACATTACATTAGTGGTTGTGACCAAAAATAAAACCTGGCAACACTAATGGTTGAGATTCAAAGTGTAACTTTGCAATACAAATGATTGTGACATGAGTAGTTGTCACTCTAAATGTGACTTAGCAGCACAAGTAGCTGTGACTACACTAGTAGCTGTGATAGTGAAGCTGTGACTACACTAGTAGCTGTGATAGTGTAGCTGTGACTACACTAGTAGCTGTGATAGTGTAGCTGTGACTACACTAGTAGCTGTGATAGTGTAGCTGTGACTACACTAGTAGCTGTGATAACACTAGTAGCTGTGACTACAAAAGCAACCCAGGGACATTATTGATTTTAACTCCAAATTAACCTGGTGGCACTAGTAGTCAAACCGATAAACCTAGCCTATCTGACACACAGGAGTCCCTACCATGTTTCAGTTTGAGAGTGTTTATATCTTTGCAGGATATTGGATGTTGTGTTTCCGTGTGGATTGCCAAGCAGCAGTGTACAATCATTTTAACCTACAATATCATTTGTTTCTTGCACATAACATCAACATACTGCATTGATTGGTTGCATTCTTGTAATACAGTATAAACAATATTCAAAATTAATGTTCAACTGAGTTATATAGAACTACTTCGTCCAAATATGGGATTCAGCTGCTGTAAAAGCGAAATCATAACAGAAAAATAAATAATGTAAAAATGACATCTGTTTGGTTATAGGAACTGGACATAATAGCCAGTGGAATAGAATGGCAGGCCACTCTACCCGTCACAAGTATTGGAAAGTTAGATGCTATCGTGTTCTGGTTTGATCTTCACCTTGACGATGACGTCTCCATAACGACGAACCCATCCATGGAGAACTGCTGGGAACAGGCAATATTCCCTGTACTACCATCTCATTTTCATCAAAGCTGTTGTGGAATGTCTCATGGTAAATGTCAACAATGCTAAGAACATTTGCTGCACCAGTAATTTGTATTTTGGAAATCAGATCTCAAATATACAACTAGTATAATGATCTCAAATATACAACTAGTATGATGATCTCGAATATACAACTAGTATAATGATCTCAAATATACTACTAGTATAATGATCTCAAATATACTACTAGTATAATGATCTCAAATATACAACTAGTATAATGATCTCAAATATACAACTAGTATAATGATCTCGAATATACAACTAGTATAATGAATATACAACATTTGATATTGCGCCCTATCTAGCTAGAATAAGCCACTCTAAAGCACTTTACAGTACATAGATATACAATTTATACAATTAACATATACATTAATCAATGCAATATTGAGGAATTCGCAGGAACTGCCTTATCAGGCTCTAACTACTAGTCCTATGCCACCTGGCTATTATCTCCCTATGTATGTGCCTGCGTGTATGCTGGAGATGATCTCAATGATAATGATCTCCAATAATATACAACTAGTATAATGTTGTATTCTTCAAATATTTTACTGAATTTCTGTTATTTCTTCAATAATTTTATTTCAACTAAATGGATCTGTTGAGTTAATTTGAACTTCATTTAATACTGAAGGTTGTTTTTGTTTTGAAAAGTTACGTTATACTTTTCAGACACAAAACATGGTTTTATAATCAGAGAGGGAGACTCACTTCATGTGAAATTCAGTCTTGGAGAGAATTGTCTGTGGCTGGTGTCCTGTCACTGTTGCCATGACAATGATGACTCTGTACCATACATGCCCATGGCAGACGTCATCTGTCCACCTCAGGTCACAGAACAATATTTGATGGACAGGACAGAGATAGACAAACTGAACAATCTTTATTACAATAAAATGTTCTCTCAAGCCATAGACAAACAGATGTCACTTCTCAACAGTGTTGACAGCCTCAGAATCCTCGACTTTTGTGGTGGATTGTCCCCCCTTTGTTTACAAACGTTGAAGGGTAGTAATCATCATGGCATTGTTATAGCAAGGGAAGGACTGCATGATGTTATATGGAAGTTGATGTCGGTGAATGGTATAGACCGTGACAGATTGCTGCTTGTGGAACCCTCAAATCTCTCAGAGGTTGAGGGAGAGTGTCAACTTATCCTCTGCGACATCATTGAACAGTGTGGTATCCTTAAACAGCAAGTACTCGAGGACATAGCTCTTCTTAGGTAGGTCAAGTCAGAAAACACCAAGGGTAAGTTAGCACATACCTTCTCATGTAGGTCAAGCTGGAACACTTCTCAGGTAGGTCAAGTCAGAAAACACAAAGAGTGAGTTAGCACATACCTTCTCATACAGGTCAAGCTGGAACACTTCTCAGGTAGGTCAAGTCAGAAAACATCAAGGGTAAGTTAGCACATACCTTCTCATATAGGTCAAGCTGGAACACTTCTCAGGTAGGTCAATTAAGTACACTACTCAGGTAGGTCAAGCTTGTACAATTCTCACATAGGTCAAGCTAGTACACTTCTCAGGTAGGTCAAGCTGGTACACTTCTCAGGTAGGTCAATTAAGTACATTTTTCATGTAGGTCAAGCTGGTACACTTCTCATGTAGGTCAATTAAGTACACTTCTCACATAGGTCAAGCTGGTACACTTCTCACATAGGTCAAGCTGGTACACTTTTCAGGTAGGTCAAGCTACTGCAGTACACTTCTCAGGTAAGTCAACCTGGTACATTTATCAGCTAGGTCAAGACTAGTACATCACACATATAGGTCAAGCTTCTACATTTATGTATGTCAAACTAGTGCTCCTATCAGATAGGTCAAGCTAGTGTACCTCATAGGTAGGTCAAGCTAGTGTATCTCACAGGTAGGTCAAACTAGTGCTCCTATCACATAGGTCAGGCTAGTGTACCTCACAGGTAGGTCTAGCGTGTACACTTCTTATGATAGCAAGAATTGATCTGACAATAAATCTATCTATGGTCAAAAATCAACAGACACAGACTATGTACCTTCTCCACTGTTTGTTCTTTATCCGACACAGAGCCACCTGTCTGTGTGCTGGAGGAGTCATCATTCCTGGCAGGGTCACCATCCATGGTTTGTGTGTGGAGTCAGAAATGTTACACGGGGATAGTGCCGTCATCAATGAACGCACACTAGGCTACAACATTGCCAAGCACATGAATGATTTCCAGGTAGGAATCCACCACAAAGCTTTGATTTCTATGTTAGGTTGAAATAATCAAAATTATTACATAACACCAGATCATTGCACACCAGAAGTTCATACAATTAATGATTTTAGTTTATAATTGTATGGGATGGATACAGCGTCCATAATGTACGTAATTAATCATATGAAATAAGCTTATGTTAGCTCACCTGCCCATAGGGCAAGTGAGCTTATGTCATGGTGCGGCGACCGTCGTCCGTCTGTCGTCCATCCCTCCGTCCGTCCTCGTCCGTCAACCTTTCCTTTAAACAACTTCTTCTGAAGGACGGACAGGCCTAGAGTCATGATATTTGGCTGAAAGCTTCGTTGGTAGGAGCCCTACAAAGTTTGAGAACGAAAATGACCTTGACCTGTTTTCAAGGTCACAGGGGTCAAATTTGTCAGACACTTCAAACGACTTCTTCTGAAGAACTGAAAGGTATAGAATCTTCATATTTGGCTGATGGCTTCCTGGGATAGAGCCCAACAAAGTTTGAGAATGAAAATGACCTTGACCTACTTTCAAGGTCACAGCGTTCAAATATGTCAAACAGTTCAAACTACTTTTGAAGAATTAAAATTCATAAAATTATAATATTTGGCTGGTGACTTCCTGGGATAGAGCTGACGAAAGTTTGCGAATGAAAATGACCTCAACCTACTTTAGAGGTCACAGAGGTCAACAACGTTTTAATGGATTTGTTCTTGAGAACTAAAAGGAATGGATTCATAAGATTTGGCTGGTAGCTTTTTGGAATAGAGCTAACCAATTTGAGAAGGAAAATGACATTGACCTACTTACAAGGTCACAGGGAAAAATATGTCAAACAACTTATGAAGAAGAATCAAAAAGCATAGAATCTTATAATAATATTTTGCTGGTAGTTTCAACTGATGGAGCCAACAAAGTTTGCGAGGGAAATATTTTTTTTCAATGTAATATTTAATGAGAATATTTTGCTATGACTGCTTAAATATTCAGGTGAGCGATACAGACCCTCTTGGGCCTCTTGTTTGTTTCCTCCTGATAATTACTCACCTTGATACTGGGTACAGAAGTTTCCACATGTGTTATTCTAAATAGTATTAAGCCGATGGTATAGTGGTTTAATATTTCATTGAATAATTTGTTAGGTGCATTTACATTCTTGCCAATGTTTTGTCTTTGTGAGTTAGAATCATTGATTGTTAACAGTACTGGTATAAGTGTGGTACATGAACAAATTCTACACTGGCCAAATTTGTTTTGAAAGGTCAAGGGTGAAATTTGGCATAGCTGAATGATAATATATGTCTTACAAACCTGGAGCTGTTACTTAAGAAACCTAGTCATGACACAAAAGTTTCAATTGACTTTTGTCTCAGTGTTAAATGAAATGTGACTGAGGATTGATAATGTGTATCTGCCAATTTCTTTTTTCACTTTTGAGATAAAAATTCCAAAACCGCTTGATTAGAAAGCAGGGGGCTTACCACTGTGGTACTGGTCATTAAAATTGTTTAGATATTAGTTTTTAAGCTACATCACTTGGAATAGTTTCAAAATGTTCAACTTCCAAACAAGATTTTCTTGGTTTAAATATGGAAGAAATAGCATAAATTTAACAGAAAATAACTATTCAATGCTTGTATAAAGTAGAAAATTGGTGCTACCACAAACAGTTTAGAAGTTGAAGTTGTAAAACAAAGTGAACAGGCACTTGCTTGAATGCATGCATATGGTTGGACAGATAAATGGCTAAGTGAAAAGTGTACCTGGTACTCATATCATCACCACCCTTTCCTTGCTGAATCTTCAGTGTAAACTTCAAATTTATTTCAACAACAAAGACCTTTCAGTAATAAAAAAAATCTTGACTACATCTTAGGTAACATTATCAGAAATCAAGCATTTTTGTGTGTGAAAGTGTTGTTTCATGATTTTTTTGTCTCAAACTAGACCAGTGACGAAGATGCAAAGATCCATGAAACTTGCAAAGGGAACCAAAATCACAGATGTCTAATTTATATAGTAATTTAAGGCCATATCATGGATGATTTATCAGAAAATAGTCGTGCTTATGTCTTTGCACATGTACATAGTGTAGCAATCATGTTACTTTGTTGCTTCAAACAGTTCATGAATATAAAATGCATTTATATGTTGTGCTTCTTCTTTTAGATGACAAACCATGTAGATATCGACCTGTCAACATTATCCCATGTCAGACTCTCCGACCCATTTGTCTTGATGCACTTTGACCTCAATGAACGTCTCCATAGCGATGAACCACCATCCTTTCTTGAGCAGACACAGGAGGTGAAGGTCACCATGACTGATGTAGGTCATCTTACTGCTGTGGTGTACTGGTTTGAATTTGAACTGGCAGACGGCTTGAAGTTTACAACACTTGACGGAACCTCGCATTGGAAACAAGCTGCAGTTATGTTAAAATCTTCCATTGAATTTACAACAGGACAGACTGTTGACTTTAACGTTTCGTTGAAAAATAGTTGTATCAGTATCAAAATTGGCAAAGAGTGCAACGATAGCTCATGAATCAAACATCAAAGTACTGCGGTAGTACCATTGTAAGATAATTAATGCATTGAAATATGATTGGCACCCACATAGGACCTGGGTACTGTGAATAATAATGTCCTTAACAAGCAGGGTTGGACTATGGAAGACGTAAGGACAAGTTCCGGGAGGAGTGTGTCAGTAGTGAACCATGTAGATACTGACTAGAGTTTAGAGTGCTGGACTAATAACCACCTGTAGTCACCAGTGTGACCACTAACAGAGGGATTCGGGAAAAACGACCAGTCACAATTATATAATTCACATACCTGCTCTGTGCTAGTTATCTCATTGAACTTTAATTGATTATTTCAAGATTAATTTGGAAACACTAGCTTGTCTGGTTTTGTATATCATTTTCATGGTTAAAGCAAGGTTTTAAGCAAATGAAAATGTAGGCCTTGTAAACCTTTATCAAGCTCACAGGAAAGCATTATCAGTCAGTGTCCATTCCTATTTCGTGGGATAAAATGTTAAAACTGTTTGGAATGTTTTGAATAAGGACAGAAATTCATTTTGACAGCATAAATGATGGTATGAACACTATGATGGTAGCTACAGTAGCCGGGTTGTTAGAATTATATAGTTCCATTGAATCTACATTGATGTTTGAGTAAAATTAGATATTATACATCCATAAACCCCAGTAATATATTTGACTTTTGTCTCAAATAATGGCCATCTTGGAATTTGGGATTAGGTAAATATGGCATAATTCATATATGATATCCATAAAATACCATTAACCACTGAATACCATTTTTTTTAAAACATCTTCCTGTGATATTGTAAGGTATTCATTTACCATTTACAAAAAATCCCTGATTAGTAAGAGCCTTATATTGTATTTTGACAGTAGATCTCTTTGTTATATTTTTAGTGTCCTTGACCCTAGAAACTTTAATCTTATAACCATCTACAAATAATAGTATATCCCTATATGAATATCTGAAATTGTTAGGATTCTTAGTTATTCTCTGAACACAAAGTGTGTCGAGATTGGCACTGTGATTATTATGGAGGGCCTACAGCCCTTCAAAGTACTTTTTATGCAAACAAACTCCAAAGTATGTTTCAAAAGCCAATTCGGTCAAGATCGGTATGTATGTGTAAATGGGTTATAGGGACCCTTGGACTAAGTCTGCAATGATTGGCCACTATGCCCTGGCCATTCCAGATAACATTAGCGTATTTGTCTCTTTTGCTTAGAAATTGCTTAAATTCTTCAAAGGTGGGTAGCTCAACCATTTCCATGTAATAACTTCAGTACTATGTAGTCTTCAGCAGGACCAATCTGGTACCCGAATGAATTTACTTGGTTAACAAATGAGGATTTCTTCTCATTCCATGTTTCAACCTAGGAACCAAGTTAAAGGGAATAGGATTGATTCAGGGGCCAATTCTCTGCTATCGAGTGTGAATTTCAATTTTTTTCTATGTTATGACCCTGGGACCAAGTCAACTGTGGTAAGGCTGATCCAAGGATCAGTTCTAGTAGCACTGTTGTGTTCATCTCTGCATGACGAGTATTTGTATACAGGTATGTATGTCACCCTGGTGAAATACACACCACTTTCTACTGACTTTGGCTCATTTGGTAAGAGCATCAGACTAGTGAACCCGAGGTTCTGGGTTCAATCCCTTGCTGAGTCATTGCATTGAAAAAACATCACCACTGTTGCAGTGGCACAAGGATTGCTGACCCCTGGAAAATCTGTGAAGAGTCTCTTTCCTGAAGGGGAAATATGTCAACCTATTAAAATGCTAGTTGCTTTCTTCCGACTTGGCAAGGTAGAACTTCTCTTCGGCTCGTTTGGTAGAGCATCAGACAAGTAAACAAAGAGGTCCTGGGTTCAAACACTTGCAAAGGCGTTGAAAAATAATCACCTCTGCTACATATATACATTTGGATGATTGCATGGTTGAGGGAGTAGCCCCACTCCTAGGGGGAAATCCTTGCTGCATAAATCATTTGTTACATGTACATCTATACAACATTGAGTCCCTTTGGTCAAAAAAATTCACAAGAACAAATTTAGAAATCCACCCAGCTGTTTTTGACTACTGGTAGTAGCATTAAAAAGGAAAAGTTGACAGAGGACATGTCACAGATTAAGCTCATACTTCTTTGGGCAAGGTGAGCTAAAAACTAAACAGAAAACTGAAGAAAGTTTAAATAGTATTTATTACATATCATCAAATGAACATAAAATGTAAGACAACTAGTGTAAGCTATAACTTTGAGAAATAATTTGGTATGGGTATGAACACCGCTAGAACTGTTTACTGGTAGGCCAGAACTGCTTCGATTTATTCAATCATATTCTTGGCAGTCTTGCAGATTTTAAAGTTAAGTGGTTGAAGAAAATGCTAGTGTCCCAAGGAACATGCAATATATAGCTCTTAATTTAAAAGTGGCAAATGTGAATATTTTGTATAGAAAAAAATAATGTCCTTCATTACAACTAGTGATGTTAGTTCATATAGCACAACCAGTGAAAATGTTTATGTGACGTTTTGACAACTTAAGTATCATAATTACGTACTCCGTCATCTTCACCCGATGTATACACTAAGGGGGGCCCATAGACTCCCACACACATAAAGCTACGACCAAGCAGTGTACTTAACAATTGGGAACCAAATAAGCTTACCAATTCAACTGTCTGATATGTTAACACATAAACTAGAGCACATGTATACACTTGACTGGTCATCTATCTGATGAAGGTGGGTCTGCCTAAGTCATTGAAACATAAGTTTATATACATAAGTATTGTTTGAAGCTACACAGTTCTGAGCTGTTATCGGTTTCCATATCTGCCACCAGCCAGAACCTGTTACAGCCATGATGAGCAATCGCCTCTCTAGCCACTCCCCTTACTTCATCAAGATGTGGACATTCCATTTTTTTCTGTTTATGACAATGGACTGCATGAGAATGGCAAAGTTCAGCATGACAGTGTAACAAACTCAGTAATCTAGCATTTATTGTGTTATACAATCTCCATATAGTGGAGTAGTCCAGACATCAGCTGTCCGGCTGTCACATATATCTAGGCAAAGATTTTGAGATTTCCCTTTTACTGTTTAAAATTCTCCTAGTTACCGTATTCGGCTGATTCACAAAAAACATTCACTTCAAGCTGGAAAATGTTTCCATTACAATGCTCCATTATATTTACTCCAACCACAAGACATCAATAAAATTTAGATCTTCTTAATGCATTCTGTCTTCATTTCCTTTTTTAAAGTGATTACACAAGGGGATACACATTTGTTGTACACCTTATCTCCAGCATTGCCATATTACAGTGGACACCGACAGCATGCCTAGAGTCAATTTGAAATTGTCTGCTAATGATGCAACAAACTACCTACAGCAATAACAACAAATCAAAGACATATTACACACCACATAAATCACTTTTTCAGGAAAGTAAAAAAAATGTTTTCAAGAATATGTGTTGTTCTGCTCCATAACACATTTTGCAGAGAGTTGAAAAATCTGAAAGCTTTATCATTTAGAATTTGGCAAAGTGGCATCCATTTCACATATTGGAGATTAGAAAACAAGCTTACACGGCACATCGATTCTCCCATTTCAATAGTTGGAATAAATAAATACAAATGTAGTTGAATTAGTGATATGACTCTCCTAGCCAATTTACCCGAATCTACTGCATATCTCCAAGTTGTTCTGGAATATAAATATATGGTAAGGTTAGGTGTCGACCACTAACTTTTCCAGAGGGGGACTTTAAAAGTTTTCAATCCTCAATTTAAGATCCTACGGCCACCCATAGGTTATCAATTATTTGTGCCTCCCTACTGCCCCCTTTATTTATAACTGGAATAACTTGTCACAAAATTTCATAGATACAGCAACACAGTAAGTATTTGATTAAATCGGCTCTTGTGATAATTAATGATCGTAAAATACACTAGTTGTCTCCTTCCATGCAGCAATGTGATAAATAAAACTAGGACGTACAATATATGATACAGACTATGATATCACAGTTTATCTCGACTAACATCTTCACAACAAACTCACGCAATCAATAACAATTACAGCACATTCAGGTTAGTACTACCTAACTCAATGTTATAAGGAGTTACAGGATGTTTTTACAATGTCCGAGTCAATCATGGTTTCACTGCAAATGTACTGACTGTATCCATTGATGCACACGTAAACAAGTATGTTCTGTTATGTAACATGCTACACATTCATCACACATTCAATGCTCCCTTCCGAGAAATACTCCCCTAATATAACCTTAATGTATGTTCATTTCCATAAATAACAGATTTGATAGCAGAAAAAATGGTGCATGAACTGCAAAAAATCAAAATTTAAATCCATAGTATACATAATTCTTCAGTATGACTAAATCAGGTTCCATTTACGTTTTTATGATTAATGTTGTTCCACTGTAAAAGTGCTTCTCAATTAACACATAAATGTGTACAGTACAGAATATATCTACATGTATTTAGGTGTATCAGATTGTGGTTATAAACACTTGACGTGAACATTAATTACACATGATAGTCCCTCTCAAACATACACCCAACCAACCTTTCCAGTATTTGCTCAATGTAATTCTTTTTCATGTGATTCCTGAAAGTCACAACATGGTAACAAAACTATTTTAGGAAAATCAAAAATACAGCCATAACTCATCCTTCACTATAAATCTCATCCAACTGTGCAAGTGTTCTGCAGATTTGTCGTCCTTCATCCAGACATGTAAGAGTTCTGCAGAGTTGACATCCTATATCCCACATTTGTAAGATTTCTTCAAGTTCGACACCATACATGTCTAGGTATTTAAGAGTTCTGTAAAGTTGACATCCTAAACCCAAGTATAAGTCTGTGGAGTTAACGTCTTACATGTCCAGGTATGTAAGAACCTGGCAGATTTGCAATCATATATCCCACATTTGTAAGATTTCTGTGGAGTTCTGACACCATGCACGTCCGGGTATGCACGAGTTCTGCAAAGTTGACATCCAATGTCCAGGTACCTTAGGCAAGACTTGCTTCACATCCAAACCAACCCTTTAGCATTAAAGTAGAATCAGCTTTTTGGTTGGCTTCCCAATGTATTTATCAATCAACCGCGTGTGGTAGGAGGACCATTGTACATCAACACGAACTTCTCACACCACTTTTACCATCATTTTCATCATCACTGTCGTCTACTGGTGATTTTGTGTTCTTACTTTCATTGCTGTTTTCTGGCTTTTCCTTGCCTTTACTTTTGTTCAATTTCTTTTCTGTATTTGCCTCCACTTTCTCCTTATTTTCATTATCTTGGAGTTTAGTTGTTTTCTTTTCGCTTTCTGCAGTATCTTCCTCTTTTGTCTTCTCTGTACTGGAACTGTACTTTTTGATATTTTTCTTATCCAGAATAGCTTTGATCTCGGTCAGCAAACCACCATCTTTGTCCTCGACAGCCCACAAACCTGTAAATAAATATCCTTCTAATAAAACGGTGTTTCTATATATGAAATCGGCAAAGAATTCCATAATTTAATTTTGTATATTGTATTCTTTACAGTATATAAGAAACTTAAGCGCATAACATGAAACTTGTTTCTTATTATTTTTACGACAAATCAGAGTATAAATATGAGATTTAAAAAAAAAAAGACTTTTGGATTTGGAAATAAGGACAATATCCCCCCCCCCCCCCCGCTACTGTCTATTTTTAGTAGCAATGACCTTGACCTAAGAATTTTTAAACCCCTGTTGCACATCCAACTTCAGTTTATCATCATGTCAAATATCAAGATAAGCCTTTCAAATAAACTCTGATGCCTGGCCCTACTTATATTTAAATATATGTAATGTCTTCAGAATCACAACAGAAATCTTTTTCAATAATTAATAATAAATACATATTTCATCTGCATCTTAGAGTACACTACGAATCTTCACCAAGAATACATCAACAGACGTACAACATCACCAATGTAGACTTACATGTTGATTATGGTCATGGAAAATTGACTTTATCCAAATATTTTACGTTTCATTTTTGATAAAAACGATTCATTCTCTTCACTGTCAGACACATATTCTCCTGATGCTTCTTCTTTAGCATCAGTCTTTTTACCAGTCCCTGAAACGAAAAATTCTCGATTCAGGATATCTGATTTAAAAGATTTCATATTGCTTGTTTCTCCGGGACCATAATCAACACCAATCAACTACAGGGATTTTTTTACAACACTCAGGCCTACAACTACTTTAATTTGCATACCCTACTGAAATTAACTGTTGGTAATATCATTTTCATTACCATTACATATTACAAATCATTTGGTGCCAGTGAAGTATAGCCAGACAGGCTGGTGAAGGCCATAGAATTAAGGATCAATCCATTCAGCTCCCATTTTTGTACCTAAATTCCTACTGAATTTCTCGGCAAAAGTCAATATCAGGCTAACTCTACCATGCAAATATTAAATGTGGTTACATCCACATCACAAACTGACTTACCTATATCTGTGTCCACCACTCCATTGATGGTACCTTTCACTCCTTTTTCTGTTTCAGCAAAAGCCAACAGTAAAGCTTTCTGTGTGTCTGTTAATGATCTGAGGATAGACAAGGACTACTATAAACCAAGGTTGTTAATGATCTGATGATAGACAAGGACTACGATAAACCAAGGTTATTAATGATCTGATGATAGACCAGGACTACTATAAACCAAGGTTATTAATGATCTGAGGATAGACCAGGACTACTATAAACCAAGGTTGTTAATGATCTGAGGATAGACAAGGACTACTATAAACCAAGGTTGTTAATGATCTGAAGATAGACAATGACTAATATAAACCAAGGTTGTTAATGATCTGAAGATAGACAATGACAAATATAAACCAAGGTTGTTAATGATCTGAAGATAGACAAGGACTACTATAAACCAAGGTTATTAATGATCTGAAGATAGACAAGGACTAATATAAACCAGGGTTGTTAATGATCTGAATATAGACAAGGACTAATATAAACCAAGGTTGTTAATGATCTGAAGATAGACAAGGACTAATATAAACCAAGGTTATTAATGATCTGAGGATAGACAAGGACTAATATAAACCAGGGTTGTTAATGATCTGAAGATAGACAAGGACTAATATAAACCAAGGTTATTAATGATCTGAAGATAGACAAGGACTAATATAAACCAAGGTTGATAATGATCTGAAGATAGACAAGACTAATATAAACCAAGGTTGTTAATGATGTGAAGATAGACAAGGACTAATATAAACCAAGGTTATTAATGATCTGAAGATAGACAAGGACTAATATAACCCAAGGTTGTTAATGATCTGAAGATAGACAAGGACTACTATAAACCAAGGTTATTAATGATCTGAAGATAGACAAGGACTAATATAAACCAAGGTTGTTAGTGATCTGAAGATAGACAAGACTAATATAAACCAAGGTTGTTAATGATCTAAAGATAGACAAGACTAATATAAACCAAGGTTGTTAATGATGTGAAGATAGACAATGACTAATATAAACCAAGGTTGTTAATGATCTGAAGATAGACAAGGACTAATATAAACCAAGGTTGTTAATGATCTGAAGATAGACAAGGACTAATATAAACCAAGGTTGTTAATGATCTGAAGATAGACAAGGACTAATATAAACCAAGGTTGTTAATGATCTGAAGATAGACAAGGACTAATATAAACCAAGGTTGTTAATGATCTGAAGATAGACAAGGACTAATATAAACCAAGGTTGTTAATGATCTGAAGATAGACAAGGACTAATATAAACCAAGGTTGTTAATGATCTGAAGATAGACAAGGACTAATATAAACCAAGGTTGTTAATGATCTGAAGATAGACAAGGACTAATATAAACCAAGGTTGTTAATGATCTGAAGATAGACAAGGACTAATATAAACCAAGGTTGTTAATGATCTGAAGATAGACAAGGACTAATATAAACCAAGGTTGTTAATGATCTGAAGATAGACAAGGACTAATATAAACCAAGGTTGTTAATGATCTGAAGATAGACAAGGACTAATATAAACCAAGGTTGTTAATGATCTGAAGATAGACAAGGACTAATATAAACCAAGGTTGTTAATGATCTGAAGATAGACAAGGACTAATATAAACCAAGGTTGTTAATGATCTGAAGATAGACAAGGACTAATATAAACCAAGGTTGTTAATGATCTGAAGATAGACAAGGACTAATATAAACCAAGGTTGTTAATGATCTGAAGATAGACAAGGACTAATATAAACCAAGGTTGTTAATGATCTGAAGATAGACAAGGACTAATATAAACCAAGGTTGTTAATGATCTGAAGATAGACAAGGACTAATATAAACCAAGGTTGTTAATGATCTGAAGATAGACAAGGACTAATATAAACCAAGGTTGTTAATGATCTGAAGATAGACAAGGACTAATATAAACCAAGGTTGTTAATGATCTGAAGATAGACAATGACTAATATAAACCAAGGTTGTTAATGATCTGAAGATAGACAAGGACTAATATAAACCAAGGTTGTTAATGATCTGAAGATAGACAAGGACTAATATAAACCAAGGTTGTTAATGATCTGAAGATAGACAAGGACTAATATAAACCAAGGTTGTTAATGATCTGAAGATAGACAATGACTAATATAAACCAAGGTTGTTAATGATCTGAAGATAGACAAGGACTAATATAAACCAAGGTTGTTAATGATCTGAAGATAGACAAGGACTAATATAAACCAAGGTTGTTAATGATCTGAAGATAGACAAGGACTAATATAAACCAAGGTTGTTAATGATCTGAAGATAGACAAGGACTAATATAAACCAAGGTTGTTAATGATCTGAAGATAGACAAGGACTAATATAAACCAAGGTTGTTAATGATCTGAAGATAGACAAGGACTAATATAAACCAAGGTTGTTAATGATCTGAAGATAGACAAGGACTAATATAAACCAAGGTTGTTAATGATCTGAAGATAGACAAGGACTAATATAAACCAAGGTTGTTAATGATCTGAAGATAGACAAGGACTAATATAAACCAAGGTTGTTAATGATCTGAAGATAGACAAGGACTAATATAAACCAAGGTTGTTAATGATCTGAAGATAGACAAGGACTAATATAAACCAAGGTTGTTAATGATCTGAAGATAGACAAGGACTAATATAAACCAAGGTTGTTAATGATCTGAAGATAGACAAGGACTAATATAAACCAAGGTTGTTAATGATCTGAAGATAGACAAGGACTAATATAAACCAAGGTTGTTAATGATCTGAAGATAGACAAGGACTAATATAAACCAAGGTTGTTAATGATCTGAAGATAGACAAGGACTAATATAAACCAAGGTTGTTAATGATCTGAAGATAGACAAGGACTAATATAAACCAAGGTTGTTAATGATCTGAAGATAGACAATGACTAATATAAACCAAGGTTGTTAATGATCTGAAGATAGACAAGGACTAATATAAACCAAGGTTGTTAATGATCTGAAGATAGACAAGGACTAATATAAACCAAGGTTGTTAATGATCTGAAGATAGACAAGGACTAATATAAACCAAGGTTGTTAATGATCTGAAGATAGACAATGACTAATATAAACCAAGGTTGTTAATGATCTGAAGATAGACAAGGACTAATATAAACCAAGGTTGTTAATGATCTGAAGATAGACAATGACTACTATAAACCAAGGTTGTTAATGATCTGATGATAGACAAGGACTAATATAAACCAAGGTTGTTAATGATCTGAAGATAGACAATGACTACTATAAACCAAGGTTATTAATGATCTGAAGATAGACAATGACTCATATAAACCAAGGTCTTTCCAGTTTCAGTTTTGCTTTTAACTTCACAGACTTAATATTTCCTGTTTTCCTGTTAACAATATTTTGTGTTATTGATTTCACTATTCCTCACTACTTATATAGATAAGAACCACTGTCACTACTTATGTAGATAAGAACCACTGTAACCTGCCAATCATCCACTTAGTGTATTTTAAACAATTTAACACCTTTACAGCTTAATAACTACTAACAGGTCTACCAGCAACCTTGCATGCTCCCACAATAATGTTTATACCAGTATATGGTACCCTTTTTAACCAACATCCACAATGATGCTTCTATAACAGACATAGAATATATTATCCCACAGAAGGAGTTGTAAACATTTTGTCATTGACCCTGAACCTCGATACTGAAACTCCTTCAACTGTTCAAAATAATAAAGACTAAATATATAGAATCTATGGTCCTGACCATAGTAGATGACCTACTTGGGTACTTGTATTTTTAGATGGATGTAATGGTCACCCCGTCCGTAGCTGTTTACGCGGGCAGCACCCTTTCCAGACAGCCTGATTCTATTATGGGAGTGGCTTCCCTCGGGTATCTGAATAGAAGAAAGCAAAACATGTTGAAATGTGACAAGAAATTTGGTTGATAGAAAAACTTAATTAGAATGGTATTACATAAAGCAATCAAATTACTTTTTATTGAAATTATCTAGTACAAAAACAAAGTAAAATATTTGTAAACTCCGACAGAAATATCTATTATTTTTTGTCTCCTGTCATGAAACTATAGAATTTTCCTATGCTACTTTTGGAAATAAAATTAAGCTATTTCATGTAGGGCAGGAAGAGTAAGACATTATTATGTCATAGCAGGGAGCCTGACACAAATAACCTTCTTTCTCCGACATCAAATAATTCAAACCTTCATGTCATTTGTAATTTGAAAATAAATATAGTTTTACACACGCAGATCTGGAGAACAGGGGACTCCCTCATGATTATGAACAGGGAGTATGTCAACGGCATTCTCTTTGCTTGGTTGCTCACCTTTAGAAGTACATCTTCATACACACCAGGAATCTTTATAGTACCTCCTAAAACAGCTTGGGAAAGACTTATAGTAATGTCACTATGAATATCAGCACCTTCTCGCTTAAAATCTCTACTTCTTGCAACCTGCAATATAAAATAATTTGATGATGTTGTAAACACTCTCATGCAGTACACAGCTTAAATGTGAATTTGAGTATGGAAAATATGTTTTCATCATTTTATTGAGGGTAAATCTTTAAGTGAAGTGATTAATGTAGGGTAAAACCAAACATCCAGACCCTACTACAAATCCTATATAGTGAACATCTGTGTCATATTCATCACAAATAGTAGTTAGAAATGAATACAGTTTTCTGATCCCAAGCCAGTTTCCATGGCATGCAGTGACAATAACTCCTGAATGGAAGATGTTTTTCACAGAACTCCCAAGAAAGCTGATACTCATTTGTAGAACAGGGTGGACTGGAACAATAAGGTCAAGTTTCTTGTTCAAGAACACAACAATACTTGTTTAAATGCTACAACAGAGGTCTAATTTCTGCTGCATAAAATGACTGACCCAACATTTCAGCCTACCTTAAAAGTTATAAACACCTCCTGTTGGCCTACAGGCATTCTCACTGTCTGACCATCTTCAACACCTGCAAAGTCACAATTTAATTATTACTCTGGAATTTGTTTTCTCAGATTGATTCTCAAAATTATGTACAAACATGAACATGATCATTAAATCTGATGCACAAATGATACAAGTTGTTTAAGGTACTTCGACACTGCTTCAAATGATTTATTTCTGTGAAATAATCTAGTTATGTTATGATTAAATTTTGTTGATTTAGTATCAATGAAATCAACAATAACTGATTATTTCACACTTTTTATAACACAAAATTTTAAGTACCTAATATTAAAAACATGTTAATCACTCTTTTTATGAATTGATATTCACTTGTTACAGGTAATTGTAAAGAAAGAACCTATCACTGCCTTGAACTTAGTTAACCTATCACTGCCTTGAACTTAGTTTTAATATTTTGAAGTCTAATTGTTCTTTTCACATTGTGTAATCCCTGAGAATATAAAGTTACAAGCACTATGGATGTCAGTCAGTATTCATGAAATCTTTCATTCTCTGTAGTTGAAATCAGCAGCCATGAAGCCTTTAGTTACCTGCAGGAACAGGCACAATCACTTTCTTCCGCAGCACGATTCTTCCCTTGCCTCGGCAGTCCATACAAGGTTTGCTGATGACTGTGCGCTTACCCATACAGCGCCGACATGTTGTCCTCATCATGAAGGGTCCTGTGTTGATGGTTTCCTGCAACATAAGCACTATGTCTTACAGTACAATTTAACAATGTTTATCAGACAGACTCTCCGGGTGCTGAAACCCAAGACAGCCAAAGAATTTAAGATGCAGGTCAAAATTGAACTTGAGCAGTAGTAGTAACTATAAACCATAAATATTTGTAGGATGTTTCATGCAACTAAAGCACTCCTTCTAGAGTTATTGCATGAAAATGTTTGTGCAGATGAAATCTCCCGTCCCCACCCCATTTGGGGATATTAATAGCTTAATCTCTGCTGTAAAGGACTGGTTGGTTAGTGAGACAACCAGATCAGTGATGTGTCAATTCATGAGCCTTAATTAGAAAATCGGATGTATTACCATTCCAGTGCCATTGCATTGGGTACAGCTTTCAACCTTGGAACCTGGTTCTGCTTTGCGGCCATTACACCTCGGACACGTGTCAGCAACATTCATATGCATCTGTTTATTACAGCCCCTCACAGCTTCCAAGAAGGTAAGGTCCATCATGACCTGCAAAATGTATGAACACCTGCAAGTTTTACAAGCATTTACATTCGTATGTATAGTTGATAAAAACTAATCTGGTGGGAATGACAACCAGTCGAAAATGTCTCAGAAAGTCAGAGGAGAGGATGACAACTATGCATTTCACATCAACCCCCAATAAATTAGCACCTGTTCAGGACCAAAGGAGCACTATTCATTCTAAGTTAGCTGGCCTGATGGAAATTGAAGAAAAAAAGGTCTAAAATTTCTCAACAAATCAGATGACAGGCAGTATAAGATATTCACAAACCTCCGATGCCGGTGCAAATCCATATTTAGATTCTTCATAGTCAACTCCACCACTGTTACCAAAACCTTTTCCAAAAACATCTCCAAATATTTTACGAAAGAGCTCTTCAGGGTCAGAAGAGTGAAAACCTAAAAAGAAACATTTCATATATTGATATGTTCTTGTAAATTAACAAATACTTAATATAAATATCATATGATCACTTTGTTATTATTCCTGCCAGTTGCTATTATATGGTTTAACTGTTTCACATGACCAGCAACCAATTTCAATAATATTATGTAAAGCATTCACATTTAATGAAATTAGGTGACGAAATTAGGTTGGTCCCACTATATAGTGCCATGGTGTTTTAAGACTACAAACAGACACAACTGTTGGCTGAAGCATTTTATATCTTACCTTGGAAACCTCCCTGTTGTCCAAACCCTGCTCCAGGATCTGCCCTCCCACCTGCATCAGTTGTTGTCCCAAATGTATCATATTGCCTTTTCTTGCTTTCATCACTTAAAACCTGTTTGAAATAACAAAATAGTGTTTACTCTTGTCCAAGTCTCCATAAAACTAATGGTGCTTGTTTTTAAGTTTTAAATACCTGGGTAAATCATCGAACAAGTTCTTTTAATTTATGATTTCAACTTAGAACTTTTGTAATTTATTTCTTCAATGTTAAAATAGGAATGGTACAAAAAGGTGTTATTTCTACCCCAAATAACTGCCTTAGTTAGTTTACATGCATATAGTCAGTTGGTACTTTTAAGTTGGATGTAAAAAAAATACCAGCGATATTCATCAGGTGCCAAAGAACAATTTTCACCAGCCACATGAATAACTGCATTTGAAGTTGCAGTGGCTGATAAATTTGCGTTGTGACTGTCAGTACTGAACTATAAGGGTTCAAAGACTACATCCTTTCATCACAGACAATTGTACCAGCAGGTACGGGGGTGGGCTTATTAACGGGCACCCAAACTATGCATGGAAAGTGAAAAAGTAGGGTGGTGGGCTTATTACCAGGTATGGGCTTATCACCTGTAAAATATGGTAGTATCAGGTAATATGGCTTTATTTTTTTCAATTTACCTCATAGGCTTCAGATACCTCCTGGAATTTTGATGCAGCGTTGGCATCATTTTTGTTAACATCAGGATGATACTCTTTGGCAAGCTGAAAAATATGATAGAAAACCTTTTCAAAATTTGCAAAGCTGAAATTTTCATATAATAAGGTAAATTGTATCCATTCATCCTGAAAATATATGGGGCTTGTGAAAGTATAAACACCGTTTATAAAAGGTCATACATATTCTTAGTATTTATATAGCATAATAGGAGCCAACAACTGGATCGCTATAAAACATTCCACATTTTGTCTGTACTTATTCCAAGTTCTACGCTAAGTACTGTCTATTTTGTACCAAATTAATGGTAAATGTGTTATCTTCAGATGCATCACAATCAAGTTTTTAAAATATTTAATGATAAATGGCACACTGAATTTTGATAAATTTCAAGTTGATCTACAAAGACTGATTACAAAACAAGTATAACAATAACTGCCCCGATTCCTACGATAATCTGTACATGTAAAAGTATGTTTATTTAACCTTTTTTTGTACCCAGATTTTAAACAACATGCCGACACATTTACATCAACCTTCTCTTACCTGATAATAAGCCTTTTTAATTTGTTTAGCATCAGCATTCTTTGGCACACCAAGTACATCATAGAAATTTCGCTTTGATAATCGTGTACTGGTATGGAAGGGTCGAACAGATGCATATCCAATGACTGGAAAGAAAAAGAAAATGGTTTACATTCGCCCTATATACGTATTGTCATATTTGACTATATCGCCGAGGTTGAGGTTAGCGTGTGGCGAAACATGCAGTGTTTGGTTATAATTAGTTAAGGAAAAATGGCTGCACTTCCAGACAATCACACCACAGGTCTCGGCATGCACACATGACCTCAATTTCATTTACATTAAAACAAGAGGCCCAGAGGACCTGTATCGCTCACCTGAATATTTAAGCAGTCATGGCAAAATATTCTCATTAAATATTATATTGCACTCAAAGTATTTCCCGCGCAAACTTTGTCAGCTCCATCTGTTGAAACTACCAGCCAAATATTATTATAAGATTCTATGCTTTTTGGTTCTTCTTCAGAAGTTGTTTGACATATTTTTCCCTGTGACCTTGTAAGTAGGTCAATGTCATTTTCCTTCTCAAACTTTGTTAGCTCTATCCCAAAAAGCTACCAGCAAAATCTTATGAATCCATTCCTTTTGGCTCTTCAGAACAAATCCTTTGAAATGTTGTTGACCTCTGTGACCTTTAAAGTAGGTTGTGGTAATATTATAATATTATGCCTTTCGATTATTCAGAAGTCGTGTAAAGAGTTTGACATATTTGACTGCTGTGAGCTTGAAAGTAAGTCAAGGTCATTTTCGGTCTCAAACTTTGTCTGGCTTTATCGCAGGAAGCCATCAGCCAAATATGAAGATTCTATACCTTTTAGTTCTTCAGAAGAAGTTGTTTGAAGCATTTGACATATTTGACAGCCGCTGTGACCTTGGAAGTAGGTCAAAAAGTCATTTTTATTCTCAAACTTTGTCCGGCTCTATCCCTGCCGAATATGAAGATTCTATACCTTTCAGTTCTCCAGAAGAAGTCTTTTGAAGAGTTTGACACATTTGACCCCTGTGACCTTAAAAGTAGGTCAAGGTATTTTCTATTCTCAAATTTTGTATGGCTCTACTCAGGGAGCCACCAGCCAAATTTGAAGATTCTATATCTTTCAGTTCTTCAGAAGAAGTCGTTTGAAGTCTTTGACATATTTGACCCCTGTAACCTTGAAAGTATAGGTCAAGGTCATTTTCGTTCTCAAACTTTGTTGGGCTCCTACCAACTGCTCTATGCCTGTTCGTCTTCAGAATAAGTCGTTTAAAGGAAAAGTTGACTGACTACGAGGAACGCCGCACCATGACATAAGTGGCATGATGATTGTGAAATAAAATGAAACTCTGAAATGACGTCTTTTTGGAGGAAACAGAGATCATAAGTGCGGAAGGAGAATACATTGTATGTGCATATTGGAGGTTTTTAAAAGAAAAATTATCCATCTTTCAAACGGTCACTAAGCATTTTCCCGTAGATCAACTAGAAATGTTGTTTTTGATGTAAGAAAATTTGGTGGGGTCGACTTTACAACCTCGCGGGCTTTCCGCTCTTCTCGTAAATGTATATGATCATTGGGGGTGTCATTTTTACCAAAAGTCGATCTAAACCCTTAAAACATGTCAAATTACTCTGAACACCTTAGTTTAAGTCCAAATATAGGTTAGTCAGAATTATTTTGACGTTTTATCGACTTTTTTCATATCGGTCTGTCGTCGATAAAACGTCAGAATAATTCGGACTAAATATAGATGCAACATTCCCCTTTAACATTTTCTGATTTGGCTTTCAATGATAATTAAATAATAACTGATTTTCTCTCAACTTTTAAACACTCTTGCGGTTTGTCATGCATTGAATGAGTTGGCCTATAATCGGCTGTCTGTCATACGAGCACGTGTTTCAAGGACATAGCCGGTTTAAATGACGCAATGAAGAATTTTACCATCGATGCAGTTACGATGAGTCGGACATTTTGTCAGGAGCAAAACGTGCTGTCTCTGTGTCGAGGAAACTTCATTACTGTAGTTCTTTTGTGTACTGTAAGATGTCAAAACACTCTTATTGCAGTTCCTCTGCGTTATTTCGCAGCACGCTCGCCTTATGGCAGCCATTTTCTTTTCTAGAATGAATTTGAAGGGATAGTTATACCATTTTCGAAAAAAAAGAAAAATTAAAAGTCTTTTGACAAAATGATAAAATTGTGAAAATATTAACCTTAGCAATAAATTAGTTGGTTATTAATCTACAACTAGTGTCTTTTTCTCCAAAGAACTTTAGGAAATGAAAATAACTTGACACTCGAAAATGAGACTACAGCACATATTTGTTGCAAGTCAACACACTGCAAATCTCGCGTTATTTTGTGAACCGGAAACTTCAAAATCAGCTGGAAGTCAGTCATCACTTCCTTTTTGTTCCGATCAAGATCTCAAAAGTACATTACTGCAACAGGTATTAGTAAATCAGTCCCATGTGTACTTATAAGTGCAACAACATATTTTGCTTACTGGTCAATAGATACATGTGCAAATGTCTTCTCTGATATCTCCATCAAAACAGGTTTGGATCCGCCCCCTTCAAGTTCAACTGTTCACCTGTCAAGTTGGTTGCTCTCTCCTTCTCTTCTGCTGTTGGATCACACTTGCAGGAATTTTTTTCCACCGTGTAGGGAATGGAGCTTGTAGCATTTGAATTTGAAAAAAACTTTGGTTGCAGTAAACCATTTTTTTTACAGAGATGTCATCTAGAAGTTAAAAGAGCCGTCCCATCTTTTCTGTTAGATACAAGATGAAAATTGAATAGAGAAATTTCAAAGAGATTTAAGCAAAAGTTGCACTACATATGTAGTTTCCAAAAAGTGCTGACCTTAATTAATACATACGATGTACATCCCAAATAATGAAAAACAAGGAAATAAACTCATGCATGTACAAACCAGATCCATAGTAGACATTATTTCCTATGATGATGCATCCTTGGTTGTTGGAACATTGGAATTAATTTTTGTGCAAAAAAGGACTATATGACTTCCTTTTGGAGTTGACTCGGACTTAGTACTTATATTAATACCCGGCCTCCTCTGCCCAGCTGAAAATCTCGCCGTCATAATAAAGCTACGTTATCGCAGCTAAATCGAACTCGGAGGGAGTAATTTTGCATGGAATGGAATATTGTATTAACTAAAAGGAAGGGTGTTGTCAAATTGGGTACTGAGTTAAAATTGGGGAAAATAATATGCAATTTTACTTTCACTGTTGTTAAATGAAATTCCCAATTTATTTATATAAGGAAGATATCTATTAATACAGTAAAAGCACTGTAGGTAGTATGTGTAGTACTTTTTCCTTCTCGTTTCTTTCATCCCTTCATCAGGCATGTGAAGTATGCATATATAATTTCAGACAGAGCTTAATGAACTGGTTCTGAGAATCACAGTCTTACAGTTCTGAAAGTAAATGATTAAGGATTCCTTCCTGTAAAACAACACGAAGAACGCATTTAACTAATATACAGTTCAAGCCAGTTTACTCCCCACTTTTATTCATTTGTTGTTTCATGAACCACTTTTCTTTTTTCCAATAAGATGTTTTTATCAGAGGTAATAATTACAGATGTCATAGTAAACAAAAACAAACAAGTAACTACCAATACTAAACAGACGTTTATGTCAAAAAGTCCTCTAAATCAATGGGATATTAATATAAGATATCAAACTAATCTCAGCCTTGTTGTAAAATGTAATACATGTATCGCATAAATATACACGCATGAGAGACCTAATCTGATTAAAATCATCTGTTACATGGCTCCGCCTGAACATCGTTCAGGCGTAGTACGAAGTGAACGAAGCCATGTAACATATTATTTTAATCAGATTGATGAGAGACCTTACCAGGCATTGTAGGCTAGCTGATGAGGGCAATATGTTTTAGAGACTTGGAATGAGTTAGATACAATAAATAAAAACAATAAAACGATGTGTCTGTATTTATATCAAATGAGAAACAAATATCTGCACTGCAGGACAACCACATCAACTTGTGTTATCTAATGGACTTCCATGTAGTACACACACTAACATCCCCTTGTGTTATCTAATGGACTTCCATGTATTACACACACTAACACCCCCTTGTGTATCTAATGGACTTCCATGTCGTACAAATACTAACATCACCTTGTGTTATCTAATGAACTTCCATGTCGTACACACACTAACATCCCCTTGTGTTATCTAATGGACTTCCATGTAGTACGAACACTAACATCACCTTGTGTTATCTAATGAACTTCCATGTCGTACACACACTAACATCGCCTTGTGTTATCTAATGGACTTCCATGTATTACACACACTAACATCACCTTGTGTTATCTAATGAACTTCCATGTCGTACACACACTAACATCGCCTTGTGTTATCTAATGGACTTCCATGAAGTACAAACACTAAAATCACTTTGGTAAGTGTGTCTGTATTTATATCAAATGAGAAACAAATATCTGCACTGCAGGACAACCACATCAACTTGTGTTATCTAATGGACTTCCATTTAGTACACACACTAACATCACCTTGTGTTATCTAATGAACTTCCATGTCGTACACACACTAACATCACCTTGTGTTATCTAATGAACTTCCATGTCGTACACACACTAACATCCCCTTGTGTTATCTAATGGACTTCCATGAAGTACAAACACTAAAATCACTTTGGTAAGTGTGTCTGTATTTATATCAAATGAGAAACAAATATCTGCGCTGCAGGACAACCACATCAACTTGTGTTATCTAATGGACTTCCATATAGTACACACACTAACTTCACCTTGTGTTATCTAATGGACTTCCATGAAGTACAAACACTAAAATCACTTTGGTAAGTGTGTCTGTATTTATATCAAATGAGAAACAAATATCTGCGCTGCAGGACAACCACATCAACTTGTGTTATCTATTGGACTTCCATGTAGTACACACACTAACATCTCCTTGTGTTATCTAATGGACTTCCATGTTGTACAAACACTAGCATCACCTTGTGTTATCTAATGGACTTGCATGTAGTACAAACACTAACATCACCTTGTGTCATCTAATGGACTTCCATGTAGTACAAACACTAAAATCACTTTGGTAAGTGTGTCTGTATTTATATCAAATGAGAAACAAATATCTGCACTGGAGGACAACCACATCAACTTGTGTTATCTAATGGACTTCCATTTAGTACACACACTAACATCACCTTGTGTTATCTAATGAACTTCCATGTCGTACACACACTAACATCTCCTTGTTTTATCTAATGGACTTCCATGTTGTACAAACACTAGCATCACCTTGTGTTATCTAATGGACTTCCATGTAGTACAAACACTAAAATCACTTTGGTAAGCGTTGGGTTCAACCAGAAAATCATAACAATGTATGGAGAAGATATGAATTCTTTAATATGACCCACAGAATCCTCCTCTGAACAAAACAATAGAGCAGTCCATTACTTCACAGAACATCGGGCTCATTAAAACAGATCCACTCTCATTTCAACCATCACTTACATATCTACGTAAGCGATATAGGCCCTCTGGGCTTCTTGCTATAAGCTTAAGAAGAAATATTGTATTTTTCCCAATGTTGCAGAAGATTTATTATGAAAAGATTCTTGTTACACAACCAATAAGTGTTTCTATGTGATCTTTCGATGACTAGTATGGTATGTACTCTGTCCCCATAATGTAGCTGATCCCTGCCAATCGACATCGATTTGTGGACAACTCTTACAGATGTACACATTTTACACTGTTGTGTACATACGCTTCACTGGTCATTTGTCTGATGAAGGTGACAGAGTACATACCGTACAAGTCATCGAAACTTCACATAGAAACACTTATTGGTTGTGTAACAAGAATCTTTTCATAATCCATACTTTACCAACCTGAAGAAAATGTTTAGAAAGTGCGGAAGATTTGGTTTAAAAATTTTATGATTAAATATGTTAAATTTTACAGGTGAAACAAGAAATATGGCGTGGCGTTTCAAGATCTCAAAGTATAAGAATGCTGGTGCAAAATTTCCAAAAAGAGAGGTATTTTTTGTAATTCAGTAATAATATGTACATATGCTTTGACAACTGTTCCTTCTTGAGGCCAAAAATCAAAATCTGTGTTTCTGTATCTACCTAAGATGTTTGTGTTAACTGTCCTTTTTCACCCGTTTTAGACCAGTCTTATACAATGTCAGTAATTTACCTGGGTTGTTTTCTGCAGCATGCAGAGGACTTATTATATATATGGTTCTGTATAATATCCCTTCTCCCATGAAGCTATCCAGTATAAATAATCAATAATCCCATTGTGAAAAATGTCAACCTACTGAGTTTTAACGAAATAAATTTAAAAAAAGAGCTAAATTCTCTTACTTTATTTTGTTAACTATTCCTTTTTTGGAATTTTAACCTTCAGAATACAAAATTTGTTATGTACCTGCAAAAATAGAATCAACCATTTTTGATTGTTTCCTAAGACAAACATTACAGAATTTGGGTATATAGATCATTGGAAAATGATCAAGCCAAGACACAAATCATAATAGCTAAATCTGGAACAAATAAGTGTTTGTTTCATTTTATCTAGTTGCAATTGGGTGGTGGAAACCAGCTAAAACTAGTCAATCAGTGGTGATATACATCAAAAAGGTATTTGATTTTTTTTTGTGCAGGAATGGATACCAGAATTATCAGTTGGGAACTTGATGCATTCCTGTGGCAACCATATAAAAGCAAGCGGTGCCTTCATGGCTTTCAACATTATAAATACAGGTAATGTTTATTGCCACTAGACTAATAATTGTTCATCACAAGATGTGCACTGGTATATAAAATCAGTTTTGTAAATAAAGAAAATACAGCCAACATGTCTGACAAGCTGTGATTAAATATCTCTTAAAAATAAATAAACCATATTTCAATCTTTATATCTTATTCAAAAGAAACAAGTATGGTCATGGTATGGCTTTTGTTCATGGTCTAAGGGGAGATAAATCAGGGTTTTGTTGTACTGTCACAGGTTTTTGAAAATTTGTGGGCATATCCATACCTGCACAATAAGAATTTAAAGAGAGCAATAAGATTTCTAATAAATTACCTAAAAAAGTGAATCTTTGGCTACAGGTCATGCTTAAAGTCAAAAATATATATATAGAAAATCAAAATCAATACCTGGTATATAGTGTGTTAATTGTTATTCAGTTTTTTGTATATTTACTATTAAAATTAGACATGATATCTGTATTCTATACTATTAAAACTTGATTACTTAATTAGATGCTGAGACTTGTCGCTACAATTACTTCGTAATCTTGTAAACTTTTATAAATTACTTTTTAGGACAGCAGCAGTTTTTTTTTTTTTTTGAAGTCATTGTCTTGTGATACATTTATTTAATAACAGTTAATGAACTTTGATATTCACAGATTCAGGGGAATATTTTTATGTTTTTTAGGTGGAGGCAGCCTCGGTATACTTCCTGTAAGTACATCAGGACGACTGTCGAATGGTTTGCCGCAACTTCCAGCGCATGGTGGTCAGTGATAGCTGTGTGGTTCTGTATTATTGTTTGTGTGGCCGATTGGTTATTTATAACACCATATTGTGTGTGATGTATTTGGTATATTTTTATTGGTATTGCTTTTTTGTGTGTATTGGCATTATTATATGATTTCATTATTAATTCATAGTTATGATGTCCCACTTTTATACCAGTATAACTATTAAATGTTAATCATCTCAATTCTTATAAGTTTTGAGGATATAGCAGTACCTGTGTTTTGGTAGACAATAAAGTGATAGTACATCCATCTCCATCTTGTGACGATCCTAACCCTCCCTATCTCTGTGTCGCTATAACTCCCTCTCCTCCCCCTTACTGTTCTCCCCTTTAAACCTTACCTAGTCTCTTTTGATCCTGTTTAACCCCAATAACTATCATCTTACCCCTCTTTTCCTGTTTCGAAGCCTTTTTACCACATTCATTAACAAACCTATTCAAACGTTCAACAACTTTCCTTCATTCTCCATCATCCCTTGCATGACCATAACCCACTATTCTTGTTAACATCCTATTCCCTCATTGGCATGACCATAACCCACTATTCTTGTTAACATCCTATTCCCTCATTGGCATGACCATAACCCACTATTCTTGTTAACATCTTATTCCCTCATTGGCATGACCATAACCAACTATTCTTGTTAACATCCTACTCCCTCATTGGTACCTCTTTTCCCCTTATAGTAACACTACTTTTCTTCCATCCCCTACCCTCACCCCACCCCAACCTTCCTTCCTTCCATTCCTCCATCTCTCCATCTTTTCCTTTTAATAATCCTCCCTATCCCCACTTACCTCTCTCTCTCTCTCTACCCCTCTTATCCATCTATTCCTCTTGTCTCCTATCACTACCATCATCCTCTCCTTCTTTCCCTCCCATTCCTTTCACTTGTAACCGATACCATCCCAAACTTCTGCTTTCCAGCAATTGATTTCCTCTCACCATTCCATCCCATCTCTCTCTCTCCCGATGTTGATCCCCCTTTATTCAATTTTCTCATCTGTCCCGTCACCTTCCATCATCAATCACCTCTTGCACCTTTCATCCCATCTGGTGCATTCTTCTCCATCACTTAACACTGTCTTTGCCGTCTACCTCCAAATCCTCCTGTAAGACTACGTTGAAGGTGTATTGTACAGCACTAGTACTGATATCACCTTTGTGTAGTTTGGTGTTATAATAATGCTTTACTTTGTTCGCCATCTAAAACTCTCTTTTTTGGCATGTGAAGTGTATCTAGCAAATTTCATTTAAAATTAAATATTTTTTTTGTCTCTTAACCTTAATTTTGACTCATTGCTGTTCTTTTGAGTCCTAGAATCTACATGTATATTACTTCTATTCGTTATACTCTTTAGAGAGTGTTTCTCTCTACCTAAGACCTGGAAGCAGGTTTACTTATGTCCTGCATGAGGGAAGATCTTTATTGATTTTGTTGTCATAACTTGATAAGGTCAAGTTCAAGTGATCTGTTTGCCAAAATAATTGCTTATCTTCTGAGATGAGTTTCTCTGTACTCAACACATTGACGATGAGTTTCTCTGTACTCAACATGTTGACGATGAGTTTCTCTGTACTCAACACATTGACACCTGAAAGGATCACTAACCTATAGATGTGTATGAACTCTATTAGATCTGGGGTTAAGAAATCCAAGATCAAGGTCATTTTAAGCTAAATCAGTACCATGTATAGAGCGCTCTACCTTACTGTATCTACATGTAGATCCAACTGGCCATAATTAAGTTATACTATGTCTTTTAGTAAGATCTTTTCCAAAAGACACAAATTCTTTACAATGAATTTCTTTGTGGTTTGACTACCGGTACTTGCTCATAATTCAAAACTTCGTCATGTTTTAAATACCCTCAAATTCTCTCTATCTGTGGGACAACTGTAGGAATAATTATATTCCAATCTTTTATGTGTCATCAGTATAAACTTTTACCTTAGCTGAACATTGAGTGCTGTGTACTAGTATTTAGTTTGAACATGCTTGATAGAAATTAACTGCTGTATCAGTGCTGTGTGTACCACTGCTGTGAGGTGGGAGATGTGCCACTGTGGATGGTAGATACCATGTAGGCTATTGGTGCAGTGATTGTATCACTGATGTAACATTATATCATTTGTAAACCATTTTTGATGGAAACTTATTAATGTTTAACTTTATTTCTTAATTTTAAAATCAGCAGAATTCTGTCATAAAAGTTACTCTTTGCTCAAATTCAATTAATTTATTGCATTAACTATGAAATGTTATGCTCTGATTTTGTTTAAAGTGTACATACTTTCAAGATAGTTCTAGATTTTGTCCAGTGCTGCCCTCTTACTAAGATATTAGAAAGATTGGTGAGAATGGTGCTGCAATATATAGGTGTTACCATGTTTGCATGTGTGCTTTTGTTATTGGATTTAAAAAAGAAATCCACTTTCATGTCGTAAACTATAGCTACTACATGATCTGTTTGTTAGAAACTTGTTTAATACAAAATACCTCTGGTAAATAATGGACTTGTAAGTCACTGTTTGTTACTTACCAAATGTGTATCAATATAGAATATATACTGTTGAAGTAGGTTGCTAAAACCTTTCGATTCATATTAATACTGAACTAGCAAACTAGATGGACATACATTCAATGTTAAACAGTTACTAAATGGATTATCTTGTTATATCAAACTTGAAAAAGATTTTTCTTGAATTTTGTTATATAATAAGTACACTGTTAGCTGTCAATAGCATTGTATGCTATGTTTTGATGAGCCCCTCTATCTGCCATTAATAGAATCACCACAAAATGCTACTTTGTTTTATTGTTTGTTTTAACTTTAATCTTGCAGATTACGTAACAGATTTTGAGTTCTCTCCCTTTGATGACCATCTGTTAGCAACAGGATCTAGCGATACCAATGTAAGTATTGTATATTTTTGTTTCTTTTTTACAATGTACATAGTTTAAGCTTGTTGATTTTCTGGTAGAACATCTAAATACCAACTTACACTGATTTACATTGATTTTTTTGGTAGAACATCTAAATACCAACTTGCACTGATTTTCCTTCACAAATTACATATTTCACTGTATTGATTATAATTTCACTATGATGAATCATTGCTAGGTAAAATTAAATGTTTTATGAACCTAGATTCCTAACACTTTAGCTGTCAACCTCTAAAAAGTCCAAAGAGGGGGATCCCCGTCTCCTTTTCTATAAAATAATGCCAAAATTGTGTCAATATAAACTGTTATACTTTTGCTTGCCTTTTAGAATGAATTGACCTGATGAAGCACTAGTTTATATCTTACTTACTGTTTTAATACTACATTACTATACATAACACAATTGTTTGTGTCATATAGAATTTACCCACTTGAGCACATGGGTTAAAAAAGAAACAATTAAATTGGTTAAAATTCCTTCTTTTTTTTGCACCATTGTTATGCTAAACACAATGAATTTAATGAACTTATCCATCACGCCTGGATCAACTTGTTAAATACATTGTACATATACAATTTCATAAATTTGATATTTCCCATAAACTGTTATTATGCTTGAAATTTTGATAGGCCTTTTAGACTTTGTACCAGTTTTGCTGAGATAGTTGATTTTCTGTTAGGATCTATGACTAGACCTTTAACCTATCAATAGATAAAGGCAAAAACCTTGCTTACCTTAACTTTGACCAATTTAAACATTTCCAACCTGCACCTTTGATCTCTCAACAGATTAAGGTATGGGTGTTACCTACACAAGAAGATATTAACTCAGGTGCCTTATCCAGTCTTAATGCCTCAGCATCATTTGCTAACGAAAGGCGAGTGGAAAATGTGACATGGAACCCAGTAGCTGATGGAGTGCTTGCTGCGTCTGTTTTTGATACAATCAAAGTGTATGACGTGGAAAGGGGAGATAACAAATACAGTAAGATTAACACAATAAACACAACTGTTAGTATTCAAGGCTATGCTTTCTTCATTTGTCATTCATTTCAGTTTTTGTTATTTTTTTTTAAAATTTAATAGATGTTTTTTTCATTTTCAATTTGAAATGGTTATGAGATTTATATAATAATGGTAAACAATGATTTACAAAGTGGTTGAAGTGTGGGGAAGTTATGAAATGATGATAAGCAATCAACAGGACGTACTCTCTACTGTACTTTACCCATGACCATCCAAGACAGTCTATTAATCCTTTCAGAGACACAGTATCACAAACTTCCTAATCCTAAAAACTCTGTTAACTTAATATTCTTCATTTAACATTATCTTTTCTGACACTCTAGACTTGGAATTTCTCCAATTTACCCAGTAATTCAAGTCCCAGGCAAATTCTTATCATTTCTTTAAGAATTACTTTACAAGTAACTATTTTAAGTCATGTTTGGGGGAAAAGATACAACCTTGACAAAAATCGGATTTTGAGAATTTTCATCATTTATTACAGTTTTGTGATTACCGGGTATGAGCAAGAACTGTTATGAGAGTCTTGTTCGTAAACTCTTATGAAAGAAGGTGGGTTTATTAATAGAACAGCTTACGTAGGTTTATGTAGTTATTTTCTCTATTCGCAGAGATTAATTCATCATCTACTTTTGTTTTAGCTCTCGGTTGCCATGGTGACCAGATACAGAGTGTGAGTTGGAGGGGAAGTGGTACAACCCTTGTTACCTCATGTAAGGACAAGAACATCAGAGTGCTGGACCCACGCTCCGGAGGAATGGTCCTGGTCTGTACAATTCCTCCCTGTTTACAATGTATCATTTTATCATGCTAATTATAACAACTGATATTCCTTGAATACTGAATATCATAATTGCTGTTCTGTATAATGGATTCTTGTAAACCTAGCCCTTGTTTCAAGGAACAGTGGCCTTTGTTCTTCACAAAAATGTGCCAGTAATCCTGTTGTCTAACAATCTAGCCAGTGTTGCTTGGAACAAAAGTGGCTAGTTTATTAATTCTCCATTGAACATGTTTCTTATCTGCTCAGGGTTTTTGTTAAATAACGAAAAAGAAAAATTTGAGCTCGTGAAAAATAAGACATGTTTGCTGTGTATAACCATTTGAGGTCTTCATAGTTGTTATAGAACCATGAAAATAAATACAACAAAGTTGATAGATATAATTCACTAATGTTTGTTTACCCAGGTATTTGGGGTAACCACGGCAGCTTGTACCACAAAATGATCTAAATGGCTTCAAACCACAAAAAAGTGATTCCCTTGAAAGTTTCATGTTATACAGTATCTTATAATAACAACTTATCTGACTAACATAACTGATTAAGATGTGTCTCTGAGTATATATGGTTTATCAACAGGAAGGTAGAGGCCATGGAGGGGTGAAGGACACGCGGGCATTATGGCTGGGAGACAAAGACTTTATCGTGTCCACAGGTTTCAGCAGTGTAAGTGTGAGGGATTTACCATCTAGTAGTCTGTATTACCAGTGTAAGTGTGAGGGATTTACCATCTAGTAGTCTGTACTACCAGTGTAAGTGTGAGGGATTTATCATCTAGTAGTCTGTATTACCAGTGTAAGTGTGAGGGATTTATCATCTAGTAGTCTGTATTACCAGTGTAAGTGTGAGGGATTTACCATCTAGTNGGTTTCGTATGACCCCATGACTTGCGCACATGTTAGACTCCTTGGTCCGTGTTTCAAGACGGGTCGGGATTAATGCCGACCGAATCGCCACTGACCCAACGCGCCGCCGGGCTGCGGACCCACACTACGCTCGCGGTCGGTGAACACTGCAAGCAGTATACCCCAGTTGAACGAACGCAGGCTAGTTCATCATCTAGTAGTCTGGATTACCAGGGTAAGTGTGAGGGATTTATCATCAAGTAGTCTGTATTACAAGTGTAAGTGTGAGGGATTAATGCCGACCGAAACGCCACTGACCCAACGCGCCGCCGGGCTGCGGACCCACACTACGCTCGCGGTCGGTGAACACTGCAAGCAGTATACCCCAGTTGAACGAACGCAGGCTAGTTTATCATTTAGTAGTCTGTATTACAAGTGTAAGTGTAAGGGATTAACCATCTTGTAGTCTGGATTACCAGGGTAAGTGTGAGGGATTTACCATCTAGTAGTCTTTATTACCAGTGTAAGTGTGAAGGATTTACCATCTAGTTGTCTCTATTACCAGTGTAAGTGTAAGGGATTTACCATCTTGTAGTCTGTATTACCAGTGTAAGTGTGAGGGGTTTACCATCTAGTCGTCTGTATTACCAGTGTAAGTGTGAGGGATTTATCATCTAGTCGTCTGTATTACCAGTGTAAGTGTGAGGGATTTATCATCTAGTCGTCTGTATTACCAGTGTAAGTGTGAGGGATTTACCATCTAGTAGTCTGTATTAGCATCATGTAACCCTTAAGATGATACATATATAGTCGGACTACATCAGTTTTGTGACTCTGTAATAGACATTGCAATGATCGTATTTTGTGAGTTAGTAGCGAAGTATCTTTATAAACATGTAGCTACATTTGACTTACTTCGTTTTTAAATGAAAAAGTATTTCAGTGTTTGTTATAAAATGATGATTACCTCATATGAAATCATAGTTATCATTCTAGAACAATTTGTTTTAATTTGTAAACCATTGAATCATTTTTTCCCCCGAATTATGTAACTTAACACAAACTGTCAGTGTCCTTATGATTCTGTTAAGTATGTTACCACTTTGTTACTCTCTGTTGGAATAATCTTGCTATTCTACCTACAGGATCGAAGTCAAGAAATTCGCCTTTGGGACAGTCGAAGTTTTAGATCCTGCCTACATTCCATAGATATTGGAAATTCTACAGGGCAAGTAACAACGTGTTTACACATTGATCAGTATTTTCTGGAAAAAATCATAAAATGTTTTGAAATATTAAGACAGTATCCAGTAAAAGACTTAATTCCAGGATGCAGCCTATCAGACCCTGGTTAGCTTAACAAACATTTAACACTGTACTTGTATGCATTTAATGCATGTTATTATTCTTATCTAAACAAGATTAATGTTATTTTTATGTTTAAATTGAAGTGCTTCTATATTTTTCAGGACTGTGATGCCTTTTTATGATAGTGATACCAGTATGCTGTTTTTCATTGGAAAGGTAAGATTTGTCAGTCATTTGTAGGGTTTAATTAAGTGACAGTAAAATCAGTATGCTGATCTGACATTCTAAAGTATCAATTAGCACCTTGATTTTAGTTTGTATTTTTACATTTTTTTTTTTATTGCAACTGGATCTTTCTAAAAACATTTTCCTTCCATCCCTTAATGAAAGTGATGGCTGTGACGTTATGAAAAACGCTGCTGGTAATTTGAAATGTATTTAAAAAATTTGCCATTTTTTATTTCAGGGTGAAAATCAGATAAAGTATTGTGAGCTTACAGATAAAAGTCCATTTATCAATGAGAGTAAGTTGATCTCATCATATACTGTAGGTTAATACTGTATAATATGAAAAGTTGCAGGATTCTTTTATGTACCTTTACACACAAAACACAAACATACCCTGTCTCCAGCATGCATACACACTTGCACACTTGCACAACACACATGGAGGCACATTTTTGAATGACCTTAGATGTTAATAGGACGTTAAACAAAATAAAACCAAACCAAACACACAAAAATCATTTCCTTGTTACAACTGTCACGATCAACCAGCACCAGGTGAACCTGAGTCAGTAATGTTCCTCTTCCATTGTAACTCTGTAAAACACATAGATGTAATTACACAGGGAAAGTTGGATGTTATGCTATACTTTCAGATAGGATAATAATTCCTATGCCAAGCATGGCTAATATAACGTTCACCCAACAATCCAATCAGATGCCTACTCTTACAGTAAACTGCAGACATTATGATTAGAATCTATTGTTTCAGATTTCATCGATAGAACAGAACAAATTAAAGGTGCTGCCATGGTTCCTAAACGCCTGGTGAATGTGATGGAGGGAGAAGTGAACCGTCTCCTTATCCTTACCAGCTCCGCCATTATACCCACGCCTTACATAGTTCCAAGAAAGGTGAGCCATTCAAACTGAACAATATTAGGGAAATTACCTCAACTTAATAACTTAATTGTTGCTCCCTTTTGCCAAAACTGAAGTCAAGTAATTTCTTTAAGCTAAAGAAGATTACTGAACGTCAAGATTGGTTTCATGCCGACTTTTGCATTATTTTATCATAAGAAAATTTTGAGTTATTTCATCCTGTAACCATGCATACAAATTGTATGGGTCTGGTGTACTTCCACGGCTGTGGGATGGGATTTTGAATTACACAAAATGCGTTGAAATTATTGATATTTTATACCCTTCCTCTATTTATGGTACCAAGCAGATCACAACTAATATTACTTGTAGTTTGGGTCACACATTTGGAGCGGTTTCAAGTTAAGATAAATATCACATCTTTTTTTATGAAATTTGACTGCACGAACATAACAAAATCATAATGTAGTTTTTATTGTGAACTTCTCATTCTCTGCAATTATGCTCAGGTTGGATACTCTTATTGTACTTTGAGTTGGATCATCACGATAGCTATCCAACACCCTTTGATACGGTTATGGCTACTTGTGTCACTAATGTAATGTGAATGTTTCAGTCTTACAGAGATTACCATGAAGACCTCTATCCCGACACCTTCTCAGGGGAGCCTACTCTATCTTCTTCATCATGGCTCAGTGGACAGAATGGTCAGGTAGGCATACACAAGTTCTCATTATTTATTACTTTGAGCGATATTGTATCTGTAACTTGTTACAGAGTAAAGGATATACTCTTTTACCTGTGGTAAGCAGTATGTTAGAATTAAGGATGCATGCTACCTTACATATTCTACCTGTGATTTGTGTTTTAGTAAAGAATGGATGCTGAACACATTGTAAATACCGGTATCCGTGATTTCTATAAGAGTTAAGGATATATACATTAAGCATTATATCTTTGATTGGTGTTACAATGGAGGATGTATGCCTCCCAACACATTGTAACAGTTATTTTATTCGACATATTCAGATGACGTAACACAAGTAAGTTTAAGAATTCCTCATTGCAGTAAGAGCAGCCATTAAAATTTATGTTTTATATTACAATATTTTTCAAAGTAATTGTGTGGGTTCCAGGTTTTATCACCATTCTATTGTTTGTGCAGGTGAAGTTGATGACCTTGAATCCGTCTCGAAGGTCAGAACCAGTTTCTAGTCCAGGTCATATATTCCAAGCAAATGCTGTCGTCAATGGTAGCATCAGCAGGGAGTCAACCCCAGCCCAAAAGGTAAGGCTTCCATTATCTCAAGCCCCGATTGTTAAGTTTTCTTACTGATTGTGTATGCTTAGGGAGATTCAATCATATATAGGTACCTATCACCAAAGAGGGAAAAAAAGAAATTTGTTCAGAAATTTATGAAAACACATGTTATCAGCTTCAGCCGAAAGCTTCCTGTAGCAGAGTTGAGTAAGGTCTTAACCTGTCTCTGCATTGAATATGAATCAATAAAGTATTCATGTAATGACCATGTAGTATCAACTGTAACATCGTTCTTGTCGGTTTTTATACTTATGAATTCAAGTTAGAACCGTTTTGGCTGAGTGATCAAGGTATGTAACCTTCTATGATCACTAGCCCTCCACCACTGGGTCACAGCTGGTTCGAGGCATAACTGGGGCAGTCGCCTGGTACTGGCCACAGGTCATGGTTTTCCCCTGAGTACTCCAGATTTGCTCCAACACCAAACCCTGGTTTATCCTTAGATGACAAATGACCATAGCTGTTAACAGAATGTAAATCACAAACAAACAAATTCACATGTATTCATGCTGTGTTTCTCTTTCCTTTTTCTGTGCCAGACTCAGCTATAGAACAAGCATTTGATAGATCAAATATACACTGATAAAGCATTTTGACTTGAATGTTTAGGAACTGAATTTGTTCTAAGTTTCGAATTAAGTTCCACTTATCAGCAAAAGATAGTTAAGATTCTTTTCAGGAGCAGAAGTATCTGGGCTAAGGTTTGGTTTCACTGTACCATCAAGTGAAGTAGTCCTGCCCTTTTGTTTCTTGTAGCCTGTGATTAATAAACCCAAGCCTGTGTCTACATCACCTCCGTCCGTCACCACAGTGTCGTCTGCTCAGACCACAAACATTCCCGACGAACCAGAAGATTTAGTAGATAGCCAATCAGTGGAGAGCACTACATTGACACATAACCAAACAGACGAAGAGAAGGAGGAGATACAACATTCTTCTGTGGTGGAGATCCCTCCTGTATCTACTCCGTCAGCTTCTTCAGGCAGCAGACCCATGTCTGTAGCTCATATCAAAACACCAGTCAAGGTATTCTCAAGTAAGTCACTGTTTATATATACTGTATAACAAAATGTTTGCGGGTACTTCTTTCGTGGTTTGAAGCCATTCAGATCGTTTTGTAGTACAAACTTTTGTGGATATCCTATTTTAACAAACAGTAGACAGGTGTATCATTCAAATTGGCTGTATTTATTTTCGTGGTTCAATATAGCGACCACGAAAACCCTGAATGTTTATACACAATGAACATTTCATGTTATACAGTATCTCTTACATGTGTGGACCTTCTTTATTCATTTCAACAAGCATGCATGTATTATAAACAAATAAAATATAGTCTTTCTGACCATCTGGTTGTTTATTTACTTGTCAGTCACCCTAGATATGTATATGAACCTCATCTGTAGTCCATAATCTGTCATATTGCCCTCAGTCTTAATCATTTAGTTATATACTGTATTGTTATTAGCGTCCCGAGGTATTATGATGGTAACACCACAGATTCACTGAAACATTTGTTTTAATATCTGTTGCTGCTGTATAACACGAAATGTTTTCTGTTTAAAACATTTGAGGTTTTTGCTGTTGCTACAGAACCTTGAAAATAAATACAATGAATTTAAATGATACACTTGACTACTGTTTGTTAATATGGGGTGTCCAGGAATGTTTGCATCACAAAACAATCTAAATGGTTTCAAACCATGAAAGAAGATATCTGCAAACAGTTCATGTTATACAGTATGTCACTAAGGTAATAGAATGAGAATGTAGATACTACAACTATTATGATGTCAAGGCATTTTACCCTGGTGACTGTTGCTATGTTACAGCCGGGCGTTTGTCAAAGTTCAAGTTCCTGAAGGGTCGCACAGAACACAAAGATAAACACATCGTTAACATAAGGAAGCTGTCCACAACAGTACCGGGGGAGAGTGACATGTTTGCTGCCAACAGGACCAGGTGTGTTGTACCAGTAGAGGGCGCTGGCGGCCTGCTACAAGTCCTTGAGGTAGGTACTCAAGACAGGGAAAGGTTTAATAGTACAGTTAAACACATAGCAAACCCTTGGAGATTTCATAAGTTAGTTTACTATAGGTAATATCATGTTATAGAGTTTCGTTTATTTCAGAATGCCTTGCCGAGGTACTTCATTATTATGAACACAAGTTGTAATAATCAGTATTGTAATATTTAACTCTAAGTCATGATTGTAATATTTTAAATTCTTGCAGACATTCCAAACTTTCAGTGAATTAAGTATGGTTATACATATGTAGTAGTCTATCAAGGTTTTTTACCTTAAAATAATTACACTCTAGTAATTTCTGGAAAAAAATGCATAAAAAACTAGTATCTTCTACAAGCCAAATGATGTTGTCTAAATAACTCTGTGACTTTTGTCTCCATCTCAAATAGAGACCTTTGTCTTTGATCTGTAAAGCAATTTCCAAAGATTTAACAAAAAAGTCTGCAACTGTTTAGTCAATTTCTCTGTATCCCCGTACTGATAGTTTGCCAGGCCTGGTCGCCTCCAAGACACAGGCTTACCAGTTCTGCAACACAAGAGTAAGGTCCTGGACTATGTGTGGGATCCGTATGATGATAGCCGACTTGTAGTGGGTAAGTTTGTAAGAATACATCACAACATTGATAAATCACATTATGTAATTCAATTCATCACCCTGTACAGTTCTAGTTATCCTGAATTGTCCAGCCCAATTTTGATTCTGTGAGGATTTTTTTGAATAATTTTGAAAGTAAGACATAAAAAATAATTTAAAAAGATATGTTGAAGAATATCTCCCTCTCTTCCCTCTAGATTCAAATTATCCTCCATCTTAAGGTGATGTTTCTGACCCTCAAAAAGGAAACTGATCTATTGAAAAGTTTTGAATAATTTCTTTTGTAGCATGTGATGATGCAAAGATTTGGGTGTGGAATATCCCAGAAGGGGGTCTTACCGAGACCTTGACCGAGGCCTCTCTGTATCTACAGGGTAAATACGGCACCTTTATTCTAATAATAAAGCGTAGTTTGTCAAAGCAAATAAAAATATGATGACAACACTGTAAAACAGTGATACAACACCCCTCATTTTATTTACTACATCACTTTCCATCACCATATTTCAATGTCCCCATTTCCTTGTGTCTGAGAAATTCCCATACACATCTCCCTTGATGTGTCACCAGCCTCTTTTTGGTGCCAAAATGTCGATCAACAAAAGCATAGCTGTCAATCTCCTTCATTAGCAGGGAGACTCCCTTGTTTTGACCAAAATTTACCAATCTCCCTCGAAACTCTGTGGTCAAATGATCTCCTAGTTACTGCAGGGTGTGTGTAATGATCATAACAGGTGTGTTTGAATCAAATAAAGGCTATTGGAGTTATTTTGATGCATAAAAAGGGAAAGATAAAATTGATCAAAGCAGTTTCAGTTGCATTTCACACACTTTCTCCTTTATCGGAAATGTGGAATGAGTGAGATATCCCTCATTGGAGGTTCCAGAGGTTGACACCTATTTAAAAGTTGGTAGTATAGCAGAGTGTCTAGAATAGAATAATTTGGCAGTATAGCAGAGTGTCTAGAATAGATTAAGTTGGCAGTATAGCAGAGTGTCTAGAATAGAATAAGTTGAACAATCACTCAATGCAACATAACATTATTAAAATTAAATTGCTTGACTCACCTCCTTATTGAATATTGCATCTTCTAATATTATAATTCTGTGTGTAGGTCACATGGAGAAGATCTACTTTGTGCGGTTCCATCCATTAGCTAAGGACATCATAGTGTCATCGGCCTATGACATGTCTGTCAGGATCTGGGACCTGTCATCAGGGACCGAGGTCCTACAGCTTCAGGACCACCCAGACCAGGTGAGTCAGGACACCGACACACCTGGTTCCAATATCACAAGTAATGAGTCCTTATGAGGGTGTGAGAGTAGGGATGGGGATGCTGACATTCATTGAAAGTTCTTTCCTTTGGAAGGTTTACATCACTCATGCTGGTTAATCCCCCACCGGTTCCCGGATTAACCAAATTTGGTGTACAAGGACATTTTGGGATGGCAGAGTTCAGAGTGCAAGAACTAGGTAACTGTGACCTATGACTTGACCTTTGACCTTCACTTTTGTAAATGTTTGTGTCCGGGGTATATCTTTTAAACTAATTCACTTGGAGTAACCAGTTTTGGTGTACAAGGACATCTTGGGATGACTGAGTGCAGAGTGCTAGAATAAGGTCACAGACTTATGACTTGACCTTTGACCTTTACTTTTGAAAATGTTTGTCCGGTCATACCTTCTTCACTATTTCACTTGGAGTAACCAGTTTTAGTGTACAAGGACATCTTGGGATGGCAGACTGCAAGAAGTGTGTATCAGGATACTTTCCTAACAGTAGGTACATCCTGACATAAGTGTACTGTTTGTTAAGTATAGAAATCATTACAGGTGGGGGACTTTGGATTGCCTTGAAACACTTTACCTTGTTTCAGATTGTTTTCATGGTTTGGTATCTGAGTGTTGCTGACATATATTAAATGATGGTTTTCATGGTGTGGTATCTGAGTGTTGCTGACATATATTAAATGAGTTACTCTGGTTACCTCTAGGTGTTTAACGCTGCCTGGAGTCCCGACGGTAAATATCTCTCAACTGTGTGTAAAGATGGGAAACTAAGAATATTCAACCCTAGGAAATACCAAACCCCACTCATGGTAAGAGGTTTGTTTACACTAAGATAAAATTGTTTTCCATATATAAAGGTCAGTAAAATTGATTTTAATGATGATGTCATAATTGTTGTTTCAATGTAACTGTTGTAGTTTACCAAATTCAGGATGGAATTAAATTAAAATTGTTATAATTGTTTGAATTTAAAAAGTTAATTATTTCAAGTCACTAAACAATATCGTTAATCACAATTGTTCAAGTATTCCAAATTCAGGAAGCTGTGATTGTTTAGATTTAACTACTAAATTGTTTGTACTACAGGAGGGTCAAGGTCCTGCGGGAGCCCGAGGGGCCAGGTTAACATGGGTACTAGATGGTCAATATCTTCTAGTCACTGGTTTCTCTGAGTAAGTCTAGCCTTTAAAGATAACTTAAGTTTAATGGTTTAGTGATAAGGAGAACTATCTCTCTCATTTCCCTGTGTGTAAGATAGAGCTGTCCAGGGTAAGAAAGGGGTGTAGGAAATATCTATCTTGCACCCCATTTCACATGACGTGACGTCACAATGGCTCCACAATGACATGACCTTACGAATTTGGAAAACACCGATGCCACAATGCAGAAAAGGCAACGTGATGAAATTAAAACCCTTAACGATATATTTACTGTACACGTTAGAAAGATGACATTATTTTTTTTGCGCAAACTCTGTTTGTATATATTGGGTATGCTAAATCTGGCTGACAGATTTGTTTTCGTCAATAAAACTCTCAGGGAAATTGATATTTTTAAAATGTTAGCCAGTCCAAATGCATTTTCATGGTTTCTGAGCTTATTCTGGTAGTTGGAATGGAATGAGAGACAAATTTTATGCCCAAGGGTGTAGGATAGGGAAATTCCATCCTTAGGATTTTCAAATTTGGCAAAACCCCTCGGCACAGCCTCTGATTTTACCGAATTTGAAAACCCCTTGGGTTAAATTTCCCTATCCTACACCCCTGGACATGAAAGAGTCTTATATTATTGTACAACCTTTGTCAATCTTGTAAGTTTAATGATTTACAGTGAGAAAGACTACTGCTTATTGTCTGATGGAGACGTCATATGCAATGCTGGATATTAAATTTCAATATAAGTTTGCAATATTATTTGATAAGAAAAAGTTTTGTGGGATTCACAGATTCCTCTTACAAGTATTATGAATTCAGAAAAATAAAAATTGTATACAGTACCATGAAATGAATTGTCGAAATTCAACTTTGAATTAAATTATTTAAATGAAGTTTTGATGTAATTTTACACCACCAGTATGAATGAGAGGATTATATCGTTGTACGACACTGCCGATCTGGCCACACCCCTACAGATAATGGAGGTGAATGCTGCCCCACCTGTACTGGTGCCTTATTATGACGAGGATAGTCACACAGTGTTCCTATCTAGTCGGGTAATGTTTATTATATGTTAGTAGTAATGTTTTTACTAGATGAGGTTTACATGATAGAATGTCTTTATATCTTAATGTCTTTATAGGTTGTTCTGACTATATTATACTTAGAGCAACCTACCTATTCCTCAGTCGATAGGTTGTTGTCAGTCCCAGATCATGAGCTATGACTAATGTCCGTTAAATTTGGGTCAGTGTTCCCACTGAATTTTAGATTTGGGGGTATATTTGATACATTTTCAAGATTCTGTACCCGTAAGTACTAAGTAACATCAGCAAGCCTTAAGAACTGAGGTACAGCCAACTGTTTTGGGAGTGAAACCCTCATTTAGGGGTTTCTTGGAACAATGCTGGTATATTACCGGGTAAGCGAGGTTGTAACAGCTTAATACTGCCCGTGTACGTGACTTCAATCAATATCCACCATCGTTTGTGACTTCTATAAATATTCTATAAATATTTGCCCTTATGTGATTTCCATTATTATTTTCCATTATCTAGATTCTTGTATAAAAGCGTTACATTTTTGCTTAGTTATTTTGTGTCAGGTTACTTTACGAAGGTCAAAAGTCAGTAATCTCAATTTTATTTTTAACTATATAATCTTGAATAGTGAAGTGGACAGACTCAAAAAGATATTGTAGCTTCTTCTGTCTAGGAAAGTTTTATCTGAATTTGAAGCCAGCCTTTTGTAACTGATGTATTATAAGCAGTAGAATTGTATTATTAGATATCACATTAATATGAGTTTTTTTAACAAGGATAGAAATCTTAAATGTTCCTCTTGTGTGTTTAAATCATGTTGAATAAGCTGCAAAAAATAATAACTTCACTAAAAAATTCTTATATTGTCAAATACAATGTGAATTATATGCATTTGTTTTTTATATAGGGTGAGAACCAGTTGTATGCATACGAAGTGTCAGACGAGGAGCCTTATATCACCCAACTGTCTAATTTCGCTGGGGAAGGCTTACATCAAGCCTTTTCCTTCCTTCCAAAAATCACCTGTAACCCAAAGGAAGTGGAATTTGCGCGGGCATGGCGACTGACTTCTACCTCACTGGAACCAATCTCCTTCACTGTCCCCAGGGTCAAGGTAGGTCAGGGTCAAAGAAGGTCGAGGTAGGTCACAGGTCAAGGTAGGCCACATGTCAAGATAGATCCTAGGTCAAGGTAGGCCACAGGTCAAGATAGATCTGAGGTCAAGGTAGGCCACAGGTCAAGATAGATCCGAGGTCAAGGTAGGCCACATGTCAAGATAGATCCTAGGTCAAGGTAGGCCACAGGTCAAGATAAATCTAAGGTCAAGGTAGGCCACATGTCAAGATAGATCCTAGGTCAAGGTAGGCCACATGTCAAGATAGATCCTAGGTCAAGGTAGGACACATCAAAATAAAGGTTGGTCAGGGTCACAGCAGGTCGAGGTAGGTCACAGGTCAAAGTAGATCACAAGTCAAGGTAGGCCAAATCTCAAGATAAACCCAATGTCAAGGTAAAACACAGGTCAAGGTAAATGAGGCAAAGATAGGCTGGAGTATAAATGCATTATAAGACTGGTCTGTTTCTGTGTGGTCACTATGGATGTGTTTGTTACAGACAGGTTTTTGACAAACTTTTGTTGATGTATCATGTATCTAGTTTTCCTTGTTGTTTCATAACAAAAAGAAAATATATAGTAAATACTTTTCTGAAACAAGGTATTGAGGTTACTGTACTATGTCTAATGATCACAAGAACAAGTCTGTAATACAATGAATGTGGGAATGTTTTTTCCCTAGATGGAGTATTTCCAGGATGACCTGTTCCCGGACACCCGTGTGACGTGGGAACCCACCATGACCAGTGATGAATGGCTGTCAGGACTCAACAACCATGCTAGAACCATCAGCTTACAGCCCCGGGGGATGAAAAAATGTATGACAAATAGATGTTTGTGTTATAGACCGTTTTTTATCATGGTCATTCCAGATTCTATATGTACAGTACTTGTTGTGTACAGTATAATTATGAAGTATGGGATTTTTTTGGTAAAATATCTCTTACATGTAATTAATTGTGTAAAAGTGGAGATTTTTGTATTATTTACATTAATTTTGGACTTCACACTTCTCAAACAGTTTCCAGTGAGGAAATGCTCATGTTCCAACTTCTCTAAAAATTCTGAGGAAAAGAAAATGAATATCTGCAATTCAGTTTCAGTTGTTGGTCCATGGTGTATTTATGTGCTGATCCATTTTAAACATTGAAGTTAACAGCTGTTCCACAGATAACAGCAGATTATATATTTACATCACAAGTGGTATGTCAGATAAAGGATTGGTAATTAATCCTGTCCATTTGTAACAGTGAGTGAAGCCCCTGTGGAGGCCCCCAAAGCCAGCAAATATGACAGTTACAATCCCGACACCTACAAAACAGATGAACAGAAGAAAGAGGAGGTTAGTCTTGTCTTATTGCATCACTTTGATAAACAGGAGAAACAATGGCCAATAGTGGACAACGTTTCTAGGGGATACAACATTGTGATACAAATTTTGATTGAAAGACATTTTCACAGTCATGAGCTATTTAACATTAATATGTACTGGAAAGCTGGTTTTGCAAAATACAATATATGTATTATTTTTGTAGTGGTAATCTACTTGGAGCTGCCTTCCTTATTTAAATAATAAAGCCAAATTATTTTTTTCTGATCTTTTAGCACTAGAGCTATTTCAGCCTTAATGTTTCCACAGACTATATACTGTAGAGCTAGTGTTTCTTTTACAAGATTCTAAAATTTGCTGTTTTTCAAGCTGATGGTTTTCTACTCAAAGCAAATCTTTGTTTTGTATGGGAAATAATCATATTTGCAAACATATTGCTTATCACATCTTTTATGTAAATACACAAAAGTATCGAACCAATGGGAAAACATTTCTTGGTATTAGATTTGAATAATACAGTAGAAATAATGTGTGCTGATCTCAACACACACAGTTACCGTTACGTATTCTATGTGTTCACAGTTACTCAGTGCGATGACAAACAAGCTGTCAGTACAAGGAGACCCCTTACCCCAGGACCTGGCAGAGGGCGTCGACTCGGACGAATGGGTAGGTAGTGATCCTCAATTTACCATGTAATATCTAATGACTAAGGGCTTGAACCTGTATTGTTCGTTTAGGATATAGGGATTTACCTAGTGATTTAATATTGCTATCTAGCGGGCTTGAACCTGTATTGTTCGTTTAGGATATAGGGATTGACCTAGTGATTTAATATTGCTATCTAGTGGGCTTGAACCTGTATTGTTCGTTTAGGATATAGGGATTGACCTAGTGATTTAATATTGCTATCTAGCAGGCTTGAACCTGTATTGTTCGTTTAGGTTATAGGGATTGACCTAGTGATTTAATATTGCTATCTAGCGGGCTTGAACCTGTATTGTTCGTTTAGGTTATAGGGATTGACCTATTGATTTATTTTGCTATCTAGCAAGTCTTTACAAAGACTTCCATGGCCTACATTGACATTTGCAGGTCCATAAGGCTTTATCCTGTAATACATTTTATCACATACCTCTTGAATAATCTTGTTATAGTAATACAAGCAATTTTCAGACCATGAAATACAACGTTCTGTATTGCACATGTGCAATACGGAATGTTGTATTGTATTTACCTACTAGCCGGAACTACTTTTGATTAGTATCCCCTTGTCATGGCGAACTTGTCATCCCTACAAAACGACACCTCATTACAGCGACCAATTTTACAGAAGAAACCAACACTTCACTTTGAAAGTTTCCAGTTAGAAATCATACTGACAATGAATGCCAGCTCAAATTAGCTCAGTGCTTATTTTACATAGTGTACTATATTTTGGAATATTTCAGCATCATAGAAAATATTTTGTATCCATAGTTTAGTTCTTAATAGCTCACCTGGTCCGAAGGACCAATGTGAGCTTATGCCGTACCGTGGCGTACGTCAACAATTTCTTCAAACGACTTCTTCTTCTTAACCACTGATTGGAATTTGACTAAATTTGACTGGAAGCATCCCTAGGTAGTGGGGATTCAAAATTGTACAAATGGTGGGGCTGAGGGATGGGGCCAAAAGGGGGCAATTTGGCTATATTGATATAAACGACTTCTTCTGTGGAACTATGCGATAGATATTTATGATATTTGATTGGAAGTATCACTAGGTAGTGCGGATTTAAAATTGTACAAATGGTCAGGCTAACCCCCCATTGGGCTGAGGGGTGGGGCCAAAGGGGGCAATTTGGCTATATTGCTATGAACAACTTTTTCTGTAGAACTTTGCACTGGATATTGATCATATTTGGTTGGAAGCATTCATGGGAGGCAGGGATTCAAATTGTTCAGGTGGTTGGGCTGACCCTCAGAGGGCTTACAGGCGGGGCCAAAAAGGGCTATTTTGCTACACTGCTTTAAGCGACTACTCTGGATCCGGAACCAAAAGATGGATATCAACCATATTTGACTGGAAGCATCCCTAGGTAGTGGGAATTCAAAATTATACAAATGAGATCCCCACCCCAAAACTATATATACAGTTGTTGGGCATAAAGAGACAAATGCTGTCATGATATTAGAATTGACCCTGGGATCTGCCCCACCTTTGCAAACTTAACCCCTGGGTCATAACTTTGAAATGGTTGAGATCCCCACCCCAAAACTATATACATTATACAATTGTTGGGCATAAAGAGGCAAATGCTGTCATGATATTAGAATTGACCCTGGGATCTGCCCCACCTTTGCAAACTTAACCCCTGGGTCATAACTTTGAAACAGTTGAGATCCCCACCCCAAAACTATATACAAATGCTGGGCATAAAGAGACAAATGCTGTCATGATATTAGAATTGACCCTGGGGTCTGGCCACAACCCTAGGGACCTAGTTTTGTAGTCACAGCTTGGAAACAGTTGAGATCCCAACCCCATAACCATACATAAACTTGCTGGGCATGAAAATGTTACAAGGTTTGGTCTTAGGTTCTGGCCCATTCCCTTGGATCTTATAAGGAGAATATTTTGCCATGATTGCTTAGATATCCAGGTGAGCAATACAGGCCCTCTGGGCCTCTTGTTAAATGTATGTATTATGTAAGCTTGTTCAGTCAACAGAGCAGCCATCTTTAAGAAGGGCCTATGTATCTACCATTACCATTTTGTCATAATAATGATCATGTCCCGCATCAGGCCATGACATTCATAGCCGACGCGAATGTGATCTTAACCATTTCACCACTTTGGAGCACAATGGACTCATCCAATAAAGCTATGGTAGAGTCTAATAAAGTTACCTAGGGGTGAAAGGGTTAATTTGGTAGGGCTATATTTAGTTATAATAGTGGCATCGTCATGCATATGATAAACATGAAAAGATGGTATATTTTGTGTAATGTTTTCAGCATTTCATTGCTGATAGCTTTCGACTTTTGTTCAGTTGCTTGTAACTGCTTCGTCTGCTTGCCTAAACAACCCTAGAAAGGCAGGGCTGTTCTGCTTGCCTAAACAACCCTAGAAAGGCAGGGTTGTCACTAATCTTAATAGAAGTATTTGAAAATACACCACATCAGTTCCTGAAAAAGACGTATTCTGACATTAATATCACTTCTATTGATTTTCTTTTTCAAACAGGAAGATGAATGATGACTGAGTGCCCGGCGTGAAGGGGTTAGAATGTTGCTTTGTTTTCACATCAGACACAAGTATTACTATACAAAAGAGTCGCCAAAGGGAGGAAATCCATTTATTTGCGTAAAGCATTTGTTTCTGAATTTGTGGAAAACAGATGTATGGTGGACGAGGAAATTCCAAACCAGGGGATACAAACGGGCATCAAATCTGAGATTCTGCCAAGTGATTTCTCCCCTACTATTTCATTGATCATTTCAGATGTGAAAAGTATGATAGTATTTCATGGTCAATTAACAAATCTTGTCACGATTCTAAGGAAATAGAAACTGAATAGTGAAGTCACTTAAATACAGCAACCAAAGAAGATAGCTCAAGAAGTTGGATAGATTGTATTACGCATATAGGCAATCTCAAAACTGCAGGGACCAACAAATATATTATTTTAAGATAACTTCATGTTCTAAATAACAAATGTTTACCTGCAATAAATTATTGGGAGTAAGACAGAACAGAGGGGCAAGGCTTTAGTGTTAAGATGGGGAAGATGTTACGGGGGACATGGATGTTATTAATGATAAAGTGTGGTTGAGTGTGGGTATTTGGGAGGGAAAAGGAAAAAGGTATGTTGTTTTGCACACATCTTGCCTCCTTAATTAGGAGAGGAATTAACTGCAAAATAATAAAATTAGTTAATCACCTTTTGCACATTTGTATATTTTGAGTTAAAAAGGGACTTAGATAACTTTCTAATTACTGGTAAGGATGTTAACCCTAGTTATGTTTATACCAACTAAAGTCAGTCACATGCTGAAACTGACTAAAATTGGTCTGTGAGGATAGGCCCATCACAGGTAAAACACTAGAGAAGTGCCAGGTGGGATGAACAAAATACTCCAAATAAATGGAAAACCAGTTCTAATGTTGGTAGTGTTATTGATTAACACAATCAAACCTGTCTGTTCAAACTGCCCTGCAGAAAAGGTGAGAACAGCTGTAGCTGTATAAAACCACCGTGAGGCGTTATTCTCATGATGGTAGGTGGTCTTTATATACTGGTGGTCTTTATAGGCGGGAGATCTTATAGCTAAATTTCACGCAGTTTGAAAACATTGTTACTTATATTTTATTGTTGAGAACTTTTTGTTACAATATACATGTACATGCATTATTTATAAACATTTCATATTGTTCAATGTTTTTCTGTTTGTCATTTACGGATAATGTGATACTTATAACCTTTTGTGTATACAGATGGAAGGTATGTAAAACAGGAAAGGTCGCTAACATTTATCAGGTATATTGTACATTAATTGAATTAATTTAATTAATGCGGTAACTTAATCACGACTTCAGATATCCTGTGATGACTGTTTCAGATGCATTAAAACGAAGAAAAATGTCATCACCATTGCTTTTGTAAAACAATTCCACACGAATAATCCATCTGAAGCATGATCGCAGACATCATTTTTTCGTGAAAAGTTTATTATTTTCTATCAAGCCTGACCTTTACTGTGGGCTTAATACACAGTTCAAGTGCAATTCCATATGAACCAGGTATCGGATAATTACCTGAGCAGAACTTTTAGTACACAGTTTTTCCTTAACATTAGATCAGGTCCATCTGTACATTTCTAGCTTTAAACAGATTTTTAGCTCACCTGCCCGAAGTTTGTAATTGAATTATTTGTAGTACATGTAAATATAATGTTTAATGAGAATAATTTTCTATGACTGTTTAATATCTAGATGAGCGATACAGGCCCTCTGGGCCTCTTGTTTTATCTTGTTCGTGATTTTACCCCAAAGTGCCTTTTGAGTTTCCTTCCAGTGTGAATTTTGTGGATCAGTTTCGAAGAATTATATATAACTGTTTGTAAACTAAGCTAAGAAAGATAAATGTTAGTTTTTTAAAGTGGAACAGATTTTAAATATCTGTTAAATGAACTTCCTAAAGCTTCATGGAACAAAATACATTTAAACCAATCAAGTTCTAGTTTGATGTATTCAATTTTGTAAATGTCTATTTTTACCGTCTTGTTTGGCTTCTAATGACTCACAATGTTGACAGGCAATAATACAAAAACAAAACGCATTAAAACTCTCATGTGTTTGCCATTTTCATGAAATAGAAATCAAAGAAATTCACACAAATCTGATCTACATAAGAAATGAAATGGTGCATTTGAATTGACCAAAAAATACATGTCCATGTTGATATAAAGGAATAAGGGACAGTTATACCGGTAGTTTTGAAACAAGCATTTAAATAATAATCCGGGACCAAACCCTTCAATGAACAAAATTTGTGTTCCATATAAAACTAATACTCCTTTTGTTTGCTTTAGTTTTCTTTTTACTGTGTTACAAACCAAGGGATATTTGTTTTGATGACATGAACCAAAGTCTGTGCAATCAATTGTTGTTTGTCTGGCATATTGCTGCATGGTTTAATTAAATGTTTATTTCTATTGCAAGTGAGGTTTTTGAACAAATGTACTTTGTATGTATTTTATTATTATAATTTTCAATTAAAATATTATTGTCTATAAGAGTTGCTGGTATTGATAGGCGTCACTCAAGTGCCGTAGAACATGAGTTCAAACTCTGGACAGGGCAGAAGTGAAAAAATAGTCTTCCTCAGTAATTTGTGTTTCTTTGTTGCGTATCAAATTAACAAAGTGAATAGACTGATGTTGATTTGATACCAGCTACGCGTTATAATAAAATTGCGCTGTATTTATATAAATATCAGCATGTGTAACATTGCTTATGCTTTTTGTGTACGTTGTATTTATATTATACCAAAACAGAGCACATGGACTCTTAGAAATATACATCTGTCTTACGTACAAACTAAATTCTACCCTATTTTTGTTATCTTTTTGTATATGTGGACTTTGTTATGTACTTGTCTCGTGTATTTGTGACTAACACTGACAGTTGTATTGAGCTTCTGTTCCTTTAATGATACACGAAAGGGAATGTTCAATTTAAAAACAAATAAATATATATATATTCACAGAAATCCAAGTATTCCAGGTATCATCTGAAGGCGAATCCCATGCCCTGCACATTGTTGTTCTTAGTTTTACTTGTCAAGAAAATAAAACCGACATGAATTTGACCTGTATCATTAAACTTGGGAAGCCCAGTACAACTTAGTCCTGTTAAGTTGATGTTAATGAAATAATAAACACAAGACAAGCGTGATATTTATTTTAAATGTATTAAAATACCTGAACAGAGATTGCAAATCTTGAATATCATTTTTGTTCTCATTTTCCAACATGAGTACTTTGTGGGTGAAACAATACATGCCTTTTACATGGCATGTACATCGACTCATTATTTGATGTTCACTGACGGAAGGAAGACACAAAATTTACCAAGTGTCCTTTACAACTTGAAAATTAACTAACAAGAGTTAGATAAATATGATACTCAATGCAACCACACATAAATATGTTATACATGTATATAGAAATCTGTGTTTCTCTGTGGAATACATTATTCCTGTGTTTCTCTGTGAAATACATTATTCTTGTGTTTCTCTGTGGAATACATTATTCCTGTGTTACTCTGTGGAATACATTATTCCTGTGTTTCACTTAGGAATACATTATTCCTGTGTTTCTCTTAGGAATACATTATTCCTGTGTTTCTCTGTGGTACATTATTCCTGTGTTTCTCTGTGGAATACATTATTCCTGTGTTTCTCTGTGGAATACATTATTCCTGTGTTTCTCTGTGGAATACATTATTCCTGTGTTTCCCTTGGGAATACATTATTCCTGTGTTTCCCTTGGGAATACATTATTCCTGTGTTTCCCTTGGGAATACATTATTACTGTGTTTCTCTGTGGAATACATTATTCCTGTGTTTCCCTTGGGAATACATTATTCCTGTGTTTCTCTGTGAAATACATTATTCTTGTGTTTCTCTGTGGAATACATTATTCCTGTGTTTCTCTGTGGAATACATTATTCCTTTGTTTTTCTGTGGAATACATTATTCCTGTGTTTCTCTGTGGAATACATTATTCCTGTGTTTCTCTTGGGAAACACTTGCCATGAACTATGACATCACAATGGAAGATGACATCACAAAACATTGATGCAATAATTAGAAGAAATGTAACATCCAGGGTGTTACCTACTAGTGGGTAACCAAGAATGTTATCAACTTCTGGTAGGTTTATCCAATGAGTCGAGAGTGAAGAAACTAATAGTGTGGTAGAAATAAGGTAAAGTGAATGGACAGATGTATGCAGATACATCAAGATAAACGAGGCAAACTATTGTAAGGTAATCCATTAGTCCCCCACTGGTAATGATTTCTATATTTAATAAACAGTACACTTATGTCAGAATGTACCTACTGTTCAAAGCATATGTCACAGTGAGGTCATAATGACCTAATTCCTGCACTTGCCATCCAGAGATGTCCTTGTACACCAAATTTGGTTACTCCAGGTGAAATAGTATAAAAGGTATGCCCCGGACAAAACAGTTTCAAAAGTAAAGGTCAAAGGTCAAGTCATAGGTCACAGTGACCTAATTCTTGCACTCCGCAATCCCAAGATGTCCTTGTATACCAAATCTGGATACTCCAGGTGGAATAGTATAGAAGCTATGCCCTGGACAAACTTCTTGGACGGAAGAACGGACGGACGGACAGTGTGCAAACCTATAGACCCCCCCCCCCCACGGAACCGATGGGGGACTAACAATAGCAATCCATGTACCATGTTTATGTATGGGTATACAGGTTGTAGATTACTACTTACTGAAGTGAAACAAAGAATAAAACATCTCGCCTTCAATCACATTAGTGAAGTAGAAAGAAAATGATGCTTCCGATAAACATTATATAGAAGATAGATCAAGGGCTATAACACTATATAAATTGGTGCATATGGTCTAATTGGTACTTGATACTCGAGCGTCTAATGATTAGTGTGGTGAATGAAACAGAAATGTGAAGGAAGGTACATGACTGTATATTACTACTCTGACTAACTTAAGTATATTGCATGTTTATTTCTCGTTGATTAAGGTTTTATCTATGATATTTGTGAATTTTGCTTTTATCAAAACATTATGGAATCCTGTTTTAATTCACTTTTTTCAAGTGAAGCAAAACATAGATAATTCAATGAAGAGCAAGTGAGGTAAATACTTACAACATTACAGACGAAAGCAAAGACATTTGATTAATACAAAGACATTGTAGTCATACATATGACACATGCTATATTTATCAACCTGTAAACAAAGCACAGAGAGGTCATTTATATTGATATAGAACAAAATACGATATAACGATTGACTTCATAACTAGTAGCTTTCACAGGGCTCTTCAGGTTTATATCTAAAATCACACGGCTCTTCAGGTTTATATCTAAAAGGACTTGCATGTCATCACACTACAATAGTAATGTGATGTCAACATGTACACAAAATTGGTGGAAAATTATGCAAGCTATAGTAAAATTTTCCTGTGACCTGTTGAGTTTAGGTTTTATTATTTTGATAAAAAGATCTACTGTTTAATATAATATGTATGTAAAATGGTTTCCAATTCATAATTATTTTATAAAACAACAACTTTTTTTTTTTTTTTTTTTTCATTTTAAAGCCTCCGACAAACTGAAATGAAAAATTTGGAATGAGTTCCATCTGCAGTCACAGGTACACAAGCACACACCATATCTGTTTTACTCACAGTTCAAAGAACCTGATTTGTGTTACTACTGAATAAGGATGCTATACTAAAATATTTACAGTGTGTAAAATATGATAAAAAGGTTACCTTATAACCATTTCAATATCCTACCCCTATATCATTCCTCAACCCATTTGTTTTTTTTGCAAAAGTACCATATTTTGGCTTTTTCTGCATAGCAATGCAATTGTGTTGCTATGGTAAGGCATCTACACATGCACATTGGTTAAGTATAGTGCAAATTAACCAATATGATGTTTATAACAGAAATTGGTAAATAACTTCAAGTTGAAATTTTTACTTTTTATGAGTCCAAAAATGATCCATAGCATCCCAAGTCCTTTCTGTATGTACAATGGGAAACCATTAAATGTTTTATTTGTTATGTACATTTAAAAATTAAACAACAACAAAAAAACACCATGAAAAGAGTGCCAACATTAGTACCTGGTATTTACAACCCTGTCAAGTATGACATCTAAGTTCTCCTGACACTAGGAGCCGAACCATAGACATCCACAATACAATACATTTACTATGATCACAGATACAGCTTAAATGAAAGATTGATTATTTTCCAGTGGTTATATATACTTCTATTACTCTAAATCATTCGTATATTTAATTTGCAAAGGGACTTAACAAAACAAAAGGGATAACAATATCTAGAGAACATAAAATGCATTCCGACGAACAAAGAAACCTCATGTTTCTCGGTTATCTCCTTTACATCACACTATCCCTATCATTAACATGAACATTTGATGGGTCAGTTTTGAAGGAAAAATCAAAATTGGAAATAGTAAATTGCAGATAACAAATATCTACTCTGCTGTTTTGCCCAGACAAGCCTTCACCGGCAATTTAGTATGTATCAGGTATATTAGACTGCTCCCCCCCCCCCCCCCCCCGTCTCTAGATAGATAGATAGATAGATTGATTTATTTGGTAAACCATTGCATCAATACATAAACGTACATCACATGGACAATACAATACATGTTTTATAGGGATAACACAGTAAAGTCACAGACTTATTTCCACTGTTCTACCTAAAATATAACATAAATACGATCATTTTACAAATACAATTAGAAGTCAATACATACATATATTTATCACAGTGTAATATATTGAGTACAAAATTAACATCACCACCCTATGTTCTGTGTCACATATGGTAGTATTCATATAAGTATAAAACACTAACGGTCTCTGTTGCATAAAAACGCATTATGTGTTACACATAACTAGTCATAAAATATCAAGAACTCTGCTGTAAAAATATTTTCACTCTCTTCTTAAAATTTATTTTGTTTACTATGGACCGTATATAAGAAGATAAAATGTTCCAAATCTGAATCCCGTTGTAAAAGAAAGTCTTTGACATCTGACCTTTTGCACATGGCACTGTAAAGTTTAAAGATAATTTTCTCGTTGCGTATCCATGGCGTTCATTAACCCTCGTAAATTTTTCTGTAATATAACTTGGATAAGTTTCGTGAAATACATTGAACATATGGTTTAAGCCCAATTGCTTTGCTCGGTTTTCAACATTCAAAAGATTCATATTTGTTAAGAATTTACCATCTATTCTCGTCCTTGGCCCAAAATCACAAATAAAACGTACACATCTGTTCTGTGCTACTTGCAACTGGTTTTTCAACCTTTGATTTAAACCATAATACCAGGCTGAGCAGCAGTAGTCAAAATTACATAGCACTAGTGAATTACAAAGCGTCATTCTTATGTCCAGAGGAAGATTTTTACATTGTCTGTACAAAAAATGTAGACGAGAATTTACTTTCTTTATAATTATTATGTTCTCAGCAATGAAGTCTCCTGTCAAAAATTTATCAATATCAACGCCAAGGTAGCACACTTTTTCTGAAGCTTTTATTGTTTGGCCATTTACATCTATTTCGAAGTTGTCAACTTTTTTTAGTGTACAATATACATTCCGTCTTGCCAAGATGTAAGGATAATTTGTTGTTTACCAGCCATATATTACAGTTGGATATTTCTCTGGATAATTTCTATTTGATTTCCTCAGGATCTTTATTAGAAAACAAAATAGCGCTGCCGTCTGCATACAATAATAATTTACAGTCGGTACTGATGCTCAGTTCCATGTCATTTACATAGCATAAAAATAAAAGTGGTCCCAGAATACTACCTTGTGGAACACCTCTTCGTGGTTTTGAGAAAACATTTTTGATAGATACAAGTTGCTCATGTGAGGACAAGTATGACATGAACCAGGATACATGGTAGAATATTGAATTATTTACATAAAACAATTAACTCTAATATTTTTTATCAGTTGGATGTCTGACTCTAAGTTTTAAACGAGGGGGAGATAGGCTAGTATTAAAATGCAATTGAGAAATTCTTCATAAAAACTTACAGGCTGGTAGCCAGTCTACCGGTATATTTGACCTTGAGGTGATGAGGTCACATTAACCTTGTTACTATATACACTGCATACGTTCTGTGGGTGTTGCTGAACCCTTCAACTTTAACTATTGACTGAATGTTCTTAAGGGTCATCTGACCATACATCTAACCAAGGAAGTTGCAGTAGGCCGTTGTGGTGTTTCCCGTCCTTTTTTCTGTGGCTTGCACCTCTATGTCTGTGCCACTGACGCTTATTTTGAGCGTGATTGTGGCATCCACTCCACGCTCTCTAGGTGACAAATCCACACCGACAAATCCCAGGCAGGCACATGAGTTCTCGTACACATATGAAGGATCAGTACTGTCAGAGGCATAGAAGTCAAACCACGCCTGTGTCTGATCATCGTTTAATGGGTGATAGTCTTTACCATCCTGGAAATCCCCGTACTTGACCAAATCACCTTTTCTGACATGTATGTCAAATGCATCATCCACATAAGAGTGTCTGCCATACTTTCTCATTTTCTTAGAATCATCAACTCCTTCGATGAATTTCCTCTGATGACCTATGCCATACGTATATTTACACAAACGGGACCGGACTGCATCCAGCTCAAACCCGTACATAACAGCACCTTTCAGGATTGCTATACGAGGGTCAGCTGGAATCACAATTTTGTATTTTTGTGCAAATTTATCTTTAATAGCTTTCTGCATCGATGGATCCTCAGCGTAGCCGCCAACAACAAGAATTGTCCCCAAATCATGTAATTGGGTGTTTTCAATTAACAATTTCTCCACTTTGCTTACAACCTTTCTTGTAGATTCCTCAAAAAATGATTCAAAGACATGTTTGTCGATTCTAAGTTTGTCTCCTTTAATTTCTACCGTGTCCTTGAACGGTGACTCACTAATAGATTCCTCCAATGTGCACTCTGTGATTTTTTTGTATTCTTCTGCAAGATATAACGGGATACGAATGGTGATCTTTCCCAGGACTCCATTTGGGTCATAAGCACATTTCTTTCTTTCAAACTCATCTTTAATTTCTTGCCATTCTACCGGATACATTTTCTCCATTTCATGTAAGACATCTTGGCCACAAATGCGTTGTAGGAAGCGTACAAAACTTTCGTTGACTCTTAGGCCCCCCCAGTAGCCCCCTGTTGGTTCGTTTATCTCCTTCAGATGACCATCATTCAGTACCTCATGGGCTGTTATGTCAATTGTCCCACCTAAAATATTTGAATTCATCATTATTTTAATAAAACATTAAGCATGTGCATAGAAAATTAAAGAAAACATTCAGCACTGAAAAAAATACTGTGAAAATAGAACACTTTTTTCAGAAATATTGCACCTTAAAATATCATTTTTATGACATGAAGTCTGCAGCACCTGCTGTGGTAGTATAGAATGCCAGCAGTAAGTATGGGAGGGATATTTATCATATTTGATAAGTAGATTCCCCTTAGTCCTTAGTTGTGCAGGTGTTATTTTGAGAGTGATCATAAAAACAAGATGGCAGAAGGAACAACTTAACAGATCTTTCTCATATTACAATAATCGGTTCTATTTCCTTCACATCAAGTTCTGAACTAGTAAATATGGGAAGCAACTCACTTTGAAGGTTGTCTTTTATACACAACAGTATGAAAATGAGATCAAAAGTTTCCTCAAGGTACATTTACTGTTAACATGACAATCAAACATATAAGAGAAAAAAAGAGAAAAGATTTAACTGACAGAACTAATAAAGGTGGTACAATGGTGGGCACCAAGATCCCTCTGGAATCTCTTGTATAGCTTTATGTTGACATTGCATTACAGTGCCCACTCCATCAGATAGCAGCCCACAGAGGACATGTTTTAAGGTGAGAACCATATAGCCTAAGGGTAATGAGCAAGAAATTAGGGTCGTTACTTCTGTGGGGGGTCACTGTTTAATGAACACAGAGTTTACTGGAATAGTCTTCAGCGTCCTGATTCAGTACAAAACTGCTGTATATTCTGGCAATGACTTAATGAATGTTAAACCAAATTTCACAAGAAATACTTCATTTCATCACATAACTGACCCAAAGGGCCAGGTGAGCTAAAAATAGGTTGGAGTGACTGGCGTTAACTTTTTACTTTAAATAACGTCTGCATAACCAAGAGACCTAGGGTGATGATATTTGGCCATAAGCATGCTGGGATAAAGGGCTACCATTTTTAACCCTTTCACCCCTATGAAACTTTAGTATACTCTCCCATGTATTGTTCTGGATGAGTCCATTATGGTCTACAGTGGTGAAAGGGTTAATAAGATTTGTTTACATTTTCCTTAAATAAAGATTTAAGGACTTCCCATCCTTCGTAATACACATGTTTTTCTTGTCGTATTTTCATGTCGTATTTTCTGTATTGCGTATCGGGCATTCTATTACCGTAGTGTAAATTATAGTAACACAGGGTAAACAATAGTACACGTGCGTGACGATGATATGTCAACATCCGATATCGAGACTTAATTGGGAAATGTCTAATAACACCTATTTCAGAAATTATGCTTATTATACAAAGACATAAATTAACTGACGGGAAGACACTGACATACGATCAGACAACTTCAGGAAGGTCTATTTGAGGCGCATGGGGTGCAGACTAAAGTGTTTTGTTTACCGACCTCACCTGTACATTTCACGTCCTAACACTAGTTTACAAGCTCGGGGTCGCTACAATTTTTGTTGTCGAGCGAGTTACGCTCTGTCAGGTAAATCATTTCACAAATGCAATAACAATAACTTTGTGAAAATAGTGTTTTGTAAAATATCTAGATCCCTACAAAATGCTACCATGCGATAGCCTATGGTTACATATGTACATGATTGAGAGTAATTTTGTTCTTTAAAAGAACAGTAAATTGACAATTTTAATATCATAATTTAATTTGTTTCCATTGTTTTTGGTATACATTGTAGTACAGAAAATAACTCATTGTATAAATTTTAACCCTCTGCAAAAAGTTTCATTTTTTTTTCAAGGTAGACAACTCTCGTCAGGATAAAAATGATTGTAAAATGCAAAATAAAGGAATTATTGAGGCTTTGTGTGTATTTGGTTCAATTTTTTACTCTTTTTGTTTTGCACTATGTTTCCTATCTGCTTTTAGATTGTATATAAATACTTTTATCCATACAATTTCAATAAAAAACACTTTGTGTAACGTGTTTAAGATATTTTATGATAAATAAAATATTTGTAGGGTTGATAAGTAATGCTTCTTTTCATTATTTTATTGTTGTAATCGTTTTGAGCAATGCTACACACTCAAAAAATGTGAAAGTGTTAAATTTAACAAAAGTTCAATTTTTCAGTATTTTTGTACAAAAAAAAATCCCTAGTTTATCGGAATGCTTAGATTTTCATAAAAACATCTCTAGTGACATAACCATTATGTGAAACTTTCATTGAGTTCTGCTGGTTAATTGCAAAAGGGTGGAGCCTCCTTAATGCATGAATTTATTTTTGATAGACAATGTTTTTGAAATCTGTAACCTCCGAATCAAATTTTCATCACTGACAACCCTGTAATTACCTCCAAGGTCCATTATGAGATATTTGGCACCGGCTTGGAAGTTGGCTATAGAAGGTCCATCGTCGGCCCTTACAACACTGCTGGGCACCTTCCTACAGTACAGGGATGCTGCCTCAGGCTCCAGGGCCAAAGTCAACTGACCATCTTCTATCCCAGCCTGTAGTAGAGAACACATACCTCAAACATGGTTCTGGTCCTCATGTAATTACAAGAGGCCCAAGAGCCTTAGCAGTCACCTGAGTTATATCATAGGTACTGGTAGCTTTATTTTGTTGTTTAGATGTGATGTGGAAATCAGCATGTAAACTAAGTGAAATACAATACTTGTCATGTCATCAAAGGATAAGAATTTTAAAATATTTGTAAATGTTCCCTTTGGGGCCCCGTCCTAGCCCCTGGGGAGGAGGCAGGAATCCCAATTTTCCAAAGTAATATCCTCATCCACCAAAGATGATTGTGACCAAGTTTGAATAATTTTCTGCTGAAAATGGATAAAATATACCCAAAGGTGTTATTTCCCTATATAATCTATAGTAAACTTTACCCCCTCCCCAAGGGGGAACGGATGGCTCAGGGGTCCAGGAATTGACATTTCAACAAAGCTCCTGCTGATCTTTCTATCTATTCACTGACATTGACTGTAGTACCTCCGAGTCTGGAGAAGAAGATTTTTGAAATATTGGTAAATTTTCCCTTTGGTGCCCCGCCCTGGGCCTAGGGTTGGGGTAGGAATCCCAATTTTACATTTTAAAACCATCTTCCTCCAATGATATTTCTCACCAAGTGAGAATAATTTCCTACAGGAAATTGTCAAAATATACCCAAAAGTGTTGTTTCCCTATATAAACTATATTAAACTTTACCCCCTCCCCAAGGGAGAACGGATAGCTTGGGGGTTATAAAGCCCCTGTTGATCTTTCCATCCATGCAGAGGAAATTACTGTAGTACCTCTGAGTCTGGAGAAGAAGATTTTTGAAATATTGGTTAATTTTGGAATATTGGAAATCCCAATTTTACAATTTTGTAGCCTCATCTACCAAGGATGATTCTGATCAGGTTTGAAAAAAAATCCATCCACTGTTTCTTGATAAGAGGTTGAAAATATAAAAAGTTAACGCACGACGAATGACGACGGACGACGGCAGTCGGAAAGTGATCGGAATAGGTCACTTGAGCAAAGCTCAGGTGACCTAAAATAAACATTGCGTTCCGGTTTGAGGTGGGATATCTCATAAATAATTAGCACAAGTAAAACATTCATTTAATTTAACTCAAGCAGATTTGTAATTTTCCGTAATTTTGAGTAAATGGAAGTCAAAGTTATAGAAATATAACGAGATCAAAATTAACTACCATTTATTATTAAATACAACTGAGGATAGGATATCTTTTTGGCTATAAATAAATTTTATCCGTCATGGCGGCACTATTTTATGTATAACGTTTACCTTTAGATATCAGATTTAGACTGGAATATCAGGAAGCCTGGCAATATTCACTTGGCTAACAAATAACTCTGTATCCAGTGAGCGAGGAGACCCAATTTAAGTAAATACATGACACTTTGCCAACCAAGAACGTACAGAACTAGGCAGATGACAGAGTACCGTATAACAGGTTATTGGCACGGCCTTCAAATTTCACAATTGTGACTTAAAATTAGAATATTGAATTAACATTGGTTATAATTTCACGATATAGACATGTGAATGAACTAAATTTTCGAGGTGTTAATGAATCGGTACAGAGATGGGACATTCGGCATATAAAATGTCAAATGGTCCAATGGACACACTTTATTACAGCATATTTAGCAACAACTAGTCAGCTGTATTTTGTAAAACAAATCATCAACTATTACATGTTGTTGACTCGCAAAATCGCAAAATTATTATGCCTGCAGAAATACATATATGTATCCTGCAATATGGTTTATGATCTATGCCCTGTATAAAGTGACACACAGACAGATGGACTGAAGAATGAAGTGCACATACATAATATATACGAGTACAGAAAATCAAAAATCTATTGCTGATCTGCCCAAAAATGGATGCTCTTCAAATGAAAGACAAGAACTGATATCAAAATTTTACACAAGTGGGTGTTTAAAGGTCATACGTATAAATATTTCAAACAGAAACCCTGACTTGATTCCCAGTACCTTGTGTGCTGCCTCCCTCATAAACTGCTTGGCCTTCAGGTTCCAGATCGCTGGTACTGTCAGTACCCAGTGGATGTCGGACCCATAGAAACCAGAATGTGTATCCTTAGCTTCCAAGTCTTTTAATAACATGTTCTTGAAGAACTCTATGATAGCAGAAAACACACTGATAGCTGGCAGTTTCTTCCCATTTTCCGACTCCAACATGGTGTCCCTCGTAAGTTCATCCTGTAAGTATATATAATTTAATCTTGCTTGTAACAAGCATTTTCATTGGCTTAAAAATTTGTTATCAGCCCATAACATAAAAAATTACGTCGCCGTTTGTAACGTCGCTTTTGACTGGCTGATACAGCAGCGCAATGAATTCTAAGAGAAAAGAGTCCATCAATAAAAGTGTATTTCCACAGGGATTGTGTATAGAAGATTAAATTATAAGGATTATCTTGAATATATTGAGCGGTTTATTTAAAGTACACTCCGTTTTTTTGTGTTATAGCTCCATAACATGAAAAATATATTCAAGTTAATCCTTAAATAACTATACAGATCTTGGGGTTTTGGTGTCCCTCAATTACACCCATAGAACATGACTGAGGCACAGGAGATAGAATGTTTTTATGATATTGTTGATATGACCTTATTTTCATGATGAATCTGTACCATTTAAGTTTGAAAAGTAGGTCAAAGTTACTTAATTAGGTCAAAAACATCTCCAAGTAAATTTCTGAACCAAATGACAAGTTTTGATAATGTAGGTCAAATTTTAAAAAAGTAGTTCACAGAGACTTAATTTTGTCAACAAATTAGGTCAAACAATCATTCTAGGTTAATACCTGACTAATGAACACCAGTACAAAAACTTTATATACATGATCAAAATATAGCATTCACCATGTAATCATAGTTACATTCAACAATGCTTTAAAGCAGACCATGTCCAATCCAGAACTCACTGCAAACCCACCAAACAATATGGTTCCAGTGGTGTCAGGTTGAGACAGGTCCCAGTGGTGTCAGGTTGAGAAAGGTCCCAGTGGTGTCAGGTTGAGACAGGTCATAGTGGTGTCAGGTTGAGACAGGTCACAGTGGTGTCACGTTGAGACAGGTCCCAGTGGTGTCAGGTTGAGAAAGGTCCCAGTGGTGTCAGGTTGAGACAGGTCATAGCGGTGTCAGGTTGAGACAGGTCCCAGTGGTGTCATGTTGAGACAGGTCATAGTGGTGTCAGGTTGAGACAGGCCACAGTGGTGTCAGGTTGAGACAGGTCCCAGTGGTGCCAGGTTGAGACAGGTCATAGTGGTGTCAGGTTGAGACAGGCCACAGTGGTGTCAGGTTGAGACAGGTCCCAGTGGTGCCAGGTTGAGACAGGTCATAGTGGTGTCAGGTTGAGACAGGCCACAGTGGTGTCAGGTTGAGACAGGTCCCAGTGGTGCCAGGTTGAGACAGGTCATAGTGGTGTCAGGTTGAGACAGGTCACAGTGGTGTCACGTTGAGACAGGTCCCAGTGGTGTCAGGTTGAGACCGGTCCCAGTGGTGTCAGGTTGAGACAGGTCATAGCGGTGTCAGGTTGAGACAGGTCCCAGTGGTGTCAGGATGAGACAGGTCCCAGTGGTGTCAGGTTGAGACATGTCCCAGTGGTGTCAGGTTGAGACAGGTCATAGCGGTGTCAGGTTGAGACAGGTCCCAGTGGTGTCATGTTGAGACAGGTCATAGTGGTGTCAGGTTGAGACAGGCCACAGTGGTGTCAGGTTGAGACAGGTCCCAGTGGTGTCGGGTTGAGACAGGTCCCAGTGGTGTCAGGTTGAGGCAGGTCCCAGTGGTGTCAGGTTGAGACAGGTCCCAGTGGTGTCAGGTTGAGACAGGTCCCAGTGGTGTCGGGTTGAGACAGAGTCCACGGTTTAAGGGTTTTTTATTCCTGCATGATTCTGACTTGATACTAAGCTGTAATATTTTCTTTTTCTTTATGATGACTTTCATCTGTACATTCAAATTTGAACCAGGACGGACTTAACACCAGTCCCTGTACCTACCACTACATAACGTATGGTACGTCAACACTTCTACCGACAGCAAATGGTCACAACATCCAGTAGAGAGAAATGACCTGATTTTGCAAGTTCTCATTATAATTACTTACCTTGGATTCATACAGCTTCATTTTAAAGTGCTTGAAGAAATAACAGTCATCTATGTCCTCTCCATCTTGGAATTCCGAGTTGGCATCATACCCAAAACTTTTGAACTTTTGGTCTGAATCAAGAAGGACACATGTAGGTGCTTTTGCAGTCATGGTAGTTTTTGCAGCCCAGGAATGCAGGTGGATTTTAGGATCTCCTGAATTCTTATACCCTTCTCTTGTACAATGAGCAAATCCAGAGAATGTAGTTCCAAAATCAATGGCTGCCACTATCAAGCTGGACTGCTTGATGGTCTGAAAATATAACCACCAGTTATGTATACATTGCATGGCATTTACAAATTTTAATTTCAACATCTTCACAAAATGAGATGATTTTTTTTTTATTTATCTGCAGGTAACATTACCTTTTTACCAAAAAATGATTTTTTGTTCTGTTCAAGGGAGGGCTTTGTTGTGCTGGAAGATGTCCCTTCAAAGGATGGTGTTGATGAATCATCTTTTCTGAGTAGTTCCTTCTGAAAGGAAAGATATTTACATTGTAGTGCAAATTACAATGGATAAGATATAAAATAACTAAAGGAGCTATGCTACTCCTCACAAAAATATTATTTCCCTTTAAAAACTTTTGATTTACATTGTTGAATATGTTTAAATTATGGCGGTATTTAATGTAAAAAAATAAAGTGTCATCAATACTTTTGAGTCTTTCTAATGTATCACAATTTTTTGTGTACCTTTCAAATTAAATGTGTCATCAAATCTTGTGCAATTTTAAATGTGTCAACAAAATGTGAACCTTTCAAATGTGTCATTAATTCATGTGTACCTTTCAAATGTGTCATCAATTCTTGTGTACCTTTCGAATGTGTCATTAATAAATCAAACACAAGTCCTAATTGCATGAGAGATATTTCACAGGTTTCTTATTTTGGAACTCTCCTTGAAAGAAGACTGTGCGGCAGTATTAAGGTAGCATACATTTGAGGTTTATGTAGACAAAGCAGGTTTATGTTGACAAATAATACCTAATTGTATGTACAATAGTATACTATTCATTAGGAACAGTCAGATGCCCTTAGTAGGGGCCTTAGGGAGAGGCTGCTGATTGGTCAATTGTACTACTGGTCACTCAGTCTGTCAGCCTCCATCAGTATCAGGTCATTCTAAGTTGCTATTTCTTTACATCTTCACTATTCCAAACAAGCGTATATTAACTGGTTTTACACTTCGTTATACTATTTGTGTTTCTGGGACATATAACTAGTGAATTGTTTAGCATACATTCCTAAGATATGTGAATCGATCCCTAGCGACACAGAATAGGTGAATAACAATGACAAAGATTTTACTTGTCAAGTCCATACAGTAAAGATAAAGTTAACAAAAATGTCCAATATTTAAATATAAATATGTTTTACCTTTCCAACGGACGATGATGGTGGAGACACTGTCCTTGTATTTGGTATGACATTCCCCTGAATAATGTAAATACTGAGTTAAATGAACAAAATTCCATTTTACTTCAGGTAGTACATTGCATGCGTAATCAAGTTAAATATTTTTATATTCTAGATGCCAAATATGGGTTAATTTGCCCTGAATCATGTTTTGAACAACTCAGAACTTAAATAAAAAAAAAACATATGGCCATGTTTTTATTGTAATAAGTTTAGAGGGGAAAATCCACTTTACAAACTTTGATGACCATGTAGCGAAACTGGACCGGGTTGATTATCGGTGACAACGAAGATAGCTCAATTGGTTCGCCTAGAGCTCAGAGGTAGAGGCCGTGCATTTTCCCCCTCCTATTACATTTGGTGCCTGTGACCAACCCTTGTTTTACGTACTGAGTGAATCCTTGGCAATGGGATACCCAAACTTGGGTTGTAAATAGTTGTATCTTCGAAGGCGAAGACTTAGAAAAAGGAGGGAGGAATGTAGTGGAACTGGATTGGGTCGATCATCTTCGACCTGGTAGCTCAATTGATAGAGCGTCCATCTAGAGTTGGGAGCGTCCCAGGTTCAAACCCCAGTCTGGCCGTGCATTTTTCCGCTCCTAATACAACTATATATACCTGTATGATAATTATAACATCAGACAGCCTCGCCTTACAATGAGGCCAAACATCCCTAATCAGCTAATATAGAACTTATTTTTACTAAGACCTACTATTGTAATGATAATGATTTAAATTTGCGAAGGAAGAAATAGTATTGCTATATAGACCTAAGTCATGTAAGGTGTCTTTCCACCTTCATTGTTCTGTCATTCAAATTCCATGTTAATTTACATTTTAAATAAACTTTTCTTGTTCCATTTGTTATCATATTTTTATGAAATTTGACAAACAGCTAGAAAATGATCAAGCACTAATTTGATTATGTTTAATACTTAATTTTGACAGTGCTTTTTTATCACCAACACCTTTTTACAGCAAAAAAAATGTAAAACCTGTTTAAAGAGGACTGACTATTGTGTGAGTTTATTACCGATCTAAAACATGGCGGGTTTACAAACCAGTGACCACAAACACGTATAAATACCTTTGTAGACAGAGGTTTGGAGGCCCCTGTCAATGCTGGAGATGTCTTCGATTCCCCAGAACTGGACTTAACATTACCTGTCTGTGATATACAATAGAATCAAAAATTAATCACTGTCTCGCTTGGTAACTACATGTACTGCCATGCCACCATATTGGCCAGGAAAATACTGACGTTATATAATGAAGGGGTTTGGCATTATGTATGTACATGTAGATATATATTGAGGTGGTCACTGTAAGAGAAAAGGACAGAAGGATGTTCAAATAGGTTGGAAATAAGCTAGGTGACAATGTAATGGGGGCCATTATTTTTAAGTTTTACAGTAATAAACGTCTCCTTTTCATGAATTGATATTAAGCAGGTGATAAGACCAGCTGAGTTTTTAATTTGACATGAATATTCAAAGTATAAAAGTTGTATAAAACTTAATTCAAAAGCAGCAGTTTCAAGCATAATGAAGTACTTTCTTTGAGTTTCTGTCATCCTTAGGTGCATGAATGTATGGGGCTGATGTTTATAGGTCAAGCAGGGCCAAAAACGAACTAATTCAGAAGTTTATCTCTAGCCTACACAAATCCTTAAACAACAGAAAAAGGATTGACAAATTGACAATGTTGTTACACTACCAACAAGAAAGATGGAACTGTATTCGCCACATCCACAGAAAGGAAACAACAGCTATTATCCTAAGTTTGCTAGGGGGCGGACATAAGTAGGAGACTGTGACATGGTAGGTATGTCACAAATAAATATTTTGTACAATACTGTATACCCTTAGATAACACAGACAGCAGCAGACAGACAAAGATGGAATTCCTCTGTAAAGATCTTCAGTGATCATTTAACAAAAAAATATGTTTCTCACAAAAAACAAGTGCTTTTACAGAACAAAAATTGTTTGTTTCTTTGATTTTTTTTTTAAAGAGGATTGAAAATATGATTTACAAACCAGTGGACATTATACATTTATTGTCCTGACTTTAGGGACACGATCCTCTGTTTCTCCAAGGTTAGTCATGTTTCACAATGGCTTAGGTTATATCAATAAATATTATTCCGAAAAAAGTTCAATCATTCAATCCAATATAATAACAGAATAGTAGAGATGAGCAGGTTGATGGGCTATTGTTGTCGTCTGTTTCTGTCATTCAGAACTGGGTTGTGGAGGCTCTTGTGCTTTTTTTCTAGAGAGGCTCCGAATAAGGGAAATATGAGCAGGGCCACTTGTGCATGTAAGTTGTAGAAAATATATTAAGGGGTATGACATTACAGGAGTGTGCAGATGTCTATATAGAGGTATTGTTAAGGAAAGAAGGCAGAGCACCTGTTAATATGTTGGCAGTAAGCATGGTGGTAATGTAATGGTGTAACAGCATATGATAAACATCTGATTTATCATGCAATGACATACAATATTGTAACAGGTGACAGCCCTAGCAGAGAGCAGTATCACCTTCTTTTTTTAGTTTGCAGAATAAAGAATAAAGCTGTAGAGGCAGCACATCAGATGCAGAAGCTTTAAGAATAATTAAGTTCTCATATTTTCTATAACTGATATTTTTATCCTTGGGCATGATTTTTTATTAGCAAAATCATGACCTCAACAAAAAATTTAAGCAACCTGACAATGATGTTGATCATTAGGTAACTTGATCTTGTGGACTTAGATCCACGACTCCGAAATGTGAATTCAACAACACATTCTTGTACTAGCAGAAAGACAGCCATTAGAGGGATGACAAAGACTGTTTGTAATGACACTGACCTTCCTCTTTGATTTATGATCCTGAAATTACAACAGAAAACAATGAAAGTCTCCAATAAGCAATTAAATCAAGCTAATCTAGTTTGATGCAAAAGGGGACATTTACCAATATCTTACCATAATTGCTTTCTATTTCATTCATAACAATCTGCATCTTTTTAGTAAATTTACCATGATCTGTTAAATGTGTTTTACTGCTTATCACAGACAAATCATGGTATTAATCAACCATTTTTTTGCACACTTTACCTTGCTGGCAGGTTTGCTGGCTGCAGTTGAAGGAGTTGATTTCACAGGACTTGGTTTACCATCTTCTGTCTGTTATACAAAATAACAAAATCTATCAAACTACAGTCTAACCTGCTCACTCCTAAGGTGTTAGCTCACTACATCACAGTATCACCTGCTCACACCTAAGGTGTTAGCTCACTAAATCACAGTATCACCTGCTCACACCTAAGGTGTTAGCTCACTTAACCACCAGTCTCACCTGGTAACTCCTATTGTGTTATCTCACTAAGTCAATGTCTCACCTGCTCACTACTAAGGTGTTATATCACTCAGTCAATATCTCACCTGCTTACTCCTAAGGTGTTCGCTCACTAAACCACCAGTCTCACCTGGTAACTCCTATTCTGTTATCTCACTAAGTCAATATCTCACCTGCTCACTTCTAAGGTGTTATCTCACTACATCACAGTCTCACCTGCTCACTCCTAAGGTGTTAGCTCACTAAACCACAGTCTCACCTGCTCCCACCTAAGGTGTTAGCTCACTAAACCACAGTCTTACCTGCTCACTCCTTAGGTGTTATCTCACTACATCACAGTATTACCTGCTCACTTCTAAGGTGTTAGCTCACTACAACACAATATCACCTGCTCACTCCTAAGGTGTAAGCTCACTAAACCACAGTCTTACCTGCTCACTCCTTAGGTGTTATCTCACTACATCACAGTATTACCTGCTCACTCCTAAGGAGTTATTTCACTACATCACAGTCTCACCTGCTCACTCCAAATGTGTTATCTCACTTAATCACCATCTCACCTGGTAACTCCTAATGTGTTATCTCTTTAAATCACTGTCTCACCTGCTCACTCCTAAGGTGTTATCTCACTAAATCAATGTCTCACCTGCTCACTCCAAATGTGTTATCTCACTAAATCAATGTCTCACCTGCTCACTCCTTATGTGTTATCTCCTGATGTGTTATCTGACCTGCTCGGTCATAATGTGATATCTCACTAAACCAGTCTCACCTGCTCACTCCTAAGGTGTTATATCACTAAGTCAGTCTTACCTGCTTGCTCCTGAGATGTTATATCACTAAATCACAGTTTCACTTATTAACTATTTGTTATAAGGTGTTAACCCATTAAATCACCCATCAATATATGAAGTGTTATCCTAACTAAGGTGTTGAAGAGAAACATCTATTCATGATTGTTAACAAAAGCTTCAGTAGGTCTGTATCAGTTATATTCTCTACATTTGAAACAGTTACACAACATATAACTGGTTCAAATTTGAGGAAAATATAGCAATCCCTGAATTTATAAATATGAATGTACATGTACTGTCAATATTTGAATATGAAGTTACATTATGTAAGAGTAATGAGCCCGGGGCACCCCAACCCTCGCATCCCTCCCAAAAGATGCCGGGGGGATTAATTACAATTTGAACCTAAAAAACAACAACAACAAAATAAAAACTTCAGGAGAAGAAAAGCAATTATAATGCAAGTATCAGGTATAGTAAATTAAAAACTATGGTCACAGACCAATAGAAATCACAAAATTTCATGTGTATTGAAAGTAACAGGGAGATAGAATATGCCTTGTCTTCTCCTTTAGTCTATAAAGACAGCGCTCTTGATCAAATATTGACCTTTCTGTAAAACACTCCTCAATCTCGAAACCTTTGAATAATTTATATAGTGAATCATCATGCCAGATTCATAACTTGAGATCAACATTTTTTAAGATATTTTATATCCTTACAGGAGTCTTTCTCGTGGTTCCTAAAGGGTTCAACTCATTCATTTGAACAATCTAATCCCCTGATCCGGTGCACACAATTTAATCATTATTGATCAAACACTTTAGGATGAAAAGGAAAATGTGAACAAGAACATGAGATATATGATAGAAAATTATTGACAGTCTAGCGGAGTCTAAAAATGTAGACCTTTATCATGAAGGCGAGGTTTTTACCTTACATATTTATACTGTCCATGCATACAGTGTCTACATTATTGTTGATACAGTCTCTGACTTGTAACCTTACAATCATACTGAGACCAAAGACACAAATCTGAAAATTAATTTTATACAGCAACGAGCCCCACCCTCTATATATCAAGGTGACAGTATTATATCACGTCTGACCTCAAACCACAATAATTAGGTCTCAAAAGAAATCACTACTAGATACCCACGTGAGTCTATGTGGCTTACCTTTGCTGACTGATTCCCCATGGTTCTCACTCGGCCGATTCCCAAATATCTATGTTTTGAATCTATAAACAAGAATACAAAAATAATGAAATATTGACAGAATTCGAATGACAAAAGTACTTCCTGATCAGGAAAATATTTTAAATCAAAGCTACGGATAAATGGATATGGTAAATATGTGAAAAGTTAATTTATCGTTTTTCTACTTTCGGTTTCTGTATACCTAACACTTAGTACATTTAATTGTGCAAACAAACCCACAATTCATTTATATAACTGTTTGTAAAATTAAAGTCATAATGTGTAGTTGATTATATTCACAACAAGTAAAGAGAAAAAAACTTACTTCATTGGATCAGAGACGTATTTTACGTCTCTGATTATAGTAACTCAACCTCGACTGCAATTTCTTCGAAAGATTCGATTAGGCTGGACCCGGAAGTTCGCATGTCGTTCGGCTATGAAGATATGTAATTGATATGTAGGCCTACTGCTGTATATATGTACAGTTGCGTTTATAACCCTATCAACGTTGACATGTCTATCGTTTGTCTAAATTCCAACAGCTCCAGATAGAATCCCAGTCCAAAAAATATGATAGTCACGTGACGGACTAGACCGATAAGGACGTTATAAATTCTAAGTTGTAAGCGCCCTCTGTCTCTGAAGTGTATAGATAATAGATCTAGTTTCTGTTCAGGTGCACTAGTTATAACAGTCTCGACGCCTATCAAGGTGTATAGTTTGCTCCACATATGGACCTTATAATTAGTCCTTCTTCTCTTCTTTAGGGTGCAGGGGCTCCATCAATGTGTTGACGATTATGCCCTCGGGGGTTCTATCACAGAGGCGTGAAAAAAGGGGCTATTTAAAGTGATTAGTTTGTTTGTTTTCGTGCAGTGTATAAATTAACGTGTGATGAGGGCTTCAGGGGCTGCATAGGGTGTGTGAGCCTTGAAGTCCTATAGTGTTGCATTCCATTGTGTTATCGTGTGTGGAAAGTAGCAGATATTCATATGTGTTTGTATGCGTAAGGTGTGTGCATGTCTGTTTCGAGGGTCTACGGGTGGGGGTATATATGTTGGGTTTATAGCTACGATTTGGTGTACAGTTTTGTAAAAAAAAGATAAGATCATTCTTGTGTGAAAGCGCCGTGTTTGTAGTGTTGGCCATTGTAGTTTGTGGATCATGTCTGTTACTGAGCTGGTGTTGTGGTATCTTTTGTTTACGTAGCGTGTTGCTCTTCGTTGTGTTTTTTCTATTTGTTTAATTTGGTTTGTGTTGTGTGGATCCCAAATGGAAGATCAGTATTCAAGTTTTGGTCTGACTAGTGCTTAATTTGTATGTTTTTAAGTTGCGTTTTAGAAAACCCATAGTGACCTATTGGCTGTAATATTAATGTTGTTAATATGTTTGTCCCATCGTAGGCTATTATGTAATGTTAAGCCTAACAAGTATTGCTGGATTCTACTTGGTGTAATGTGTGGTTGTGGAGTTTGTAGTCGGCGCGTCGATTTACCCAATACTACCCAATTGAAGTGTTGATTTACCCAATTAAACCCAATACTACCACGGAATTAGATTAAAGTTATCTAAGTCCGTGATACTACCCAATACAAGTATCGATTTTACACAATACTATCCAAGTTAAAGTTTAAAATACCCAATACAAATAAAAATGTTGTGCGGATCCGGGTATTTTTGGCAAGATAGTCGTTATTTGGAATTACTTAATTCAATCTATTACATTTTAAAATATTTCATCATTAATACAAAGACAAATACACTTATTATAGAAGAAATATAACAGTACATGTATTAACAAAGGGACCAGACAACAGACTTATACTATATACATCCAGAGACGTATGATACATTATATTATGATGTATTACACGTCTCTGATACATCTAAGTCTTTTCCTATAGATACCGGTATCCTAATACTTTAATTTCATTAAAATATTGAAGTTTTGGGTGGAAGATGGAACAAAAACGGATTTTTTTTAACTATTATGAACGAACACATATACTCACTCACTCTCATACTGCCATTCGTAATTGGTATATTTCATATCGTTAGAACTTGCATGTATTAAGATATTACTTATAAATTGAGAATCGTTTAGTTTTTTTTTTTAAATATGAACTAGTATGATTAAGTACAGTGGCGGACCCAGCAACTAGGGCAACACCCTTTTTCTGTGCCCAAAAATAATCTGGACCAAGGTTTTTGAAGATTTTCCTCTATTTCATATGGGATTTCCTTCTAAAATCAACCATCCCTTGAACTATGATTTTCTATGGCTTTCCCTTGCCAGCATTTTGAATATCTATGTATGCCTAAGGGTGTTGCCCAAATAAGGAATCCACTAATTATACTATAAACAAAAGGGGATTAATCCTCTATTGCCGAGCTATATATTATTTTTGTTCTTCATGTTTTCCCAAGTTCCTCCAAAGCAGCTATGAGATGTTAGCTCCTTTTAACTACGAAACATGCAGCAACGCTTTGGAGATGTATCATCAGGGCATTGAGTTTGATTTAAATAAGAACGTGACATCGGGCGATAGCAGTACGTCTTGATTACCCCAGGGCAAGATGAAGACTTTATACGATATAAAAAACTTACTGAAGTCTGTTTTATTTCTAACGGTTATCTCCCTTTGAACGAGGCAGTGATTGATCAATTTCTTCCATATACTGTATAGATTATAGTACTGGGTATACCTAATGGAATGTGTGTATTTGGTAGTATGGGGCACTTGTCAATATTGCCTTGTGCAAATACGCCATTATCTGTTAATTACAGAGGTGTAACATTGACATTTGGCTTCAGTACTATATATAGAAATAGATATGCATATGATTATATGAAATAACCAGAGTTGTGCTCTCTATCAAATACTTAGTTAAATGCTAAGACAATTTTGGTTGGCAATAACAGTAGTTGCCTCAATAGTCATTATATTAGAAATTTATTAAAGGCAGGGCCATTTGTGGTTGATAATACCTAAAGTTGCCTCCAGATACACTATATCAGTATTATTTGAGTCATTTAAAGTTGACAGTACCAAAAGTTGCCTATATAATTAGGTCATTGAAGGTAGGCGGTACATTGTTGCCTATATATCTAATACACCAAACTTCTTCAAGGCATTTGAGGTTGGCAGTACCCATTGTTGCCGGAAATATCAATTACAATATATCAGAAGGATTATTATGGCATTTGAGGTTTACAGTACCCGTTGTTGCCTATAGATTGAATATACAATATATATCAACATTCTTAAGGGCATTTGAGGTTCACAGTAACCCAAACTTGCCTTTATATACATCATACTTCTGCTAGGCATTTGAGGTTGACAATACCCATAGTTGCCAATAGATACAAAATATCCTATTTCTTAAGGGCATTTGAGGTTGACAGTACCCGTAGTTGCCTATATTTACAAAATATCAGAATTCTTAAGGGCATTTGAGGTTGACAATACCTGTAGTTGCCTTTATATACAATACATCAGAATTCTATAGGGCATTTGAGGTTGATAGTACCTGTAGTTGCCAATAGATACAAAATATCAGTATTCGTAAGGGCATTTGAGGTTGACGGTACCTGTAGTTGCCTTTATATACAATATATCATAATTCTGCAGGGCATTTGAGGTTGACAATACCGGTAGTTGCATATATTTACAAAATGTCAGAATTCTTAAGGGCATTTGAGGTTGACAGTACCCATAGTTGCCTTTATATACAATACATCAGAATTCTTAAGGGCATTTGAGGTTGACAGTAACCCGTAGTTGCCTATATTTACAAAACATCAGTATTCTACAGGGCATTTGAGGTTGACGGTACCCGTAGTTGCCTTTATATACAATATATCATAATTCTGCAGGGCATTTGAGGTTGACAATACCCGTAGTTGCCTACATTTACAAACATCAGTAGTCTTCAGAGCATTTCAGGTTGACAGTACCTGTAGTTGCTTTTAATTTGTATACAATACATCAGAATTCTTAAGGGCATTTTATCATGAGGTGGACAATACCCATAGTTTTCTACATGTCCAATATATCAGAATTCTTAAAGGCTTTTGAGGTTAATATCAGAACCATTGAGAAATGAAGCTAACAGTATAACCAAACTTTTAACAAATATAGGAACATTAAAGAGCCTATGGGTAAGTACTCTCTGTTGATTTTCAATGATTAATGTTAGGGCATTTAAGGCCTTAAGGATGTTGGGTTAAATAAAACAAGTTAAAATGAATACATGAAATATTTCTGATGTATTTTTGGTATCACAGATATTTTCTCTCCTTTTACTTCATATGCACCTTAGGTTTCCAACATCATGCCGCCAAAAAGAAAGGCTGCAGAGGCTGATAACCTAGTGGGGAACAGGAGCAAAACAAGGAAAAGACTCCCAGCCACAACAAACAGAAATCTATCAGGAGAAGATGGAGCAGTGGCTGATGCAGAGGGCGTACCTGTGCTTAGCATGACACCTTCTCACATGCAAAACCTCATCAAACAGGCCTATGAACGAGGCTTGCAGGAAGCTCGGGCTCAGGCAGGGAGTACCACTATTGGTGACTCATCAGTGGCCACAGAAATTGTTGTGGATAGCGGCACTACATCAGTCAGTGGACTTCAATCTGCACCCTGTCATCCGGAACCTGTCATCAGTGATGAGATTGGTGGGTCCTCGTCCACTATGTTTTTACCCAATTCACAAACAATTCCAGCCAATTGTGTTGTCAGGTCATGTGAGGGTGTTGAGGTCTCATCATCATCCACAGGCAATGACCAATTTCACTCGGCGTCAATTCCATTGATGGATTTGGTCTCAGACAAAGTGAAGGAAAGAATATGGGCCAACAAATTTGTTGACCTGGCTTCCATCACAGACAAGAACCAATCCAGTTTTGAAATGGTGCTGAAAGGGGATGATGATGAGTCGCCATCCCTACACTGGTGTAAGAAAGAGCCTTCCAAAAAGAAACTGTCAATAGAGACATGGACAAATAAATTCACCGTTTTCACAGCTGTGTACTGTAAGAAGTACCCTGATGCAATCGAACAGTTGCTAAAATATTCATCCGTTATCAGGGACCTTGCACTCAAGCAGGCTGATTGGGTATACAATGACACCATGCTTCGGGACCTCCGTTGCCACAGGGAAATGGCATGGGATCTGATTCATATGGAACTGTGGCATGAGGCTATTTCTCGCCGCCAACAATCCTCACATACCTCCTCTCACAAGCATCTCTTCAGAGCAATACTTCCAAAGGCCCTTGTTGGAAATTTATGAGAGGGGTACACTGTGGAGGCTGTAAGTACTCACATAAATGTGGTACTTGTGGGGCGAAACATGCGGCAAAGGACTGTCCTATGCTGGGTTCCATATTCCACAACTCGGACAGCTCTGCCATGCCTTTTGCGCCAAATTCTTTTCATGGCTTTAGAGGTGCTGGGCGACCGACAGGCAGATATCAGTCCGGTCGAGGACGGTACCAATCTTTCAGGGGAAACAGGGGCTCATACCCACGACATAGTGTCGCCCGTTAACCCAGATACACTGGCTCAACTACTGCTAGGATATGACCCAGATAAAACTAAGTTTTTAGTAAATGACTTTACTAATGGTTTTCATATTCACTTTGAAGGCGACACTTCTGGTAGATCCTGCAACAATCTCAAGTCTGCGATCGAAATGCCAGATATTATCGACAAAAAATTAAAAGCAGAATTGGATGCTGGTAGAATTGCTGGCCCTTTCAATGATAAGCCTTTTAAAAAAAAATCATGCTAGTCCATTAGATGTTGTTCCTTAAAAAGAGCCTGGTAAATTCCGTTTAATTCATCACCTGAGTCACCCAAAAGGGTTTTCGATCAATGATGGGATAGCAGACGCAAATGCTTCAGTGCATTATTCAACAATAACTGATGCAATCCCATTTTTAAAATCCTTACACGAACCATATATGGCTAAAACAGACATTGAATCAGCATTTCGAATAGTTCCAATTCACCCTAGTCAACGCTACCTGCTTGGTTTCAAGTGGAAAGACAAATTTTATTTTGACAAATGTTTACGTATGGGTTTAGCAGAAAGTTGCAGGATCTTTGAAGAATTTAGTACGCACTTGAGTGGGCAGCATATAGCAAACTTTGGGCAACAGCGGTAGTTCATGTACTTTTTTGTTTATTGAAGAAAATGCTGCAGCATGTAGCCTGATTCTCTCTGATTTCAAAAAGATGTGTTCTAGTATTGGGGTTCCTTTGGCGAGGGAAAAAACATTTGGTCCTGACCAAGTCATGCCTTTCTAAGGCATTACTTTGGATGCCAAAAAAATGGAGGCAAGGCTACCAGTAGACAAATTAAAACACTGTCAGGAATTATGTAGGGCATATAAAACAAGACAAAGGGTCGTCCTTAGAGATCTGCAATCATTGATTGGTACACTGCAGTTTGCAACATCTGTAGTATTACCAGGGCGGGCCTTTTTACGCAGACTTATTGATCTTACAATCAACATTAAAAAAACATATCACAAAATACGTCTTTCATCAGCTATCAGAGCAGACCTCTCAACATGGGAGTCCTTTTTAGACGAATTTAATGGGTGCAGCTTCTTTTTGAATGATCACTGGGTGACATCCCAAACACTGAAGTTGTATACAGATTCCTCATCAACCATTGGTTTTGGGGCAGTTTTTCAGAATTCATGGTTTTGTGGTCAGTGGGACAATGAAGCAAAAAAGCACCATATAACTGCTTTAGAACTTTATCCTATTCTTGCAGCATTGTACGCTTGGGGACATAAATTTAGAAACCAGGCCTTGTGGTTATGTACTGATAATCTAGCTTTAGTTTATATCATAAATAAACAAACGTCACGAGACAAAGTCATCATGAAAATGATTCGCCCATTAGTACTGTATTGTCTTCATAATAACATACTAATTAGGGCAACTCACATTGAAGGGGTCAAAAATGTTTTAGCTGATGCCTTGTCTCGTTTACAGATAAAGCGATTCAGAGTGTTGCTAACCACTGCGGACCGATCGCCCACTCAGGTGCCACCTCAAGTCAATCAGGACCTGTTTTTCAAACATTGAATGTACTTCTGAATGCATCACTCTCTCCTGTGTCCCAAAAATTGTATGATAGATCTTTGCAGCTTTTCTCAGAATTTTGTTCTAATTATTTGCGAATGGCTGTCCAGTTACCAGTCAAACACACTATTGTAGCATTATATGTCGCTCATGCACATAATTTGAAATTTGCCAATAGCACCATAGCCTCACATCTGTCAGCTATCGCATATTGGCACAGCCTACATGGGTTTGCTGACCCAACAAAGTCATTTTTAGTCAGAAAAGCAATCCGTGGAGCAGCCAGTCTAGCCCCCACATATGATATCAGGTTACCAATCACATTGCCAATCTTAGAGCGTTTATGCTCTGCAGTCCCGACAATTCTGAACAATGTTGTCCAACAAAATTTGGTTGTGGCTGTGTTTGCTGTAGCCTTCTACAGCTTAGCACGCATTGGGGAACTGCTAGGACATTGTTCTCTGGGTACATCTCCAAAGAAAGTAGTACAGTTAGATGATGTCACTTTTGAGGCAGATGGTGCTGTTCTAAAACGTATGCATATTACTTATAGGGAGTTCAAACATAACATTTCAGGGAAACCTCATGTGATACCTGTTGAGGCGAACACTACAAGTAACACATGTCCAGTTACATCCTTGTACAATTACATAAAAATGAGAGGTTCTTCCCCTGGGGCTTTATTTATAGACGAGTTGGGTCAGCCTTTTCCACGGGCAAGATCTGAGTCTATCACAAGGCGTTGTCTGGTGTTTTGCGATTTGGACGTGGCTAGATACAAAGGCCACAGCTTTCGCATCGGAGGTGCCTCCTATGCGGCAGCCAAAGGCTTCACAGATGCACAAATTAGGTTATTAGGTCGCTGGAAGACAGATGCATTCAAGAGGTACATACGCTCTCCTTCGCTATAAGTAGAACTTCAGAACACTGTCATGATGAGTTTGATTATGCTTGGCCACATGTTATAGTAACACAATAGTAGCGGGACGCTCGTGTTAGTTGGTCTTGGAAGCATCAGTAAGGTTGACCAGCCACAAGGACCTGTAAGTGATACACAATAGTAGCGGGACGCTCGTGTTTCAGTGGCGGGCAACTTGTGAGGTTAACAAGTATGCAGTCACATCTAGTTCAAATAAGCACATCTGTAGCGGAACGCTCAGGTTATGTGGACAATGAACTGTTTTATAGGTTGTCCAGCCACAAGGACTTGTATGCAATAGCAGTGGGATGCTTATGTTTCAGTGGCTGGCAACTACTACTGTAAATACAAGTGATACAAATATGAGGAAGGCTTGTAGCGGTACGCTCCCTTTCCTACATTGTTTCATGGCTATATCTTTTGAAAGATAGAAATGTGTTTCACTGTTTTGTTGTGATGTTTTATAAATTGTACAAAGTAGATTATGATGATTTTATGTAGGTAGAAAACATGCAGCTCGGGTGGCGGCGTCATCACTGGCTTGTCTGGCTTGTGATGCCTTATGGCGGTTTTAATTGGCCGCACCTTTACAAAAAGGTAATTCATTTCGAATATAAAAGTCAAAAGAAAACAAAAATTAGGAAAGAGAAATCATTTCAAAAAATAATCAAAAGAAGAAATACAAAACAAATAATTAAATAAATTCGGCGGCCCAGTTTTTTGGGTGAGCCATTTACGCCAAACCCAGGTCTTTGTGTTATGATTTTGTAAACAGAGCGTTGCTGCATGTTTCGTAGTTAAAAGGAGTTAACATCTCATAGCTGCTTTGGAGGAACTTGGGAAAACATGAAGAACAAAAATTAAAAGTATATTTATATACGATTTTTTGGACAATAAAATGTTTTCATTTAATAATATTCCTTCGGGGACCCCACAGTTGGGTTCCCCTTGTGGGCCCCCTGCTTCAGAAAGAAAGGGGGGATTCCCATTGGTTGAAAGGTCAAAGGCGAAAGGGCCCCCTGGCTCCTTGCACGCTGACCCCAATCATTAACCCCACAGCCTTTAGATCCGCCATTTTTAAAAAGCGCAGAAAATCTACAAAACGAAGAAAAGAAAATACCATTGTTGAAAAGACTTACAAATCTTCATAAAAACCCACCCTCCTCCCCTTATTCAGCACAGAGAGCATTTTAATAATTAGTAGGGTCTCCAGTCAGATCGGTGATCAAGGCTAACCGGACTGACTCTACCTAATCTTACTGTTCTAAATGTCACGGTGTGGTTATCACCCTGTCAGTTGGGAGAGGACTATACCATCTGTTGGAATTAGGTGTATAGGTAAAGTGTTATGTCAAAGCATAGACCTAAATTTACTTTAGGTCTCTGGTCAAAGGTAGAGTCCATTTTATACAATCAATACAATAAGCATATATATTTATCAATACAATATTGAGGAATTCGCAGGAGCTGCCTTATCAGGCGCTAACTACTACTCCTATGCCACCTGGCTAATATATCCCTATGCGTGTATGCCTGTGTGTGTGCTGGAGATGTATTGTGTTCTGTTTGTAGTGGGACCGTGCTTCCAACGGTATCATTTACAGTACTAGTGCCACCTCACTTGAATGCTACAGCACAGATACCGCAACACCCACTATGCCTCACTCGAACTGTTTGACAATGGAAAAAATATCCGATTAATTATTGCTTTCTACGCTCGGCAGTCTTTGAAATAGTTAAGTATATTGTAACATCTTCAGAAGTGAAATTATAATTGTCACAGTCTTAGAAATAATGAAGTTCTATATATTTTTTGATGCCAGAAAGTAGTAAACATGAACAATCGACATAACAATTCTAAGTTATTAGTTCTAGATAAGTGCAAAAAAATTGCATTCCCCCCATTGCATTGGTTGTGTCGTTTTGCCAGTCTATTTGTGTGAATTTGTCATGGAAATGTTTACCAAAATTAGTTACAGCTATATTTGGACCTAAACTAAGGTGCTCAGAGTAAGTTTACATGTTTTAGGGGTTTAGATCGAATTTCGGTTAAAATGACACCCCGATGTTTGTATTTCTCGTATATATATAATCTTTGGGGTGTAATTGTTTACCGAAAAGAGATCTAAACACCTAAAACATGTAAAATTACTCTGAACATCTTAGTTTAGGTCCAAATATAGCTGTAATTAAATCTCAGGTCCCTGTGGTTTGCTCGTTCATGTTTTTCTGAACTGTTTGAACTTGTGTAACAGAAGAGAAATGCAACGGTCAGACCGGGGTTCGAGCTAGGGATACACCAAACTCACAACGGACATTTAACCACGGCGATCGACCCAGTCCAGTTCCGCTATATTTCTAAGTCTTCAAGATTTCGAATCTTGCGACCATTTTTACCAGGGTTTTGTCTAAACTCCTTAAAACAAAAGCCGATAGTACCCGGCTCTCTAAACAACAATGAAGACAGGCCTAAACAAGAACCGTACGTTCAGTTGGTTTCCGTGTCCTAAGTTGCTAAAGGACTGAACGGCACATGTTGCTGCCTAATGACATGCCAGCGAATGTGGAAACAAAATACAATAGTAGGAGTTTTTGTTGTTGCTGTTTATCTCGTTTTATCGTTGCTCGCGTTAGATAACAGGTAATAAACCAACGGAACTACATGTCCATTATGGACGTAAGTTTTAATTTAATGAATTTATTTCAAAATAACATAAGTAAATTATATGTCATATTTATACATATGTGTAGTAACAATATTAATAGAGCAGCGACCGTCAAAGAGTCACCCGCCTAACGTCAATGCTTTATTTACATATGAGAAGACACCTTCACCACGGAGGAATAGGCATATATGCGCGATTAAAACCAGATACCAGTACAGCGACATAGCAAATTCAACAGGAGTATTTTTAGTATTGGTGTAAGTGTTATTCATGAATTTTAAAGGGCCAATTAGTATCCTTTAATATATATGTTTAGTATGCAGTGGCGGATCCATTTTCCTCAATTTTCCCCCACATGGACCCCNGTATGCTTCTTCATAATCAACATGTATTATTATATGAGGATATTGTCTAATGTGGGGGTCTAAGATAATGATGAACTCTATTTTATAAATGAATTATTATAACTTCATATATATATATCCAAATCGTAGTATTATAGTTATGTATTAGCATTTGCGCTGCAACCCACTGTTAAACATTACCAGCAGGAATGCATTTCATTTGAGTATGAAAGCAAAATCTCTCGTGACGCGACACGTGGTTTACTTATGACATCATAAATTAATCTTGTTCAATGAGAGTCTTGTCGCTTCGATTCGGATAACATGGGAAATGCCCCTACGTCAAACGCTCAAATGACTACAGTTAATTTTTGACGCCAATTTTATTCAGAAAGGATCGTTCATGCCGGTATGAACGCAAATCGGTTACATCCGTATTAAACACGAAGCCCTATAGCTACTAGGCTTCATGCCATATGGATGTAACCGATTTGCGTTCAAACCGGCATGAAAATTAAAAAAAACCGTCGTTCAATCCCTATATGTATATATTTGATGAAACTCCCAGATTGCTGGAGTTAAGTTTCAAACTTGCAAATACGATGGTGAATTTCTAAAAATGTGATGCTCGTATCATCAGAAACCGTTTTACTTTGAACATAAGAACGGTTTATGATATACTCGATCGTTCCGACTCACAAGCAGAAAATTCTCACATTATTGACTTATAACCCGAAAAAAAACACGTTCTGTATGTTTATGTTGTGACGATTTGTTTCGGCGACGTTCCACTGTATCCAGATTCGCCATGTTGTCATTTGGAGTGTTTCTGGTTTTCTGCCATATTTTCACCAAGTTCCTTATTCGCCTCAGATAACTGTCCAAGTTTTCTCTTCTCTTGGATTCGGCTTAAAATCCAGCGTCGAAAGATGGCGACTTTTGTGAAGACTGTTGGGTATCTCTGACAGGACACGGCCCCCCACGACGTCGTGCCCAGGAGGACAAATGAACCTTTCCTCTTACATACGAGAGGACCGCCAGAATCGCCCTTGAGGAGGATAAGAAAGAACATAGCAAACGGCAGTGTGAAAACAAATAACTCTTAATAACAAATTGTTGAGAAAAAAATCAAATCGCCTTTACATATTCGCCAATACTGCTAAATATATATTTTTTATAGCGTGCCAATGTGTTCTCTCACACATTTTTAACACAAAAATAGCGAATATGTCAACTGTTACAATATTACAGGACTTTTTGTCATGGAGTTAAAACCTTTTCCCCTAAACTTCATCCTGTACACTGACCAACTTACTTCACAAGCAGCCGTGTTGTTATAGAAGGCACAGAGACTGGTAGTTTTAACTATCCCGCCCCAGAACTTCTCAGAATTACACTTGCTGTTGCTGATGATGTTGATATTGGCTTCCTGAAGTCGCGTGGCGAGTTTACCATAACCTCCCACTGCGCATGCGAAATGAAAATAGAAAACCATGATTTTGTACATATGATGGATGGGGAAGACATATATACATAAATTGTATAGTTTTATATCATCATACAGATAATGGTCCCTTTATTACTTCCACTATCCTGAAAATTAACCTGTACCCAAGACTAACCCAGATCGGTATTGATACAAATACATACATCAAATGTAATAAAAACAAAAATCTAAGTGGTTATCTTAGAGATTTCAATACACAATTTTATGTTATTTAGTAGATTCAGACCACTTTACCTTCATTTGGAACGCTACTTTTCATTTCCTTGCAGGAAGATGTTTCTAAACAAAGAAGATATTAAAGCTTCTGATTATTTCATTTATCGAAAGTTGTATTTACAATTTCACACATGTAAAGATCAAACTTTATGAAATATGCAATGAAGATAACATGAAGATCAATTATTTCCGAGATATTCGATTTGATTGAAATAAATGAGTAATTACGTAACTCGTTTGCTTGGCCATTGTTAAACACAAGCACATGTTTCATTTATTACATTTTCTATAAACTACCATTTCTTCATTTATTAGTCATTTATAGATGTGATGTAGCCCAAACACGGAACATTTCAAAACCTGAACAGTGTTTTCGGTTAAATATATTTACGTTATATTCTGCCGTAGTGGAGACTGAAGTCAATTCTCTTTGAAAATAGGATAACTTTGTCTGCATTCATCATTAACGGCTTAGGGAAGCCTTTCAAAAAATATGCTTGTTCACATACTTCAAACTGATCTTATTAGACAAACGGGTGTTTAAATTGGCTCTCACCCCAGTTGTTCAAAATTTGCATAAAGGGTTCGGTAGCTATAGCTTATCAACATATATCTACCATATCATGGCGTTGTCACTATATAACCCTACACAATTCAGTTGACATTCATATAGGCTATGAATGCCATGGACCGATTCTTGACGTCATCATTATTGCTGTTCAAGTCACTGAGCAAGCATACACGATACATACATTGTTTGAACTAAATGCTGAATAGTAATAAGTGTAATTGAATTTTCTATGCTGCTTTCAGTTGGCATTCATAGGCAATATTAATTCAATCCGAAAGAAGTTCAATGCTTAATTATGACTTAAAAGACATTCAATTACAAATCATCATCAATAAACTTACAACTGTGACAGAGGTCATTGCTTCTTCTATACATACCAATCAGGATATTGACTTACCCTCCTCTTCCTTGTCATTCTCCCCACCCTCCTCATCCTCCTCCTCTTCCTCATCCTGCGTCACAACTCCCCACCCCGTGATGTAACAGTCGTTGTTGGACAGTCTCTGATTACGTCTGGCCAGGGCAGGGATCGGTCTCACACCCGGGGTGTCCGTAGCGTTGGTTTTCAGGTGGATTAGGGCGATGTCATATCCTCCCAAGAAATCGTCTTTGTAGAGAGGGTGCTGGCAGAAGTATCACAATATACAGTTATAGAACGGGTATGAGGGAAATAGCAAATTCATGGTCGCCGAGGTGAAAAAAATGTTGCCGGAGGCGTTGAAGCTGGTGGAGATATTTTATCGTTTTTATATTGGGCAAACCAGGGATGTGTAGTCCACTACACATCCCTGGGCAAACCCAGTAGAGGTATGATAAAAAAAGAGCAAAATTACAGAGACCAGACACGTTAGTAGTATAGGGAGTATAGACTGTGATAGCTAAGGATCTTACCGTTGTTACATGTTATGGTAAACTATAGAATCGACCCCGGTATCGTCTTAAGCTTGCAGAAAGAGATACCATAGTACGTTGGATCCCGAGTACTGACAAGAGGTTCGAAAATGGTCACTCTGGTACATTACTCAGTACCTGGTACATCAGTTTGAAAGTGCAAAACAAAAACGTTCACAACGTACTCTATAGGTCTCCGTATTCATAGTAGATCTGGCCCCAGTTTGCTCAAAGGTCGGGTAACGTTAACCAGTGGTAAGTGAAATATTCAAGTTGTTGTCAAAGAAAAGCAATGGCTTTCAAAGCAAAACACATCGATCTGATCTGTCTAAACAACACAGCAGGGAAAGGCTACTAGATCTTCTTGATGATTTTCTCGTGTTCATATTTTTAGATTTTCTCTAACTGCAACTTTACTCTAAATAAGCTTTGAGCAACCGGGGTATGGTGCATTTAACAAAGATATTAGTGTAAATTATGAATACTTTATAATCAAGTACATTTCGTCAGAGTGTTTATGCATATGAAGATACTAACCAACGATGTATATATCACTTTGATGTACTGCTCCGTACCCTCCGGAACGTCTCGGTTGTAGTCCCCCAACACTACCGTTAAATTGTCAACTCTGAACAAACAAACAAAACCACAATAAATGCACGATATACTTCGTGTCTTACATCCATTTAAAGTTTAAAGTTAACTTCATGTTATAGGTTTTAAATATTGTAATAGAGGTCCTTATTTTTCTAATTCCTCCGCTACGAGTCGCACCCGTGACCCCTGGCTTACTCATCTGTCGCTCTACCAGATGAACTGGTGAGAAATTATTCCTAGCTGAGTCGGTAGGAAGCGGCTAGTATTTTATCAGGATGATATATGATAAATGCTTACATGTTTCAGATTACAAGTTCGTGAAAAGAGTATTGATGTTATTACACTTTCTTTACAGTGCACCGCTACGTAAATATCAATAAATACATATACGGCTTTTATTTCAAATGACGAATTCTTAATGATAGCTACGGAAACCCATTGGTGCGAAGTAAAATCGAAGAAAAAGAAGATATTATTGCGCAATACTTTTGCGAATATTGCGCGATAAATGTTTTTAGATTTCATTTGGCACCAATGGGCTTCAGTAGATAACCTTTATTGGGTGCCTTAACCAGAATTTCTAAAATGTTCGTGATATCAAAAGTTTAATATACACGTTAACAAGGATCAAATTATAGCTTAAAACAGTTATAAGAGACAACAGCATATCATGACGAAGAGAACCGGTTTTCCGGACCGGTAAGAGTTTCCCATAACACATGAGGTGCCTGAGGTGACGTATCACATCCTGTAAAATGTATTTTAACCTTATTCATCCAGACTTCAATTATTCAGCTGCGCTATAATAAGAAGTAAACCACAGGCTTGTTTTAACTAGTCGGAATTTCGTTGGCATGGGTTATTATACAAATAAAAATTGTCCAAACAAATATTGTAACGTTGTAAGTAAGTATGATAAAGCGGGCTCTACTCACTTGCGCCCCCGGACACAGTGTGCCGCCGTGAGGACGGTATCGTACTCTATGAGGGTACCTCCACACACGAATCCCTCCCTCGACACTAACACTCCAGCCTGCCACGGCCAAGAACGACTCCGCGAGTCCTTGCCACCCACAATCGAACGGACACTCGGCGTCTCCGTGGGTGCTCCTATAAACAGTGGTAATTTCAATAATTTTATTTTATAAGTAGATTTCATCTTACATCCCAGCGGTAAACCGTTAATGTCTGTTCAGTTAGTAGTCAGAATGTTTCCCGGGGTATTCGGACATTGTGATGATCTACTTTGTCAAGATGTAGACTTTGCTGCGTTTAGCTAGAAAATCGCGTAGTATTTTAATTATTATTAACATTTATTCCACATCTATCATGGTAAGCCCGTATGTTAACTCCAATATTAGAAGTCCAAAACAACAGTAATGAAACTAAATATCCGGGTAAAACATATTAAGGCTTTTTACACCAGGGCCCAGTTGTTCAAAAGGAGGTTAGCTAAATCACTATTCAACGACATTTGTAATATTAATTAATAATTAATAATTCCGTTAATGAAACAAGAGGCCCAATAGGCCTGAATCGCTCACCTGGTATTAATCTCACAAATAATCTTTAAAGTGGACTAAAATACAGCTACAGGCAGAATATCAGTGTTTGACTCATAAGAACCCATTAAAAGATTTAAACATATGACGCCTCTGACTTTGAATTTCGAACAAGGACATAAGGTTGAACAGAGTTTATAGTCGTCCAACCAAGCATGCTTCTGGCAAAATATCATTACCCTGGACCTTTTGGTTATACAGAACAATTCATTTAAAGATTTAATCATATATTGACCACTGTGACCTTGCATATGGGCGAAGGTCAATCATTTGAAAAAAACCTGGTAGTCCTTCATCCTAGCATGCTACTGGCCAAATATTATAACCCTCAGCCTCTTGGTTATTGAGAAGAAGTAGTTTTAAAGGTTTTAAACATATTTGACCCCTGCAACCTTGAAAAGGGGCGAAGGTCATTTGTTTGAACAAACTTGGTAGCCCTTCATCCAAGCATGATACTGGCCAAATATCATCACCCTAGGCCTCTTCGTTCTTCAGAAGAAGTCGTTCAAAGATTTTAACATATTTGACCCCTGTGACCTTGGATATGAGCGAAGTTCATTCATTTGAACAATTTGGTAGCACTTCATCCCAGCATCTAACTGGCAAAATATCATAACCCTAGGCCTCTTGGTAGTTCAGAAGAAGCTGTTTGAAGGTTTTAAACATATAAGACCCCTGCAAATTTGAAAAGAGGCGAAGGTCATTTGTTTGAACAAACTTGGTAGCCCTTCATCCAAGCATGATACTGGCAAAATATCATCACCCTAGGTCTCTTGGTTCTTCAGAAGAAGTCGTTCAAAGATTTTGACATATTTGACCCCTGTGACCTTGAAAATGGATGAAAGTCATTCATTTGAACAAACTTGGTAGCCCTTGATTCCAGGATGCTACTGGCCAAATATCATCATCCAAGGCAGTTTGGTTATTAAGAAGAAGTTGTTTTAAAGGTTTTAAACATATTTGACTCCTGTGACCTTGGAAATGGGAGAAGGTCATTTGTTTGAACAAACTTGGTATCCCTCCATCCCAGCATGTTACTGGCCAAATATCATCACCCTAGGTCTCTTGGTTCTTCAGAAGAAGTCGTTCAAAGATTTTAACATATTTGACCCCTGTGACCTTGAAAATGGATGAAGGTCATTAATTTGAACAAACTTGGTAGCCCTTAATTCCAGGATGCTACTGGCTAAATATCATCATCCTAGGCCTTTTGGTTACTGAAAAAAAGTTGTTTAAGTAAAAAGTTGACGCCGGACAGACGGACAACGGACGACGGACGGACGGACGACGGACGACGGACTGACGACGGACGCCGCACCATGGCATAAGCTCACTTGCCCTTCGGGCAGGTGAGCTAAACATAAAAATATCACAATTTTGCATGTAAATTCATTTTAGTAAATATTTGATATCTGAAAAGTTGTAACTAATTCAATAGTTGCGTTTTGAAGTTACACAAATATTGAAATTTGTGCAAATCACTGATTAAGCTAAACACCTTTTTAACAACTGGGCCCAGATATTCCATGCGGTCCACAGTTGTCTACATTTTCGCCCCTCTGACGTTGGTTAGACATTGCTTTTAGCTCTATTCCCATCAAAGCGCAGACATTTCTAGTTACAAATGTATTATTCTAGGGCGCTTAAGTATAATTTCGGTTAAATATTATTTCTCCTATAACCACTCATGAAGCATCGGGTATACCTGCAAGGAGTTGGTACACATTTCATATTACCCATATGCTGGTAACAGACAGGATGTTACTTATTTGGCTAGTCTTTCAATAATGACGTCCTGTAGAAGAGCTATTATAATGACAATTGTTTCTTAGATCGCACGCAGGGATATGTATTTTCAAAAAGAGACATATTGCTTTCCAGACATCCAAACCTTTAATGGCTAGTTATTATATTTATCTTACTCTCAGAAATTTATTTTCAAACTGTGAAAAGACTCGGCAAATATCATGTAGAACTAATAAATTTCAAAATAAACATAAAACCAACCACCGGATTGCTGGGGAACATCTATATCAACATGTTCAAACGCGAACGTTTCCACTCTTGAGATATGTATTGATCAGAGAGGATGCGTGCATCAAGGACGGTACTTTATAATTTCGAATACTATCTCCTCAGACTCCGAAACTCCGAAACCAAAGTGAGATGGACTCCTTGCCGGGTATATGTCTTACCTTTACAGGACGTCCACGCCAGAACAACAGACCATGATACAAAGGCACACAGATCCACATGAGAACGGAAGATAAACATTGCAGGTAAATCTGCTTCAAACTAGGTATGCATCACCATCCGCAGCAATGTTCTCACGACTGACGCTGTCGTCTGCTTCACTCCATTACCTGACGTTATTACGATTCTATAACCACGGATCCAAGAGACCTTGGCTGGTTAGCCAGAGGTCAAGAACAGCGTCACCAATCTGTTGGACATCCCCCCTCTATAAATGCCCGAGTTTTCCTTCGTTTCCTGATCATTGACATTGTATGTGATATCTATAACCGTCAAACATAACAACGGATTGGGGCCCAGTTTTCCTGTGATGTTAAAAAGATTCTGTCGGATTTCTGATGACGTCAAAACATCTCGCTCTGGCATCGAACAGGTGTGGATTGATGCACGCTAGTGCCTGACCCCGAGAGAAGTAGAATTAGATGTCAGTCAGCGGAAAATATAAATAGTAAGGGTAAATGACTCCCTTTATGATAGTACTTGTCTTAAAGCGATTGATTTTTCGGTAAGGACTGTTTAATTCCCACTTTATCAAACATTTGACTTTCCTCTCGCACTTCTCTTCTTAGTAACGTTATACGTTTTATTCAAACTAGTCGAAATACCACCTCGTGAATTTTCAATAGATATTTATACTGTTACTATCATTCAGTAGTATGATGTAATAATATTCAATCATGGATCAAGAATTAGGTCTCTTAAGTGTTAGCGGATCACAACTGAGGCGTCAAGTTATAGCTTTTGGAATATACGACACTATGAATAGCTACAGGGTGGCTGATTTGTTTGGGTTTTTTCGCCGGTACAAATAACAAATTGGCGTTTTATTCTTCATTAGCGCTCATCATCACGAAAGTTCTAATTTACTAATTTGTGTGCTTGTTTCGTCTTTCACATGTACTTCATCGTCGTCATTTTGACAAGTATGAAACAATGTACAGATCGAAGGTCTAAAGATGGTTTTCTATGAGTAAGCAAGTGGTATTGATAAAAGAATTCCAAAATGACGAACTTACAATCAAATGTGTATGGTGAGCAGGGAGGTGTTACAGCGCCATTTCGGTAAACGGCTCTTTGTCGCCATTTCGGTAAACGGCTCTTTGTCGCCATTTCGGTAAAAGGCTCTTTGTCGCCTTTTCCCGGGGCCCCCTGTCATCACAAAACAAGAGTACCGCGGGGCAGAACAATATACGCCCGTCGAATGCCATAGTGTTATATACTTTCTTACATTGAAATAAGATCTACATCAATCAAATAGTAGTTAGCTGACATGCTATAAAAATATAGGAGAAAATATTCGAATACAAAAATCAAATATTGAAATTAACAAAGGGCAATAACTTTTGCTTAAATCGTCGAATCTAAATTCTTTTCAAGGGAACACAACAACATATCAGGATTATTTAGCCGACTTAGTTTCAAAGAAATCTGTCAAAAAATGTAAGAGGAGATTTCCGGACAAAAAATCAAATACTGAAATGAACAAAGGGCAATAACTTTTGGAAAAATTGTCGAATCAAAATTCTTTTATGGGAGACACAACTTCATATCATGATTATAATGTATACCAAGTTTCAAAGAGATCGGTCGAAAAATGTAGGAGGAGATTACCGGACAAACAAAAGTTTACGCCGGACGGACGGACAACGCCATACCATAATACCCCCGTCAAATTTGACGGGCGTATAAAAAGGACTGTGCAACTGGGCGCTTTTTGTGCCGATAAAGGTGTGTTTTTGGCCATATAGAGTCACATTTTTAGGGCATCCAGGAATTCTCTGTTGGTCACAATCTTAATACTCTCGAGTATTAACGTGAAATATTCCTTGTATATAAGGATATATACCAATTATATATATATATAAAAACATCCAAAGTCCTTGTGATGGTCAAATATAAAAGAAAACAAAGTTTTTTCTTCCCTTGTACATATACTTCTTAATCGGTTCATCAGGGATGAATTTCTCCTGATGAACCTCTAAAGAGGTGAAAATACTTAAGGAAGCACCAAGAAACTCTTCTTTTTTATTTATGTATATACACGAAACGTAATAGAGCGACATGCACGATAAAAATAAATGATCGAAAGCATTTAAAATTGTTCTTATTGTCTTGTTTTATTAAATTTACGATGGCCTCTAAATATAATTATTACAACAATCCTACGTAATCCGGGAAAAGCGGTTTACTATATTGATTTATCTATTTACAGCAGGCTGTGACTATAAACAGATCGAGCCGTCTCCGCCGAGTTTGGCATTGACTGAAAATCGAACGGTGTTACAGCCAGCACAAGCGATAGTCGGAAGAGTACTAGCCTATATTGTTTTCTGTTTATAAGAAACCCGGGCCTCAGACATTCACTGTTTAAAGAATTAAAGCAGTGGCAGGGGAAATTTATCCGGATACCGAGATCCGAACCGATATTGCAACGGACTTTTTGACGAAGTAGCTTGCTGGGCTGGGATGAAAAACTAACCTGCAAATGAATTTGTCCTAGTTTTGAATAAGCTTGCTGTGATGATAGGCTTTCAGGTTACTGGACTACTTTACCCTTATTAATAGTTTATGTACAACTTCTTGCAAAGATCTATACAGCATAGAGTAACATACTTAAAATGCAACTGGTCTGTATGGAAAAAAATACCTTGGCCAACTTTCAAGGTCATATAGATCAAGCGTGTAAAATCTTGAGATGACTTCACTAGTACATGTTCCCTGTCACCTTTGTCAGACAAACGACCAGTGTGGCTATGTACACATTTAAAATATGTACAATATGAGGCAATCGTTGATTTGACTATGCTATAGAGTATGTACACTTAATGGTTATAAATGTACATGTAAATCCCTGTACATGTAAGAAATGACGAGGCAAACCTCCAAATTTGCTTTAATATGTGGACATAGATATGCGAGTCTATGAGCCCACTCATCTCAATTCAGAACAGGCCCGCTACGTGGTATCCAAACGGCTTCCTTTATCTGCCACTTGAACAGATCTCTCTCGAACACTTTGAAGATATCCCAGTCAATATCACGACTGCTGGGTAGCATGGTCTGTTACTGCCAATGTATTGATATTGGACTCGACGGCTTTCTTTCTAATCAGATAAATGTTTTCCCCCTCTTGGGTTGCGTGTATTTTTCGGCGTTCACAAGTCAGCCCCAAATCGCCTTCCAATTCCAGCCCCCTGATATATACGATGCATCACAGTTTGTACACTCATTCTGAAGCGTTTTCTTCGTGTTTGTTTACTAGGGTGCACAAGAACATTATAAAGCATCTCGCCATGGCCAAGAAATATCCTCTAGGATGACTTTACATAATCTTTATATATACGCGACGACCACAGCACAGGGACCTGAAAATTTATTACAGCTATATTTGGTCCCTGTGGCGATGACTACCCACCTATTCATTTTGTTCTTATCCTTGATTGGTATTTTCTTGTTCTTCACCTTACTTTGTACTTTTTGGGGGCCCATTCCCGATGTCTACGTTTTCATTTCCCAAGCAATGTGGTTCTGCTCTTGCATTTTGTCCCGTTCTGTCACATCTGTTGAGCAATATTCATCGAAACATCACACTCACTTAACATTCACTAGTTGTCTATATGCACCTCTCTACGACCACTTAACCAGAAGAAAATGTTTAGGCATTTTTGTGGGTTAATAATCAAACTAACCGCTAATCTTCTTCTTTTTTAAATATTTAATATGCCACTATATAATATTTATCACCAAGAACATATATTAGGCCTAAAATATGATGTACTTATTGAATGTTTGCCTATAAGGTGGCTCCACACGTGACGTACTTCCGGAAAAAGTACAGCTAGGACTCAATTATCTTGATCGAAATGTGCATGTACACGCGTGTCGTCATTTCCGTATTGCGTATCGGGCATTCAATATCGTAGTGTAAATTATAGTAACACCTGGGCCGTTTTCGTTTAAACGGTCAAATCGATCGGACCACTGTTGTTCCTTTATCAAATAAGGTCGGACCTAGTAATCTGATGCTGCTTTTAGGCGAGCCTTGAGAAAGCCTTGCAAGGCCTGCATACACATTTGCAGGTCCGCCAGGATTTATATCCGGAATTGTTACATTTATAACCGGTCAAACCGATTGTTCCGCATAAACGATCAGGCCCCATGGTAAACAATAGTACACGTGCGTGCCGATGATATGTCAACACCCGATATCGAGATTTTAACGGGAAATGTATAATCACACGTACTTCAGGAATAAAGCTTTCCAATTCATAGACATACATGAGACAAGCGACCTCAAGAAGGTCATATAGGAAACACATGGAATGGGGACGTACCAACCTCACATGTGCATATCGCGTGTTTACACGAGTTCACAAGCTCGAGGTCGTTACGATTTTCGCTGTTGAGGTAGTTTCGCTCTATCGATTAAATCGTGTTCACAAATGTAGTCTACTAGCTTATTCTGTGAAAATAATGTTTTGTAAAATATCAAGGTACCTATGAAATGCATGTGTGAGTGCACGTGAGAACGGCATACCATGCGATAGCCTCTGGTCACATATGTACCTGACATGTAATTATAAATATACCATGAGTTAGCGGACTGTGGAATGATGTCCAAAGTGTACATGACTGAGGGTAATTTGGTTCCAGGGACAACCAATAAATTGGTGATTTTTATATCATATTTTTGATTTATTTTCATCATTTTTGTTATATGTAAACAGGGACAACTGTCATTGTGTAAATGTCACCCCTCTGCAAAAAGTTCGGATTTTTTTCAACGAAGATAACTCTCACCCAGATCACAGTGATTGTAAAATGTAAAATAAATTAATTATAAAGCCATTGTGTATATTTTGTTCAATTTTCCATTCTATATGTATAGATATTTGTGTCCTTGGTGCTTTGGGGGTGTAGATAATCACTTTTATCCGTACAAATTCAATAAAAAACACTTTGTGTAACATATGTTACATATTTTGCGATAAATAAAATATTTGTAGGGTTAATTAGAATTGCTTCTTTTCATTTTATTATTGTTGTTATTGTTCCGAACAATGCCACACACAAAAAAACCTGGAAAATATTAAAATTGACGAAAATTCCTTTTTTGGTATTTTTCCAATATTTACAATATTTTAAGGAAACTTTGAATTAGTGTCTTTTTGAAATTCTGTAATTTAGCCAGACATCCATCACGTTAAAGATCTCTCCTTCACCAGAATATTGAAAATCCTCTCATCTAACAGAGGACAACGCCAATATCAGGCATGCTACAAATCTAATTATACTTTTAAAAGATTTATTACAACCAGTAAGAAAAATGTTTTTTAAATTAAATAACATTATCCCTAGCTACCTGCCTACCAAAAATGGAAATTCTGAGTGTAGTTAAGGCAAAATACTGAAATTAACATTATTTTAGAACGAGGCTGCATGTCAAAGTAATTTGAAGTACTGGTATAATATATGAAACAGTTCAAAAATATCAAAGGAAAGAAATTTGCTTCTTTATATAAAATTTATTTTATCTTGCATCCAACATATCGTAATGCAATGTATAGCATAGTAAACACCTATCAACAAATCTGTAGTACATAATGTTTCACATTTCAATGAAAATGAGTGACTTTCGTGAAGAATAAACCCTTTGCCTCCATCATTGAGCAGAGAATTTATTGTGACAGCTAGACGAAAGAATGTTAGAAGCCTCCACTAGCAGCTTTCTGGACTCGCTGCTGAAACCTTTGTTCAATAACTTTGGCTACATCCACATATCGTTCTACACAATTACACATGCAGGACTCTGTGCGACTGTCCAACTTGTCCCGCGGTTTATCTACACACGTGTCCCAACATAAGTTGTTTAGTTTATGGATCTGCTGCTGTATCTTTGCTTTGCCAGCCTCCATCTCAATAAAAGCTTGCATTTCTGGGTCCACAGCATTTTGGCCACCTGCGCCAGCCCCTCCTGGGGTTGAGTAACCAGATGAATTGAAGCTCATTCCAACGTCTTTAAAAAATCAGTTTACCTAGAATAACAGAAAAAATACACTGATCATACATATACTTAGTTACTATGTTTACATGACAATAAAAAATAGTAGGATGAACTATTTGCACTGTTTAAAGTCATCAATTTTTGGGACTGATCAAGGAGAGAAGAGGGGTTGGGTTGGAAATCAAGTGAAACATTCCTCTATACCACTCGGTGACAATTTCTATGGATAGATCCACTCTTCGACAGGGGCTGCCTGCAGGCTGGCCATATGAGAATGGCTTGCAAAGAAATATGTAGTTTACATATGATCCATACACTTACAAAACCCATGTCTTTATACGTTCGGCCCCCGTAGCATTAGTGTCTTGTGTTTCATACTTCATACAAGTTCAAGCTAAATACTGCTAAGTAGGTTCAATAATAATAATATGTAATTGTATGTTAAATTCAGCATGACATACATTTTGGTAGCCCAAGTTAAATTTCCTCTGGTCCCAACACTACTCCTATAACATGAGAGACCGCTGGTCGGCCTTTTTTCTATCGGATATGATTTTGCCGACTGCGACCTCTCATTTCCGAAGCACTAATTCTTTGATGCAGTTTCCTCCCGAAATGCGGGCGGAACTAAATCAGCTTGAAAAACTCAATTAAATGGTTCACAGTTCATGACAACGATGTCTACTCACGGTGCATGTATGTGTATTATACCAATTACAAATATTTTTCATTGTCCATGTTCATGTTCCACTCCACCTGTACCACCTATGTGGATTGTTATTATGTAATGCACAAAGGCATTTTTGCCTATCGCTTAATAAAAATATACATGTAATATAGATCCCATATGTATGCCACAGACACAAATATATAGTATATTACGGAATAGAACACACAAATACTGTCAACAGTATCTAGCCGTGTTAAACCTCTAACATTGTTTGAGTAGCCCAAACACCAGACTTTGACATTTTGACAGATAGATGTCTGGTGCTAATTGTTGAAGAACTTGGAAGTGGGTGACCGTCAGTCAGTGAGAGGGATGATATTGGGGAGGTTGACATGTTTCATGTTTGCCTAACATGATTCAGAGTGGGCACTGAAGATGTTAGTCATATATCGATGATGACAGGTATGCAACTGTTGCATCATTATATTGACCAGTGATCAGTTGTATATATGTATATATATGTATATTGTTCATACTCGTGCAGAATACCATCACTCACACTCGCTACGGCATAGGCTCCAATCAAAATGTGAAGTTAAGCTAACATGTTTGACAGGGTCGGAAACTTGAGCGTCTGAACACGAGTTTAACTAAACACTCCGTAAAATGCCCCTCTCCCCCACACTAATTGCATTGCATGTTACCGAATAGCGAAGTAAACCCCTAAAACGTCTCATATAACCTATTTCTCCGCTGTTTTTGTAAACATTACCGAAAGTACCTAGCACCAATCGTACATTGGTAATTTTAACCGATAGGACATCAAAGAAACGTTATCGACGATAACGGTTAACGTTACTTGTATCCAGACTTGACCTTCACCGAGACTTTTACCCCCAACTTATGGGCTCATCTGCAGTAATTAAAATGACCAATTCGGACAGATGATGGGACTTTCACAATAGCATGTTATAAATACTTACCGTGTAATATACTTGTCTGAAATCATGCAAGAAATGACGTTTGGTAGCAAGAGTTGTAAACCTCGTGTTATTTTATTTTACCGGAAATCAAAGTGTGTGAGCGCACGCAGTTTAACCTTTGAACTCAAACGTAAACAACAATCAGAGGTTAACCACGTGTTTATGTGCTCGCGTTGCCACGAAGATGCCTCCACGATTACGCCTCACCGCAAATGGTCATTTCAATATAATGGTGTAGCAGAATATATCAGTAAAGCATGCCGTTGGAAAAGCTTTCTTTCAATGAAGCAAAACGCAGGGCTAATGAAAGGATCGCGGAATGGGTATCGGAAACCAAGGCCGCGGGAATTGTTCGTCTGCAGGACAGATACGGGGCCGTTTTCAAGAAGATAGACTGGCGTGCAGGCCATAGCCAAGCACCTAAGAAAGGAACAAAACTTAAACCCATGCCAGAGCAAGCAAAGAATGGTATTTCTTAAAACTAAATAAGCTTAAACCCTACTCTCCAACCAACCACTTCAGCATTGAATTTGCCTTTAAACTATAGTTGAAAGTTCAGTCAGATTTTAATTGCTTCCAACAATTGCAATATAATTACTTAAATCATGTGTAGCAATTTTATGCAAAGTGATCCGCTACTGCCGTAACCACTGTAGTAGTTAAGTTAAGTGCACACATGATTTATCCCAGGCATCAGATAAGCCTGTTATATGGTATAACACACATTAAACATGTGTCGTAAAAAAATCAGAATATATATTTGTACAGAAAGCACATTTTGTGACATATATATGCAATTGATTATTGAGGCTCGTATCATATATCAGACTTTATATTTTCATATTCATTATCATATTTCTGTCCTAATCAAGGCTAATGGTTTAATTTATATTTAAATATGTTAAAATTTACAACATTAGCCAAGAAGTTGCAATTTGCAAATAAGAATAATCCCATTTGAATTTATTTATAGTTTTAACAACTTCAGAAACAGATAACAAGATGACAGAAGTGGGTCAATTTACACATGATATCCCTCCCAGCAGAATGGGTAGGCACTCTCCCAATCAGAGTCGATGTAAGAGTAGAGAGAGGAGTCGACAAACACCAGAGAGATGCCAGAGTAGCCGGCTCACATCTGAGAAACGGTCAGACTCGAGGAAGCGTTACAGAGACAGTGCCTCTCTCATCTATGGTGACAACAGAAATAACCGAAGTTCCCTGATGGCCAGTGTATGTAGTGATGCCATGTCTCTGATACAAGATGGTGTAGCAAGTGAATGGCAGGATCTTTATCAGGAAACTAAAATCAACACAAAAATCAATGAAAGAACAAGAGCAGAGATGAAGTTTCTGAACTTGAAGACCCCTACCATTGATTACAGAGCTAACAAACGCCAAAGCTATTTACCTGTACGAAAAAGCACAAACGGTCCAACATTTCCTGCAAAAAGAACTTTACAAAAAGATTCAAAGCTGTTAAATATTTTCCCAGCAAATTTTCGAAAGAGAAAAAGAACAATAAGAAATTGGGAAAAAGAAGTTCCATATTTTAAAATTGATGCTGGGGTATTATCGTCTGGTACAAGCAGTGGAACATCAGTAATTATTGGAACAGAAACTATTCAAAATCCATCCGTTGGGGTTACCACTTCGCCTCCAAAAGGCCCGACAGTTGGACTGAAGCCCTTGCCATGCATTGTTACCAAGAACTGTAACCATTCAGTCACACGAGTTTCCAGTCGTCGATTCGACATGTCAAAATCTGGCTTGGCTCTTGCAGTGACGACTGGTCTCAGCCGTGCGGTAAAACTCATATTTTAATCCACACCTAAGTTCCCATTAATGAAGATATATGTTTTTTTCCAGATGCCCTGAATCTATATTATTAAGATTTCAGTAAACAATTTGTTTTACAGAAGTAGTGTTGTCATATAGAAGAAAGAGACCTGTCTAAACTGATTTATTAATAATTAGAAAACCTCTATCAACCAACAAGTTCCCATTGAATCTAAGCATAACAAAATTGAACTTCTGTAATAAAAAAAAAAAGCTTTTACTAAAGAAACACCTCTCTATACTATATCCAGTTTAGAGAGGTATCACTGTAATGTCCTGTTTAGACAGATGTCACTCAAGTGTTTGGCTCATACAGGCATAACTTGTGTCCTGTGGTGTCTTGCTTACGCAGGTCTCACTATAGTGTCTGGTTTAGATGGCTATCACTGTGGTTCAGGATCAGACATATCATCCTTGTGACAGTTTAGACATGTTTTACTGATGTGGCTAGTTTAGACAAGTGTCACTGTCTTGACAATCACTGTGTTATAAGAATCTGAACTGGCAATAATTAATGACAAGTTTTTATTTCTTTCTCTCAGTTAGTTCTAATGAAGTTATATTTGTCCAGAATGGCTGTAAACTTTATGAAAATATGCCTAGAATTTCTTCTTTTACTTTTGTTTTTTCTTCTTTTTTTAATTTAATTGAGAATGCATTCTTTTCTAGAAATCTTCCTGCTTCTCCAGAAGGCAACTAGTATTATCAAGGTCTGCGCACAAACGGTCTACCAACAGTAGTGACAGTAGCAAACAATTCACTCCAGAGAGGGGCACTCCCAAAGGGGTAAGACACTACAAAGGGCTCAGTCATTATACAGTAGAAAGGGGCACTCCCATAGGGGCTAGATATTACAGAGGGTTCGGTCATTATACAGTAGAAAGGGGCACTCCCAAAGGGGTAAGGTATTACACAGGGGTCAGTCATTATACAGTAGAAAGGGGCACTCCCAAAGGAGTATGACATTACATAGGGGCCAGTCATTATACAGTAGAAAGGGGCACTCCCTAAGGGTTAAGGCATTACAGAGGGGTCAGTCATTATACAGTAAAAAGGGTCAGTCCCAAAGGGGTAAGGCATTACAGAGGGGCCAGTCATTATACAGCCAAAATGGGCAGTCATTATACAGTAGAAAGGGGCCAGTCATTATACAGTAGAAAGGGCACTTCCAAAGGGGTAATGCACTGCATAGGGATCAGTTATTATACAGTAGAAAGGGGCACTCCCAAAGGGGTAATGCACTACATAGGGATCAGTTATTATACAGCTTTAAGGGGCACTCCCAAAGGGATAAGGCATTACATAGGGGACATTCAAAATACACTAGAAATGGGCACTCCCAAAGGGGTAAGGCATTACAGAGGGGTCAGTCATAACACAGCTGAAAGTGGCATTAACAAAGGGATAAGGCATTAAGAATAGGGACAGTCATTAAACAGCTTAAAGGGGCACTCCCAAAGGGGTAAGGCATCACATTGGGGACAGTCTATATACACTAGAAAGGGGTACTCACAAAAGTGTAAGGCATTTCAGAGGGTCAGTAATTATACAGTAGAAAGAGGCACTACCACAGGGGTTTAGGCATTACATATCGGGGACAGTCATTTAACAGCAGAAAGGGGCACTACCAAAGGGTTAAGGCATTACATAGGGGTCAGTCATTAAACAGTAGAAATGGGCACTCCTGAAGGTGTAAGGCATTGCATAGGGGTCAGTTATAACACAGCTGAAAGGGGCACTACCAAAGAGGTTAGGCATTTCATAGGGGACAGTCTTAATACAGTAGAAAGGGGCACTTTAAAGGGGTAAGGCATTACCTAGGGGACAGTCTTAACACAGCTGAAAGGGGCACTCCCAAAGGGGTAAGGCATTACAGAGGGGCCAGTCATTATACATCAGAAATGGGCACTTCCAAAGGGTTAAGGCATTACATAAGGATCAATCATTATACAGTAGAAAGAGGCACTCCTAAATGGGTCAGTTTTATAAACCAGGAAGGGGCACTCCTAAAGGGATAAGGCATTATAAAGTGGTCAGTCTTTATACAGTAGAAAAGGGGCACTCCCAAAGGGGTAAGGCATTACAAAGGGGTCAGTCATTATACAGTAGAAAGGGGCACTCCCAAAGCGGTAAGGTATTGCATAAGGATCAGTCATTATACAGTAGAAAGGGGCACTCCAAAAGGGGTAAGGCATTACATAGGGGTCAGTCATTATACAGTAGAAAGAGGCACTCCCAAAGAGGTAAGGCATTACATGTAGGGGTCAGTCCTTAAACAGTAGAAAGAGGCACTCCAAAAGGGGTAAGGCATTACATAGGGGTCAGTCATTATACAGTAGAAAGAGGCACTCCAAAAGGGATAAGGTATTACATATAAGGGTTAGTCATTACAAAGTAGAAAGAGGCACTCCCAAAGGGGTAAGGCATTACATAGGTATCAGTCATTATAGAATAGAAAGGGGCACTCCCAAAGGGGTAAGGCATTACATGGGGGTCATTTTTTATAATACAGTAGAAAGGAGCACTCCCAAAGGGGTAAGTCATTACAAAGGGGTCAGTCGTTATACAGATACACAAGGTGGGAAATCATGAAGTCAACATGTGTGTTGATCAGGTTATATTCTTTACAGAGGGTATCTATCTAGTTTTAAAAAAGCAAATGCAATAACAGATGCAATTATTTAAATCCTCAAATAAGAATTCAGATTTCTCAATGATTAAAAAAGTTGATATAATACTGTAATGTATTAAGGATAATTGTAAACAAATTCATGTTAACAGAAAGTGGCCTTGAGACGTTTCCGGATATTGGTACGAATGATCATGAGTGTTATGCTGATTCTGAGAACTACTGTGAAGACGGTGCAGCAAAACATGCGCAGTGATGTCAAGCGCAAGAAAAAGAAAACAGGAGTGTTAATGGCCTTTGACCCCTCCTACTACAGTTCTGCCACCACTACGTATGGGCACCTGTCTGAGCGCTCCAGGAATGCACTCCAGAAGGTGCCACGGATCCGCACAGAGGCAGACATCAGAGTGTTAACTGTGAGTATGGAGCCCATCTGTTTACAGTTGAACCTTGTTGAAAATGAAAGTTAAATTCTCGTAAAAACATGTCAGGATGATTAAATTAAGAAATATTTTTCATATCATACCTTATCATACATTTGTGTTTTCCTTCAAACTTTTAGACAATACACACTTTTAAACAATGTTAACATGTTGTGACCATGTGGTCATCTCCTTGTTTGAAGAATGAACGAATAATATTGTCATAGGCATTGTATGCCTTTTGTAACCCCAGACCCATTGCAAAGAGTGTTCAGGTCACAGGTATCTGTTTTTATAAGTTCTAATTTCTTTTCTTCTCCATGTGCACATGCAAACTAAGTCGTTATCATGGAACCTACAAAATATAAATTTCATTTAAAAATAAACAATTTCATGAAATATATTGTATTTCAACAAGTGAAATGGATGTCATTCTGGATAACATATATATATTCTTTACATTGTATGTCACATACAAATATGTGATTTTGCAAGATATGCTGTCCTCATAAAGGTGCCTAAGTATGTAAAGTAACATGACCCTTGGTGCAGTATCTGGTCCATAACTTACATAGGTGCAGTACTTTGTACATAACTGACCTAAACGATAAACCTTATTAACCAAGGTCACAGAGGTCAAGGTCAATGATAAAGGGCACAAAAACCTTGTGAAACAAAGCTGTTCTAATAAAGGCACATGGGCGTATGAAATTACTTGATCCTATTTGCAATATTTGATTTGACCCTTTCTGCAATACTTGATTTGACCCTATCTGCAATAATTGATTTGAACCTATCTGCAGTACTTGATCCAGGACTGTTCTAAACTCAGAAAATTAACCAAGGTTACTGAGGTCAAGGTCAAAGGTGAAAATGACATAAAACAGGCTGAACTCAACAAGGCACATAATTATGTGAAGTTTCCTGCAGTATAGTCCACAACTGAACTAAATGCAAAGATATCTTCAACAAGATTCATTAGTTTGGAAATATGTATTATCTAAGTTTCATAATCTTAATCAAAATAAAAAAGGTTTTAAAAGCTTGGCCACAGTGGCACAGGGCATTAAATGTTACTACATCTATCTGGTTCAGTCCGCCCATTTAATATAAAGGTTTTACTTTATACACAAACAATGTAAGTATTAAATATGTCGCAAAGCTTCAAGACCGACTGGTCCCTTTGTCAAGCTACGAAAGAGGCACTAGTCGATCTTGAAATGCTGTAACACCTTTGATATGTACATTAAATCTTTTATACTTTGATTAAGATTATGAAAAAGGGATGTTGATTTCCAAATTTTGATGATTGTTTTTGACAGGAGGTGATGTGTCGCCTACCACTTTTTGCCAAGTACTCGAGGAAGGTGAAAGAGGAGCTAGCCAGATTTGTTTGGTATGATATGCATGAGACTGGCCGTATCATCATCCGCCAGGGTGACATGGGGTCCCGTATGTACTTTGTGGTGTCGGGGACAGTCTCCATCCATCGCACAGAGGTGGATCCTAAGACAGGTGGGAGCAAGGGAAAAAAAGGCACTCATGCTACCCCAGTTGTAGTGTGAAGAAAATGTCTCAATCTGAACTTGTGTCATCTATAAATCTATGTTAAATTGGACCCAACTGTACTGATAAGCTTATAATGAAGGAATAAATAAAATTTAATTTAAAATCATAGGTAATTTATTTACATGAATTTGACTGAAGTCAACATAAGAAATTTCTTCATGTTAAATTCAGGCAAAAAAGTATGACCTGAGAATTAAACCTGAAATGGACATGAATTTTGCCTAAATATAGACATCAAGACTTTTTAATATAGAAAAATTAAATATGATGCCTGAATCCCTTGAAGATAAACTAATAGATCACTCAAAAAGTATATGTTTGTTCTTAATTAAGTTCCCTGAGGAAACGTTTTAAAAAAGAAATTATTTCAACACACAGATCAATTTCAAACAGATGATCAATTGAGAAAATTCTGTTTGTATAACAGGGATAAAGGTAATCCAGCACTTAAGGGATATAGAGATGGGTTCTACATTTGGAGAACTGGCTCTGATCCGAAACATCTCAAGGACTTATTCTGCCGCCTGTAAAGGTAAACACACCATACACTGCTGTCTGTACAGGTAAACACACCATACACTGCTGTATGTACAGGTAAACACACCATACACTGATGTCTGTACAGGTAAACACACCATACACTGCCATCTGTACAGGTAAACACACCATACACTTGTGTCTGTACAAGTAAACACACCATACACTGCTGTCTGTACAGGTAAACACACCATACACTGTCATATGTACATGTAAACACACCATTATAATGACATCTGTAAAGGTAAACACACCATACACTGCCATCTGTACAGGTAAACACACCATACACTGCCATCTGTACAGGTAAACACACCATACACTGCCATCTGTACAGGTAAACACACCATACACTGCTGTCTGTACAGGTAAACACACCATACACTGCTGTCTGTACAGGTAAACACACCATACACTGCTGTCTGTACAGGTAAACACACCATACACTGCTGTCTGTACAGGTAAACACACCATACACTGCTGTCTGTACAGGTAAACACACCATACACTGCTGTCTGTACAGGTAAACACACCATACACTGCTGTCTGTACAGGTAAACACACCATACACTGCTGTCTGTACAGGTAAACACACCATACACTGCTGTCTGTACAGGTAAACACACCATACACTGCTGTCTGTACAGGTAAACACACCATACACTGCTGTCTGTACAGGTAAACACACCATACACTGCTGTCTGTACAGGTAAACACACCATACACTGCTGTCTGTACAGGTAAACACACCATACACTGCTGTCTGTACAGGTAAACACACCATACACTGCTGTCTGTACAGGTAAACACACCATACACTGCTGTCTGTACAGGTAAACACACCATACACTGCTGTCTGTAAAGGTAAACACACCATACACTGCCATCTGTACAGGTAAACACACCATACACTGCCATCTGTACAGGTAAACACACCATACACTGCTGTCTGTACAGGTAAACACACCATACACTGCTGTCTGTACAGGTAAACACACCATACACTGCTGTCTGTACAGGTAAACACACCATACACTGCTGTCTGTACAGGTAAACACACCATACACTGCTGTCTGTACAGGTAAACACACCATACACTGCTGTCTGTACAGGTAAACACACCATACACTGCTGTCTGTACAGGTAAACACACCATACACTGCTGTCTGTACAGGTAAACACACCATACACTGCTGTCTGTACAGGTAAACACACCATACACTGCTGTCTGTACAGGTAAACACACCATACACTGCTGTCTGTACAGGTAAACACACCATACACTGCTGTCTGTACAGGTAAACACACCATACACTGCTGTCTGTACAGGTAAACACACCATACACTGCTGTCTGTACAGGTAAACACACCATACACTGCTGTCTGTACAGGTAAACACACCATACACTGCTGTCTGTACAGGTAAACACACCATACACTGCTGTCTGTACAGGTAAACACACCATACACTGCTGTCTGTACAGGTAAACACACCATACACTGCTGTCTGTACAGGTAAACACACCATACACTGCTGTCTGTACAGGTAAACACACCATACACTGCTGTCTGTACAGGTAAACACACCATACACTGCTGTCTGTACAGGTAAACACACCATACACTGCTGTCTGTACAGGTAAACACACCATACACTGCTGTCTGTACAGGTAAACACACCATACACTGCTGTCTGTACAGGTAAACACACCATACACTGCTGTCTGTACAGGTAAACACACCATACACTGCTGTCTGTACAGGTAAACACACCATACACTGCTGTCTGTACAGGTAAACACACCATACACTGCTGTCTGTACAGGTAAACACACCATACACTGCTGTCTGTACAGGTAAACACACCATACACTGCTGTCTGTACAGGTAAACACACCATACACTGCTGTCTGTACAGGTAAACACACCATACACTGCTGTCTGTACAGGTAAACACACCATACACTGCTGTCTGTACAGGTAAACACACCATACACTGCTGTCTGTACAGGTAAACACACCATACACTGCTGTCTGTACAGGTAAACACACCATACACTGCTGTCTGTACAGGTAAACACACCATACACTGCTGTCTGTACAGGTAAACACACCATACACTGCTGTCTGTACAGGTAAACACACCATACACTGCTGTCTGTACAGGTAAACACACCATACACTGCTGTCTGTACAGGTAAACACACCATACACTGCTGTCTGTACAGGTAAACACACCATACACTGCTGTCTGTACAGGTAAACACACCATACACTGCTGTCTGTACAGGTAAACACACCATACACTGCTGTCTGTACAGGTAAACACACCATACACTGCTGTCTGTAAAGGTAAACACACCATACACTGCCATCTGTACAGGTAAACACACCATACACTGCTGTCTGTAAAGGTAAACACACCATACACTGCCATCTGTACAGGTAAACACACCATACACTGCTGTCTGTACAGGTAAACACACCATACACTGCTGTCTGTACAGGTAAACACACCATACACTGCTGTCTGTACAGGTAAACACACCATACACTGCTGTCTGTACAGGTAAACACACCATACACTGCTGTCTGTACAGGTAAACACACCATACACTGCTGTCTGTACAGGTAAACACACCATACACTGCTGTCTGTACAGGTAAACACACCATACACTGCTGTCTGTACAGGTAAACACACCATACACTGCTGTCTGTACAGGTAAACACACCATACACTGCTGTCTGTACAGGTAAACACACCATACACTGCTGTCTGTACAGGTAAACACACCATACACTGCTGTCTGTACAGGTAAACACACCATACACTGCTGTCTGTACAGGTAAACACACCATACACTGCTGTCTGTACAGGTAAACACACCATACACTGCTGTCTGTACAGGTAAACACACCATACACTGCTGTCTGTACAGGTAAACACACCATACACTGCTGTCTGTACAGGTAAACACACCATACACTGCTGTCTGTACAGGTAAACACACCATACACTGCTGTCTGTACAGGTAAACACACCATACACTGCTGTCTGTAAAGGTAAACACACCATACACTGCCATCTGTACAGGTAAACACACCATACACTGCCATCTGTACAGGTAAACACACCATACACTGCTGTCTGTACAGGTAAACACACCATACACTGCTGTCTGTACAGGTAAACACACCATACACTGCTGTCTGTACAGGTAAACACACCATACACTGCTGTCTGTACAGGTAAACACACCATACACTGCTGTCTGTACAGGTAAACACACCATACACTGCTGTCTGTACAGGTAAACACACCATACACTGCTGTCTGTACAGGTAAACACACCATACACTGCTGTCTGTACAGGTAAACACACCATACACTGCTGTCTGTACAGGTAAACACACCATACACTGCTGTCTGTACAGGTAAACACACCATACACTGCTGTCTGTACAGGTAAACACACCATACACTGCTGTCTGTACAGGTAAACACACCATACACTGCTGTCTGTACAGGTAAACACACCGTACACTGCTGTCTGTACAGGTAAACACACCATACACTGCTGTCTGTACAGGTAAACACACCACACACTACCATCAGTAAAGGTAAACACACCAATAACTACTAATGTACAGGTAAACACACCAGACACTACCATCTGTACAGGTAAACACACCAGACACTACCATCTGTACAGGTAAACACACCACACACTGCCATCTGTACAGGTAAACACACGATACACTGCCCTCTGTTCAGGTAAACACAAAATAAACTACTACTGTACAGGTAAACACACCATACACTGCCATCTGTACATGTAAATACACCATACACTGCCATCTGTACAGGTAATCACACCATAAACTACTACTGTACAGGTAAACACACCAGACACTACAATCTGTACAGGTAAACACACCACACACTGCCATCTGTAAAGGTAAACACACCATACACTGCTATCTGTACAGGTAAACACACCATACATTGCCATCTGTACAGGTAAACACACCGTACACTGCTGTCTGTACAGGTAAACACACCATACATTGCTGTCTGTAAAGGTAAACACACCATACACTGCTGTCTGTACAGGTAAACACACCGTACACTGCTGTCTGTACAGGTAAACACACCATACACTGCTGTCTGTACAGGTAAACACACCACACACTACCATTAGTAAAGGTAAACACACCAATAACTACTAATGTACAGGTAAACACACCAGACACTACCATCTGTACAGGTAAACACACCAGACACTACCATCTGTACAGGTAAACACACCACACACTGCCATCTGTACAGGTAAACACACGATACACTGCCCTCTGTTCAGGTAAACACAAAATAAACTACTACTGTACAGGTAAACACACCATACACTGCCATCTGTACATGTAAATACACCATACACTGCCATCTGTACAGGTAATCACACCATAAACTACTACTGTACAGGTAAACACACCAGACACTACAATCTGTACAGGTAAACACACCACACACTGCCATCTGTAAAGGTAAACACACCATACACTGCTATCTGTACAGGTAAACACACCATACATTGCTGTCTGTACAGGTAAACACACCATACATTGCCATATGTACAGGTAACATGCCATACACTACTATCAGTATAGGTAAACACAAAATAAACTACTACTGTACAGGTAAACACACCATACACTGCCATCTGTACAAGTTCAAGTTCTTTATTTTACTGAAGTTTTACAACTTATGGCAATTACAGATAAGACAAAGACACTCACAAGGACACACTCACACTGACACACACACACATCATCCTAATCATCAAGAACACTCACACTAACTCGCACATCATCATCATCATCATCATCATCATCATCATCACATCATTACATCACCATACACTGCCATCCATATACATCCTACACAGATTTCTGTTAAGTATACATACACCATAATAACTTTGAGTCTTTAGTAACCCTTGATATAATGGTCTTTATATATAGTTAAATCTAGTTATATTGCCATTTTTTGAGAGATGAAATTTAACATATTACAAAGGAGCTGTATTATATACATCATGTAAGACAATTTAAAAGAAGTGCTTTTTATTGAAAAGGAAGAAAATCTGACGAAAAAATTGTTGAGATAGGAAAGGTGACTTTGTTTACTCAGAACACTGTCTTACGTTTGGCTGTGTTGACTCGGGTACAGCAGTAGTTTCTGTTTCATCTTCAGTGGACTCCGAGTTCCTCAGCGTGGACAAGGACCAGTTCAACAAAGTGCTGCGACAAAACTGGGAGGAGAGCTGGCAGAACCGGTACAACTTCCTTATGTCATCACCATACTTCAAGGCGTGGACCAAAGAACAGCTGCGTCAGACAGCTGATGTCGCTCTTACCAAGGAGTACAACAATAACTCGGTACATATCACATATCATTGAAACTCTCCTGAGTGTTGAACATATTACCATGATTACCAACTACTTTGCTGTACTGTTGTAAGCTAGGGAAATCTACGTACAGCCATGTTGTAATAATCGACACATCATAATATTCTGCACATTAAAGTTATTTCTATGATTGTTCGTAATTTTAATACAAACAAGAGGCCCAAGGGCCTTATCGGTCACCTGAGTTATATCATAGGTACTGGTACATGTAGCTTTATTTTATTGTTTAGATGTGATGTGGAAATCAGCTAAGTGAAATACAATACTTGTCATGTCATCAAAGGATAAGAATTTTAAAATATTTGTAAATGTTCCCTTTGGGGCCCCACCCTGGCCCCTAGGGTTGGGGTAGGAATCCCAATTTTACAATTTAAATTCATCTTCCTTCAAGGATAATTCTCACCAAGTAAGAATAATTTCCAAAAGAAAATTGTCAAAATATACCCAAAAGTGTTGTTTCCCTATATAAACTATAGTAAACTTTACCCCGTCCCTAAGGGAGAACGGATAGCTCAGGGGTCCTGAAATTTACAATTTAAATAAAGCCCCTGATCTTTCTATCCATGCAGAGAAAATGACTGTAATACCTCTGAGTCTGGAGAAGAAGATTTTTGAAATATTGGTTAATTTTCCCTTTTGGGCCCCGCCCTGGCCCCTAGGGTTGGGGTAGGAATCCCAATTTTACAATTTAAAACCATCTTCCTCCTCCAAGGATGATTCTGACCAAGTAAAAATAATTTCCAACAGAAAATTGTCAAAATATACCCAAAAGTGTTGTTTCCCTATATAAACTATAGTAAACTTTACCCCCTCCCCAAGGGAGAACGGATAGCTCGGGGGTCCTGAAATTTACAATTTAAATAAAGCCCCTGATGATCTTTCCATCCATGCAGAGAAAATGACTGTAATACCTCTGAGTCTGGAGAAGAAGATTTTTGAAATATTGGTTAATTTTCCCTTTTGGGCCCCGCCCTGGCCCCTAGGGTTGGGGTAGGAATCCCAATTTTACAATTTAAAACCATCTTCCTCCTCCAAGGATGATTCTGACCAAGTAAAAATAATTTCCAACAGAAAATTGTCAAAATATACCCAAAAGTGTTGTTTCCCTATATAAACTATAGTAAACTTTACCCCCTCCCCAAGGGAGAACGGATAGCTCGGGGGTCCTGAAATTTACAATTTAAATAAAGCCCCTGATGATCTTTCCATCCATGCAGAGAAAATGACTGTAATACCTCTGAGTCTGGAGAAGAAGATTTTTGAAATATTGGTTAATTTTCCCTTTTGGGCCCCGCCCTGGCCCCTAGGGTTGGGGTAGGAATCCCAATTTTACAATTTAAAACCATCTTCCTCCTCCAAGGATGATTCTGACCAAGTAAAAATAATTTCCAACAGAAAATTGTCAAAATATACCCAAAAGTGTTGTTTCCCTATATAAACTATAGTAAACTTTACCCCCTCCCCAAGGGAGAACGGATAGCTCGGGGGTCCTGAAATTTACAATTTAAATAAAGCCCCTGATGATCTTTCCATCCATGCAGAGAAAATGACTGTAATACCTCTGAGTCTGGAGAAGAAGATTTTTGAAATATTGGTTAATTTCCCCTTTTGGGCCCCGCCCTGGCCCCTAGGGTTGGGGTAGGAATCCCAATTTTACAATTTGGTAGCCTCATCTACCAAGGATGATTCTGACCAAGTTTGAAAAAATTCCATCCACTGGTTCTTGAGAAGAAGTTGATAATGTAAAAGTTTACGCACGACGGACGACGACGGACGGAAAGTGATTGGAATAGGTCACTTGAGCAAAGTTCAGGTGACCTAAAAATGCACCGAATTATACTAGAACTGCAAAAATTAGTTTTAGAGAAAACATGGATGGCTATATCTAAGTGATAAATTTTACCAATTAATCAACAAACACAGCTTTGGGGTTTTGTTCAGCTAGAAGCTAAAAGACCACTCTGAATGTGTAAACACAAAATTGGAAAATTGGATTGATTAATCTACAAGTGCTTAGGTGCGCCAAATATCCTGACAGCTCTGTAACAATTCTATTCTGTACTGTTGTAGGTTGGAAACCTTTACATAACAAATCTGTTCTGTTGTAGGTGATATTTGGTAATGAGCGAAAGGTTACAAACTGGGTCTACTTCATCCTGAAGGGGAGATGTCGGGTAGTTCAGAAACTCAGTTTGGTACGTAGTAAATCTCCCTACAGGAGGTCATGTCTGACTCTCCCTGGCACACAAAAGGCGGAGGAGACATTGAATACCTTCATGAACAAGCCGTACGGGAAGAGGCAGCGGCAGCTAGCACTCGACACACACTTCCTCACCATCACAACATTACAGAAGGGAGACTACTTTGGTGTTGGTAAGTAAAGGGACCCTTTACCACATCAAATGGCCTCAACATCATCTCTTTATGCAAATGACTGCTTTTTTAAAATTCATATACGTGTCGACACCCTGGTACAAAATACTAGCCGTTTTCTACGAAATTGGCTAGAGAAAATTTCTCTTCAGCTCATTCAGTAAAGTTTAAGATTAGTAATTGGGGGATCCCAGGTTCAACTCCTGCCAGAGGCAATGCAAAAATAATGACCTCGGTTACATATGGTCATGTATTGTGGAAACATTTTTAAATAAAATGCTGGATATGTCAGATAAATTTAATTTTGGCAGAGCTGTTGAAGATCACTTTGTAATTCTCTCACTGTAGCTGGGATTAATCCTCTGGTCATTTACCTCCTATTTTGTAGACTAAATATTGCAAAATTAAATAAGTATTTGATTGGTTAAGAATGCTCTTTAAACAGAATGTGAACCAGGTCTCCAAACTGGAAAGACAATGGCTTATCATGGAGTCTGATAACTTGGTCATTATTTGCAATTATGTCAAATTTGAACGTCGACTTTAAATAGTTAAAATTTACTAAATTACAAATATCCTATAACTGATAGACTGTATCATCTTGCTTCTTTCTATTTAGTTTCAAAATTAACTTTTGTTTTATTTCTGTTTTGTTTTCATTTCATTTTACAAATAACTGTCCAGGACTGTAGTATAGCTAGTCCTACATTGAATTTAACTTCCACATATGAACTGAATAATTTTGTGGCAATTATATTTGCTTCAATGTTAAATCATCAAATACACAAGACATGAACCAATTATATCATCATCATTTCTTATAAGTTGAAAGCATATTAACAGTAGCATTGACTGTTGTATACATCTAACAACAAGAATTCCACAGGAGTGGATGTGTTGCTTGCTCAGCACTTTTAGTAAGAAAAGTGTTTTGGCTCGAGTTATCACGTAAACAGATATGCCAAAAAGCGGAAAGTTAAACTTGACAGAAAACACCTTAATATATGTTGAACATTATTGCTTCTAGCATAACTATACAAAATTTGAAAGGAATTGATCAAAAAATAAAAAAAAGTTGCATTTACTACACAATGCCTTTATTTGGCAATAAAAGGGGCATAACTCCACTAAAAATGCACGTAAACTTCTTAAATGCAAACTTGTTCGAGCTATATTGGTATGCAATATGTGTACCAAGTTTGAGTTCAATCAACCAAAGGGAACTGAAGTTATCGCACGGAAACCTTGTTTTGGACGATGCAAACAACGACACCGACAAAGTAATATACCTATATGACGCCTTGTGTTGCAGGCGACACAAAAATTAAACTGTATTTTACAGATGACGCTTATTTCAGGGTCTGTTAATTTGAAGAGTAAATGCACTAATTATGATTAATCACACTCTGTTATTAACACAAGTTTTGATAAGATTTGCTTCCCTTTTATTTACTCTTCTGTAGGTGAAGACATGAGTGACTGTTACATTGTAACTACCGAAAAGGCAGAAATCCTGTTGCTAAATGCAGCAAGCTTTAGTATCCATTCAAAACGAGAGGAGCTGGAATGTCTCAAGGACAGACGAAATGGTCTCCTGCCCTCGTTCAAGCAACTGCACCGACAGTTTGAGATTAATCGACGATGGTGGGAATACAAGCGGGGTATTGTTTCAGAAGTTGTGCAGCGGCGGTCTATACCCAACAACACAAGCATTGCCGATATCCCCCGATCAATAAGGGAAAGTGAGGGTATTTCACAGTGCTTGGCTGAGGATATAACGAGCTAGTAGTGTTCTACAGTGGAGAGTATATTGTTTGCAGTTGAACATATATACACTCAGGGATTCGCTCACCAAGAATTCTGATAAAGGAATAATGAAAGATTTAGTGTTGATTGATTGAAAGAATGGAAGATACTAAAATAAAAAAGAAAAGCTTAATCAATGTTCTGTTATTTTATCTGTCTATCCATTTGTCCATAATTAGCATCCTATCCATACAGACAGGTTACAGAAGTCTTTTATCAGTAAACATTGACACACAGTAACACGTCAGTCTGTCTAACACACAGTAACAGGTCAGTCTGTCTGACACACAGTAACACATCAGTCTGTCTGTCTGACACACAGTAACACATCAGTCTGTCTGTCTGACACACAGTAACATGTCAAGTCTGTCTGACACACAGTAACACGTCAGTCTGTCTGACACACAGTAACATGTCAGTCTGTCTGTCTGACACACAGTAACACATCAGTCTGTCTGACACACAGTAACACATCTGTCTGTCTGACACACAGTAACACATCTGTCTGTCTGACACACAGTAACACGTCGGTCTGTCTGACACACAGTAACATGTCGGTCTGTCTGACACACAGTAACACGTCGGTCTGTCTGACACAGTAACATGTCTGTCTGTCTGACACACAGTAACACGTCAGTCTGTCTGACACACAGTAACACGTCAGTCTGTCTGACACACAGTAACACGTCAGTCTGTCTGACACACAGTAACACGTCAGTCTGTCTGACACACAGTAACACGTCAGTCTGTCTGACACACAGTAACACGTCAGTCTGTCTGACACACAGTAACACGTCAGTCTGTCTGACACACAGTAACACGTCAGTCTGTCTGACACACAGTAACACGTCAGTCTGTCTGACACACAGTAACACGTCAGTCTGTCTGACACACAGTAACACGTCAGTCTGTCTGACACACAGTAACACGTCAGTCTGTCTGACACACAGTAACACGTCAGTCTGTCTGACACACAGTAACACGTCAGTCTGTCTGACACACAGTAACACGTCAGTCTGTCTGACACACAGTAACACGTCAGTCTGTCTGTCTGACACACAGTAACACGTCGGTCTGTCTGACACACAGTAACACGTCTGTCTGTCTGACACACAGTAACACGTCAGTCTGTCTGACACACAGTAACACGTCAGTCTGTCTGACACACTAACAAGTCAGTCTGTCTGTCTGACACACAGTAACACGTCAGTCTGTCTGACACACAGTAACACGTCAGTCTATCTGACACACAGTAACACATCAGTCTGTCTGACACACAGTAACACGTCAGTCTGTCTGGAAGTCAGAACATAGGAATAAAGTAGTTTTTTTGCTAGACACACCTTGTTGTTACCACTCCATTGCAAATGAACAACTTAATTTCATAATGGCTTTTCATTATCTTCATACAATGGTCATGTATGAAAATACATTACCTTGAATGAGTTTGTTGTTTCAAGGTGTCAAGATTAACATATATGCATTAGTTTTTTTCAGGGTAGAAAATCTTTATAATAAATCTGGCAACTTCCCTTTTGAGTGTATTTTCATCAAACTTCACACAAATTCAAGTACATTTGTATGAGAACACTTTGTGTTTCAGGGTGTAACCACTTAAGTTAATGTAATGGTCTAATAATTATGGAAAGTTTTGCTACAACAGTAACTTTCTAAACTCCCCTGACGAAAACTGGAATGGTATTTTGTGAGCGATTTTGTAACTAGGTTCAAAGTATGCTCTAGGTATGTGCAGATTTTGAAATTCAATTGCTATCATAATCAGAGAATACATTTGCATGAGTGATATGTAACTAGGTTCAAAGTATATGCTCTATAACATATTTGAGAGGCTTGTTTTCGTTATTTTCCTGATACATGTTATCTAAAATTGTTTTCTTTTAAGAAAGTTATTTTATAACAATAACTGTATTAAAGAAAGTACAGTAATCTTATTTTAATAATAAATGTATAACCAACAGTTTATTATAGATAATAAAGAAGACTTCAGGAGGATGGTCCATAAACTCTATTTTACTTAAAACTGACCTGGCAGGCTCCTTAATTAAACAAGAGACCAAATAGGCATGCATCGCTTACCTGGTATTGATCTTACACTTGTATCCTTTAAAATGGGCAAAATGAATATAGCTACAAGTAAAATATCATTACTTATGACTATCGGTCATTCAAAAGGACATTTAATACATTTAACCCCTCTGACTTTGATAGTCAAACATTTACAAGGTACATGTAATTCAGTTGAACAAAGTTGGTATCCTTTCATCCCAGTATGCTACAGGCCAAATATCATTACCCTAGGCCTATTGGTTAGAAAAATTGTTTAAAGGTCATTCATTGAAACAAGCTTGGTGACCCTTCATCCCAGCATACTACTGGCCAATATCATCATCTTTGATATTTTAGTTATTAGGAAGATGTTGTTTAAAGTAAAAATTTGATACCGGACAGATGAAGGACACCACACCATGGCATAATAAATATAAGCTCACTTGGCCCTTCTGGCCTGATGAGCTAAAAGAGATGCTGGGCACAGCGACATTACATTAGATCACATGTATTACATTAAATGGAACCATTATATACAACAGATGATATTAAGCAATAACTTCTTTCCAGCGAATTAAGACAAACAATAAATTTCCAAAAAACGAATATTTTCATATTTTAATGGAAATTTCAACTTGTGCAAAATTATCCTCACTGTATGTTATTCAGCCTCCATCTACATATAGTTTTTTGGTTTCTTCAAATTTTTCAGACCTTTCACCAAATTGGGAATTCCATAGAAAAGTACACAAACAAAAAACCTAAGGATTCTCTTTTGCTCACCTGTTATATAAGGTTATTTCTGGTATACAGTGATATTGTCCATGATACTGACTACATAAACACGCAGTATTGTCAGCACACACATAAATTATCCATATGGTTTCTAAAACAATTCCTAAGCTAAAGAGACCACTTTATTTTTCTTGCTCGCTGAGATTTGATATATTCTTCCATTTGCTGATAACCTGTTTTCACTGGTTCAAAGTAATGCTTTGGTGGTTTTCCTTCCGATATGCGTACATAATAATGACAAGAATTCACCGTAATGACTTTAGATCCTCCCATAGCCTTCATTTTCTTTGCCTTATTAACAAAGGATTCCTCTGAAAGAGAGAGAAACACAGGATAGCACACTTCTGTTATCATTTTATGTTTATTTGAAGGTTTTACTAGTAATATGAAGTTGTCAACATACACCCATATAAGAGTGATAAGGTAACAGCCATACTCTGATATGGCACTACCAAGAACTTAACCCCTTGGTAACTCGAGTAAACTCTACAATACATTCATCTGGATGGGGTCCATTATTGTCTACAGTGGTGAAAGAGTCAAGAGTCAGGAATACATGTAATACTAATGTACCTACGTACCAATCCAGAGATTATATATGACCAGGAATACATGTAATACTTGTACCTACCGTCTCATAGATTATATCTGACCATGCAGGAATACATGTAATACTTGTACTTAGCAATCCATAGATTATATCTTACCAGGAATACATGTAATTCTTGTACCTACCGTCTCATAGATTATACCTGACCAGGAATACATTTAATACTTGTACTTACCCATCCATAGATTATATCTTACCAGGAATACATGTAATAGTTGTACCTACCGACTCATAGATTATATCTGACTAGGAATACATTATACATGTAATACTTGCACCTAACAGTCCATAGATTATATCTGACTAGGAATACATTATACATGTAATACTTGCACCTAACAGTCCATAGATTATATCTGACCAGGCATACATGTAATACTTGTACTTAGCAATCCATAGATTATATCTTACCAGGAATACATGTAATTCTTGTACTTACCAATCCATAGATTATATCTGACCAGGAATACATGTAATACTTGTACCTACTGGTCCATAGATTATATCTGACCAAGAATACATGTAATACTTGTACCTATACCGATCCATAGATTATATCTGACCAGGAATACATGTAATACTTGTACCTACAGACTCATAGATTATATCTGACCATGCAGGAATACATGTAATACTTGTACCTACCGACTCATAGATTATATCTGACCATGCAGGAATACATGTAATACTTGTACCGACTGATCCATAGATTATATCTGACCAGGAATACATGTAATACTTGTACCTACCGGTCCATAGATTATATCTGACCAGGAATACATGTAATACTTGTACCTACCGATCCATAGATTATATCTGACCAGGAATACATGTAATACTTGTACCTACCGATCCATAGATTATATCTGACCAGGAATACATGTAATACTTGTACCTACCGATCCATAGATTATATCTGACCAGGAATACATGTAATACTTGTACCTACCGATCCATAGATTATATCTGAACTCTACATTGTGGTCTTCAACAGCTATTTGCTGAGCTTCCTTCAGTACCTAGAATAAACAACCATTTTGTTGAATTAAGATTGGTTAATAAGTTAGAAAATTTACAATCCAGCCAATCATCACCTCTTTATTTGCAAAGCATTTAACCCAAAACAATTCATTTATATTGAAAATGAGTCCATTTTCACATCTATTTAAACATTTGGGACATTTTGTACAGCTGGTACACTAGAGCACTTGATGAGCACTTCACTGAATAAGTCTACATTATTTGACATATATAATTCCTGATACTTAGCACAACACCATTTTTTCTACTATAATTTAAGATCATAAGTAAACAGATGACCTGGCGTGGCTAATATATCAAATATTTCAGGAATCAGGATGATGTGTTGAATATAATATTTTATATGAATGTTTGAATTAGTGTTACCCACAAACTTTGTGACAAGAACTTAATTTTTGTTATTCTATTTTGACAAGTCCAGTGGACACATTTGTGTTGTATTTCTTTTATTTCACATCTTAAAGTGATATTTACAACAATCACACAGCTTCATCTGAAATATACGCCTAGTATCCCTAATTATAAACTGGAGTTGTGTAAGATAGTCCATGGTAAGATTTGCTGCCTATATAACTTAGATGGGATAAATACCCCATTCCTAACTCAATATAGTAACCTTTTTCTTCCTAAAATCAAAAGAAAACAGGTTTTGAAATAGTAAAACTCAAAAACATTAAATTTCACCCCATAAGTTGCAATTTTCAATTTTGTATTTTTTCTTCAAAATTCAAATTTTGTGAAAATTTACCAACATACCTGGGAAAACTTTCATCAAAACAATGGTCAAAACAGGAAGATCTTAAGGTCACACTGGTATAAATTCTGACAAAAAATGTTTTTGAAACCATTCATATTTCAAATTATTGCTGTAATCAATGGTTAATTACTGATATTTTACTGACAAGAGGACCCTGTGGAAGATAAGCTTTGCTTAACAGGTTTTACCCTCAGAAAATAAAGTTTATCATAAAACATTTGTCAATATGATGTTACATTTGTTTCCTATTTCTTTGTACAAAATGACACATTCAATACAACATATTTCATACTGACCAATGTATTAGCGACAATTCTAAGAAAGTGGAATATGTGATTAAGCTGTATCGACTGCGCTGATATATTGAAACCAATACATGTACTCTCAATCAAGCACTTCAGAAGAGAGAGGCCTTTAGGATGATTTGAGTTGGAATGACTCAACGAAACTCAAGGTAGGCAGACCAGTATCATTACATTTCCTCCAGTCTTTTAAGGATCCATCAGTAAAATTTTACCTGGGACAAGTATTTTTGCTGTAGATCTTACCTCCAGTATAATATGAGCTCCCTTGTGTGGACTGAAGGTCAGTTGTTTCATGGCTTCGTCTATGGTCATCCCACGGATCTGAAGAATACAAAATTTACACAAAATTTGTAAACATGGACCTGTTTCTTACATGCATGTTCAAAATGTAGAGCTTCGCCAATGAGTGATTGGTTATCAAGTTTATTTAACTGAAGTTAATTTTTCAAATTGTATAATGACATGTCATATAATTTACAATTTGAAATTTAACTAACGAAAAATAAATAACCTTGATGCACTTGATGGATTTGTGTTCAAGCCAAATTCCAATAAAATGTACAATGTACTTTCAATTCTGTCTATAGCTATATATCTTTGTTTCCAAAGATGACATCCCAGCCTCCCAATACATTCCATTTTAATGTTATTCTACCAACTCCTAAACTTTTATGTAATTGTTAGAACATGCCAATACTTTTATGGAATGACATTTAAAACAAGAGGCACAATGTACATGAATAATTAAATATTTTATTTTTGGCAACATGTATTATTGCTCTAAGCCCTAAGATATGATATGCATACAAGGGACAATGGGGAACCTTAAATATAAAATTTAAAAAATATACCCCCAGTACTTTCTGAAAAATAGAGCTAACAAACTTTAACTCTCAAATTCAAGATGGCTGCCTCTTTGCCAACTTGGTTTTGTAATCGGTCCCAAACTTTGATATGCATAACAAGGGACCATGGGAAACCTTCAAGTAAAATTTGAAAAAAATCACATGCGTACTTTCTGAGAAATAGCGCTAACAAGAGTTGTTTTATGACGAAAATGATAGACAAAGGGACGGACAGAGGACCACTGAAAAAGGGTGATTTGAATAGCCAACCTTCTGATGATAGTGGGCTAAAAATATCAAAAGCCTTCTCTACTGTAATATTTATTACAAACGTACCATTATAACTTACCATCCCTACTGTACCATACAAAACTTACCATTCTTCCACATAAATGATGGATATTACTTATTACCTCTATAACTTACCACTCCTATTGTACCATACAAAACTTACCATTCTTCCACATGAATGATAGATATTACTTATTACCTTTATAACTTACCACTCCTATTGTACCATACAAAACTTACCTTTCTTCCACATGAATGATGGATATTACTTATTACCACTATAACTTACCATTCCCACAGTATCATACAAAACTTACCATTCTTCCACATGAATGATGGATATTACTTATTACCTTTATAACTTACCATTCCTTCTTTACAATACAAAACTTACCATTCTTCCATTTAAATGATAGATATTAATTATTGCAACTATAACTTACCATTCCTATTGTACCATACAAAACTTACCATTCTTCCATATAAATGATAGATATTATTTGATTTATTACCATTATAACTTACCATTCCTGCTGTGTACCACAATTTGTCTTTAGAATATTTGATATCCATTCTGCCATGACAAACATCCTAAAAAGAGCATTTAATTCCAATTTAGCAATCTATTGGCAGTATACCAGGTATATTAAGTAATATTATCTCTTAGAACTCCTGGTCCAATTATTTCCTTATACTAAAGCACAAATTTGTGCAGAATTCAACTATTTTTTCTATATATTCAAGTTTGCCAAATGAATATTGGCTAAAGAGACAATATGAAGACTAAAATAAATGAAACGAACAACAAGAAATCTAAAGCAGAAAATAAATTATAAAATATTTTATAATATGTGTTTAGAAGCAGTTTTGCTTAAACAATGTAATTATCTCAACAAAATCAAATATCTTATAACCTAACCACCTCAAAATACACAATATTTACACAGTTGCTTTAAGACCGGGCCGTTCAGTAGGTCTAACACGGGTTGTCCTAAACAACAGGAGCCAAACCCTGCATGCCTACAGCTACCATCACACTATATAGCTAGTCTTAACACTGTCAATCCTCCCAGCCTACCAGAACTGGTGTTTATTAGTAGATGGCCAACATTATCCATTGCCTTGGTCATTTGTAATGCATTACCAGCACATATATTATACTACTAACTGAGAATTAGGCAATAATTATGAATGATTTTGGAAATAGTGTCGATAGTTACCGCTGGACGCCTTGGTTCCCCCGGCAGCTGAGGTGGGTAAACAATATCGTTGTACCTGAACCATTTTTTCTTTGGGACTTTAAATCGCCCCATTGGTGGATTTTCATCTTTGTCATAATCGGCTTGGACAACAGCGCTACTGTGGATTGCTCTACTGCATTGAAGTGGTTTCTGGACTGTGGCTGTAGAGACTGGAATATGCTTCCGAGCCAGTTTAACAAGCTGTCTCTCTGTGGTAGTTATTACTATAAGAGAATAAAGAACATGCCTAAAGAATTAACAATTAAGTTACAATAATTATGATAATTGTAATAATAAAATAACTTTGTGATACCTTCACAAAATCCTCCTGAGTGTACTTCTCATATTTTGTCATACCAGGAGGTATATACATTGTACTTACATACAGAACAAAAGTTGGCAACTATATATACAGCCTAGGTGACACCAATACAATGTATATATGAGCTACTGGTATGCCGGACTAAGAAAACAGTGCTAAATTAGCTTGGTCAACATCTATATGTAGTCCAGCTTGTTGTGTGCATACCTTCTGCAGCTTTCCCTAGGTCAGGCATTTTAGTTTTAACTTCTGATTAAGAAATAAACACACCGTTAAAGGCATTCAACATCTGTATATTTCTGTCACCATACTGTATGGGATAATGCCCTATATTTTTATATATAATTATACATGAATGCAAGTTCCAGTCTCTGCACCCATTCCAGTCAATCTGATACCACTTAATAACGCCATAACAACTGAACAAAAGTGATGATATTGTGCAACACAATTAGTCTTCCTCTCGCTCTCCTCGAGCTCTGCTCCAGTGTATCCCAGCCTAGTTTCTGTAGGAACATGCTCCCAGGATCCCTTGATTTGTAGTCGCCACTGGCAATGGTATCGACAGAAGATAAATGAAAAATCCCAAAACGACTTTTGACATGTGACCCGAAAAAGGTTCCGAAACGACTTTCGTCTTGTAACTTGTAAGAAACGACCTGACACCGACTCAAGACCCCATTTCATTATTCCACGTTTTACGACTCATATGATTTGTATCAATATGGAGCACCATCACTAAACATATTTACAAGCTTGGTTGATTTGTGCACAAAAAAATCAAGAACTGAATTCGTTGTTTTACCTTTGCGTGTTAAGCTTAACATGCTGCACTGGTAAAAGTCACCGTGGTCTTAAACTGTCAAGCGTTCTGTTGATGCTGATCAAAACTTCATATACTATATCAACTAAAAGCTTATAAGCTACGGGCTTTCAAAACGTACAAAATAACGTGCGGGAAACGTAAGTCAACTGTAGTAAAAAAAGGTTCAGTAAAGAATACTTAAACAACTGAATGACATGTTGCTTTGTTAGGGAACGAAGGATAGTTATTCGCAGTTTTGTCGGTTATTGATTGAATATTTTTGAGGACAGTTCAAATGATGTCAGAAATCACAATACCAGCATCTCCAAATTGGTACTGCACACACGTGACCGATGCAAACAATGCCGGTGTTTATGTTTTCGGTGCAAGAAGAGATGTTCTGATTTTTGACGTGACATGCTATCCAGCTAAAGCAAAAGGAGTGTTCCGTGCTCACAGAGATAAAGTTAGTGCGGTGGCCCTTAGTCCACATCAAGATGAAAATATTACAACGTGCTGCAGCGGATCAGAAGATGGGAAACTGAAAATATGGAATACTGAAACTAAAGAACAGCTCTTTGAGCACAATGCACACAGGGTAACGGTTTGAATTTTATCCCATTTTAACAAACTAAAGACTCCTTCTTCAATGTTCTCCAGATGTGTAAAAGGAAAAAAGAATTGCATAGTCTGGCCTGAATTTGAACCCCAGACCCTCCATTAAACTCTAGACAGACACTCTAACAGGAACCAGTTGAGCCACCTGCAGTGGTCACTAGCGATCCACTCAGTTTACTTTAGTTCTTCCAAATCCCTCCCTCCTTTTTCTAGGTCTGGGCCTGTGAAAACATATCGCTATATGTGCAACCTAGATTATGGTTATCCTCTTTTCAAGCATTCATCCAGTACATTTTTGTGCTTGAAACAAGGCAGAGTGGTCAGAGATACTACTGTTAGTGGCCAGACCAGGATTCCAATGCAACCTGGCACCTTTTTAAACCATAGACAGTCTACCAGTTTAACTACCTGGTCGCTGGTGATCAAGCAGATCAACCCAGTCCATTTCCGCTACAGAAGTACATGGTAGTTCTCTGGTCTGATATAATGATGACTAGTTTTAATTGTACATGCATATGTTCACCTTGTAGGTTTGCCCTAGAGGGAATTTTCTATTAGCTCAATCGGTACAAAACTAAAAATTCATGGGGTACACTACACATGCTCATAATTAAAATCATAAATATTATGTGTGTATATAACACCCTTGGGAAAAATAACACTTTGAAATGGCATCTTTGGAGCTGTTCTTTAAGAGGAAACTAACAGATCTTAGAAAATAGGAATAGTTTAGCAAATTCACTGGTTAAAAAGACTCAATTTAAGGGTCAATATAAGGGTCCAAAATCGAGAGTGTCCATCCAAAATAGGGAGTTTTGGCAAGTATGGGGCTTAGAAACAGTAAAAAAGAGACCAGTTAAACAGGTGTACATGTATTAAGGATAATCACTGTCTCTTCAATGTACGTAGTCATAGAACAAGTGGCTTTTATAGTTTATTGGAACTGTCGACCAGTTTGCCCCCCTACAGTAGGCTTCAATATACTGATGTACCTGCACATGTATTTTACATTATGACCATCAATTTGAGGAATCAGTGTATGCTTAAAAATGATTGAATTCACCATCCATCTTTAAATAATTATTATACAGGAACCCCATCCTTAATACATGTACCAGTAGTTTCTGTGAATAACATTGGTGAGACATGAACTGACTTTAAAAGTGTTGTCTACAGAAACTAAAAGTCTTTTATGATTTTAGATTTTGCTTCTAGAATATAACACAATTTCATTCCTCAAAAATGTAAGCCGGCAGGTATTTGATGAAATCCTTCATTTATTGATAACACAAAAATAGAGAAAGATATAATGAGAGAAGTGATTTGAGTTTCTTTCATTACAGTAATTTTTTCACAACTTATAATTTCACAACTTTTATTTTTTTAAGGGTAAGCTGACCACCATTAGCTGGTCCCCTCAGCAGGTAGACCTAGTGTTGAGTGCTGATGACAAGGGGGACATTGTGTCCTGGCAGTACTTAGAGGGCAGACTTCAAACCTTTAGTCCAGAGAATGCGGGAGTTATGTGTCTTGCATGTTCACCAATAACTGCCGGGACAGTTGCTGTTGGGTAAGTGTTCTGTCCACATTTTTTTTTTTTTTTTTAATTCATCAATAAATTTATCAATTCAAATGAAGGTTTTGTCGTATGTTTGAGATCAGAGGATACTATTCTCAGTACATATATGTTCCATGTACTCTTGGAATATATGTCATTACATTAAAACAAAGTTGAAGGCTTGCAGAAAGCTATTTAGAAGTTTCAGGTGTAAAAACCTGACCAGTCTCTGGGCTGATTTCTGTCGTTTGAAGGTTACAGAGGAGCTAAACCCATATTCTGAGCCTGTCAGTTTTACTGTTCTGCTGCCTTCAATTCCTTTGATCTTCACCAAAGACATATCAGACTGGTCAATTTGTTCAAAGGTTGGAGAGAAGATATGTTTATCGTAGATTTTAAATTGAATAATGTGGTAATAAGACTGAAACTGTCAACACAAATTTTTCCACATTTGCATATCCATTGGTGTACAATTCCACAATCATGACATCAGTAGATTTGATGTAAGAGCTAATAACATTTTGATGTTTAGTATGAAGATGTAGGTTTGGGTAGTGCACGTTTTTTAAAAATATTTCTGCAGGCTACACTCTGAATATGAAATTCCACACCCCAGACACATCAAAATACATATATATTCAAATTAACTGCATGTTCATACCTGGTATATGTTTAATGTGATGTTCTGAACACTTGAAACACAATTTTTTTAAGAAGTTTCATATCTATAAAATTCAAGTTTAACCCTTGTGTTGTAAAATAATATCTGTTAATTCTGATATTTTAGGTACAAGACTGGCTTGATTCTGGTACTAGATGTGAAGAGAGAGGGTCAGATTTTGCAGCGACTGCGGGGGCATGATGAAGACGTTCAGTGCCTAGTTTGGTGTCCTGTCCCTGGGGAGAATTTCAAACCTCCCAAACCAGAGTACAGAGATCTGGATGACCCCGTCAGTGCAGGTAGGTGTTTTATCAGTACTGTATTACTACAACATCTTGAAGGAAGTATCAATGGCTTGTGATGGAATAATACATGTGATCCACAATATCAAGTTCTGTTTGCATGTAATATTTGGAAAGATTGGTATCATCTGAAACTTGACCATATTCATATGATCCAAGCTATTTTGAAGATGTTAAACCTGAGAAAAAAGAATGTGTTGTGAAATGGAGCCTTTGGATCTATGTATGTTAGATCTGTCAGCAGGGTTATTAACTTAAGTGTGTATCATTTATCTTACAAGTAGCCCATGGTGAAATTTGTCTCCTGTCTGTTCCTTGTTTAGGGTCTTTTTGTGATTGGACTATTGTTGGTGTTGTCTTTTATCAATTAATTTCATTACATGTCGGTGTTAAAATGGCCATTGACAGACCATTGACAGGAACATTTGCTGTACAGGCTTCATATGCAGTATATCATGGTTATACAGTCACAATTTGTTTTGTTTGACTAACCAAATGCCATGTTACATAAAAAATAAATTATGATAAAATGTTTTAAGGCTTAAGTGCAAAATAATAAATCTCTTCAAATAGTCACTGTGCTACAAAATGTTCCTTTGATTTCGTAACTTTGAAACTATCATCTCATAATATTTTTATGGATAAGAAATTATGACATCTTTTAGTAGAAAAAAAGAATTGACTTAAAACATATGTTCATATTTTCAATGCCATTCCTCTGAATATTTATAATTGGTATATAAAGTAAGAATGACCTGTTGATGTTGTTGTGTTCTAGTTGAAGTGGTGGACAACAATCCAGCTTCAGCGGAGGAAGATGATGTAGACTTTGGTACGGATGGCCACCTTCTAGCATCTGGTAGCAAAGACAAGACTATTCGTATCTGGAGCACTGACAGGGGCAGACAACTCTTACAGCTAAAGGTTGGAAAGTCTGGAGGTAGAGATCAAGGGAACGAGTATGGTGGTGGAAAAATGTGGACCACCTTTGTATGGCTGAGAAATAATCCTCGTCACCTGATCTCTAGCTCAGCAGGGTAAGTTAAATCTTTCAATGTATGCATGACAAACTGTAGGGTCCCTTTCCTGAGTCAATGATTTTCTGCAATTTTGCTCTAAATGAATTTATTGAGTTGATAAGCTGTCAAGAACCCTCCACAAATGTATGATAGGTCTGTGATATTCAACTTTCTGAAGTAATCTCTTTTTTTAGTCCATGACATTCCAACCCTTTTAATAAAACTCCCTAGTAATCTCTATTTAACTACAATCAACCATAATATTTTCACCCCACCAAGTTCATACCCTCCAATCGTTTAAAACAAAATTGTTCTGTGTTGAATTTTGTCACATATAGTTAACCGTGTCGCTTATTATACATGTATATATTGTGTAATAACTTTTGCTTTGAGTTAAATTTGCTATGTCATTTAAGGTCATTGGAGTGTATCGATTAACGGAAACAGGAAGTACATCCCTAGTTGAAAATCCAATGTAGGGAGACAGTATCACAATTTCCGCAAATTCTAATGTTTAATATTAAACTGATGAATATTGTATGTTTATTATTGACATAACAGTGTGTTCACTCAATATTAAAGTATTTCAAAGCAATCCAGGCATTAATTCAGGTGTTTTTTTTATCAATGAGTCACATGTGTCCATTTTTCTGTACTTCAGGAAACCGGCTACCTATTTCACTACTGTGAAGTTTTTCAAGAACGATAACTCTTACCTGCAATTACTATGTGTATATGGTTTTATTATAAAATGTCAATTTTTATATCGTGTATAGAGAATTGATTTTACACAATTTCAGCATTAATTAAATTGATATACATTAATGCAATACTAATATATGTCCATATAATTTTTATTGACATTATTTTGTGAAAATATTGTGTCTTTCATTTTTTTTCCAAAATTCACTCCTTTCTACATAAATTTCCATTTAAAATCCTTAAAATTCTGACAACCTATATTTTTTTTGTGGCAGAATTTTTTCTTTACTTTAAAGCAATATAACTACAAAATTTGAAGAAATTCTACTGAGAAATGGCGACACAATCCTATTACCTTAAGGGCATCAAGTGTGGAAATATTAAGGGGTGAATTTTGTTTATAGCTAAGGTCTGAAAATTCTGTTATAATCCTTCCATAAATTCACAACATTCTTTTGAATGTTTTCCTGAAACCCGTGACATTTTCTGGTATCCCTCTATAAATCGGCAACATTGGTTGGTAATACTTCAGTTAACGCAGTAAGTTTTTGTTTGTCCTTACTTAAATCTACAACATTACTATTCCCATGAGTCCTTCCCAAATCCAAGAATGTGAACTTCTGAATGGTGACATATATTTGTTGAAAAAAATGATACACTAAAATATGCTTATAAGCACACTAATCCTGACTCATATTTAAAATTGAGCCATGGTCCTTTCCTTTGGCAAGGAATGGTTTCATGAAGGGAGATTGGATGTGAATATATTTCACTGTGTTTGTGTTTGGATTGGACTGACTTAATCCTTTTCTTACAGCGGAGATCTGCTTAAATGGGACATTACATCACCAACCCAGCAGAAAAGTAAGCCATTCTGTGCCGAGCACAAAAAGGGAGGTCACTATCGTATGGTATTCAACCTACATCTGGCAGGGCCTGCAGACAGCTATCTGTGTTCTATGTCAATGGACAGACAGGTATGTATAGGGTATTCTCAACCCTGTAAGATCTGAAGTATGATATGTAATCTATGTTCTCTTCCATTTTATTTTTCCTTCATTTAAGGATTAACTTGAATATATTTTTCATGTTATGGAGATATAACCCAAAAAAACGGAGTGTACTCTAAATAAACCGCTTTGCGGTTTATGATGAGAGTACACTCCGGTTTTTTGTGTTATAGCTCCATAACATGAAAAATATATTCAAGTTAATCCTTATAATTTAATCTACTTTACACAATCCCTGTGGAAATCCACTTTTATTGATGGACTCTTTTCTCTTAGAAATTATTGTGCTGCTTATCAGCCAATCAAAAGCAACGTTACAAACGGCGAAGACATTTTTTTACGTTATGGGCCGATAACATAATTCTTTAAGCCAATGAAAAAGCGTACAAGCATGATTAAATTATTACACTTTAACAAGATGGCAGATTTAGAACCGTCTATGATTTTGAAAATTTGTAAGGTGCTTCTGGTATGTAATCTGAATGATAATTGAAAAATCAGATTAGTTTTAAAGCACTACTAATGTTTTTCTCTTGTTGTGAAATTATGTTGGTTCGACTTCAATATGGACTTCAGTAAATAATCAATTGCACGGATTGTAAAATACATTATGTATATACAAATTGCTATGACTATTGTTATCACTGCACAAAATTAAGTTATATATTTGTTTTTCTTCATCCTTGAAAACTCTGTAGGTTATGCTTACTCTGATCTGCACCCCTGGAATATGTCATGACAAAACCAAAGGCACACAGTTAGCTTTCCATTGGGTCCCAGTAGAACAACCTAACCAATAGCTAGGATGTTACTTGTCCATTGAATTTACCATTATGCTACTGTGCAGTCCTTTTGAAGTACATCCAAGGATCAAACAAGTCTACTTGTCTCATCCATAAGGTGTCGTGTACAGAGCCTTCAATTTCATCATGACATACTCTGGGGGTGAATGGAATGAGCTTAACCCTGGAATTTTTAAATGTTTTTTCTTATGCTAGTGTATTTTTTAGAATATTTATGTTCGTAACGCATATTGGAAATCTTGATTATAACTGATGTAAAGGTGTGTTCCTGGCCTGTATACATGGTGATATACAATTTGTCCTGCTTATTTTATAGGTGATTGTGTGGAACACTGACTCTGGATCACTGTTTGGGGTCCTACCCACGTTTGGGGGGTTTGTTTACGTTGCCAAGTCCTCACCTGTAGATCCAGGTAAGTTGTACACCCAAGAAGTCTTCCAACACGGTTTTTAGCTCACCTGGCACAAAGTGCCAAGTGAGCTTATGCCGTGGCGCGGCGTCCGTCGTCCGTCCGTCCGTCGTCCGGCGTCAATATTTTACCATAAACGACTTCTTTTTAATAACCGAAAAGTCTGGGGTGTCGATATTTGCCCAGAAGCAAACTTGGATGAAGTGCTTCAAAGTTTGTTCAAATGAATGACCTTCACCCATATTCAAGGTCACGGGGGTCAAATATGCTTAAAACTTCAAACAACTTCTGAATAACCAAAATGCCCAGGGTAATGATATTTGGCCAGTAGCATGCTGGGATGAAGGGCTACAAAGTTTGTTCAAATAAATGACCTTCACCCATATTCAGGGTAACAGGGGTCAAATATGTTTAAAACTTTAAACAACTTCTTCTGAATAACCAAAATGCCCAGGGTAATGATATTTGGCCAGTAGCTAGCCGAGATGAAGGGATACAAAGTTTGTTCAAATGCATGACCTTCCCCCAAATTCAAGGTCACGGGGGTCAAATATGCTTAAAACTTCAAACAACTTCTGAATAACCAAAATGCCCAGGGTAATGATATTTGGCCAGTAGCATGCTGAGATGAAGGGGTACAAAGTTTGTTCAAATGCATGACCTTCACCCAAATTCAAGGTCACGGGGCTCAAATATGTTTAAAACTTCAAACAACTTCTGAATAACCAAAATGCCCAGGGTGATGATATTTGGCCAGTAGCATGCTGGGATGAAGGGCTACAAAGTTTGTTCAAATGCATGACCTTCACCCAAATTCAAGGTCACGGGGGTCAAATATGTTTAAAACTTCAAACAACTTCTGAATAACCAAAATGCCCAGGGTGATGATATTTAGTCAGTAGCATACTAGGATCAAGGGCTACCAAGTTTGTATAAATGTATGACCTTGAATCATATTCAAGGTCACAAGGAGCAAATATGTTCAAAATATTTCAACAACTTGTTCTGAATAACCAAAAGGCTCAGGATGTTGATATTTAGTCAGTAGTATATGCTGGGATCAAGTACTACTTTGTTTGTTAAAGTGAATGACTTTTACTTATATTCAAGGTCACAGGGGTCAAATTTGTTTAAAACCTTTAAACAACCTCTTCTGAATAACCATGGGTCCCAGGACGTTTATACTTTGCAAGTTGCATCCTGAGATGAAAGGCTATATAATGTGTTCAACATAATGACTTTGTTCGACTTTCAATCACAGGGGTGAAATGTTAAAAAAAAAATAACGGTCTTTTGAATGAATTTTAATCATAAATACTGATATTTTGCCTGTAGCTTTATTTTAGATCACTTTTAAGGTTACAAGTGTGAGTTTTATACCAGGTGAGCGATGCAGGCCCATTGGGCCTCTTGTTTGTATACAAAATACCATCCTGCAGGATAAATTGAATGATTTTGACCAAATTAATGCTGTTTGCCAAATCAATTCACTTAAAAGATTTGCTTTTGAAGTCTGAAACCATACATATTGTTCAGTGAACCAAGGGTTGATGTTTTGACTAATTTACAGGAAGAATGGCAGTGGGGGTCGGAGACAGTATGATACGTCTATGGAACCTCAATAATACCAACAATCTCACGGACATCAAGAATCTGTGGCAAGGAATCAAGACCAAAGTCACAGCAGTAAGTGAAACCTGCCTCAAAAACAACCTTTCTATAAAGACCACCTGCCTTAAGAATATCTTGGGGAGATGTTTGATATACCGTAACAACCTTTCTATAAAGACCACCTGCCTTAAGAATATCTTGGGGAGATGTTTAATATACCGTAACAACCTTTCTATAAAGACCACCTGCCTTAACCTTTTCACCACTGTGGACCATAATGGACTCATCCAGATCAATGTGTGGTAGAGTTTACTAAAGTTACATAGGGGTGAAAGGGCCTTTCTAAAAGACCACCTGCCTTAAGAATATCCCAAAGATATTTGGTATACTGTCGCAACCTTTCTACAAAGACCACCTGCCTTAAGAAAATCCTTTTATTTTTATTTCCTCCTTTGAAGGTCTCTATTAACAGGTTTGTCTAGATCTGTAGTAAATTCATTCTCTAATTTATAACATGAGAGTGTTTTAAAAACGTTTTCAATTATGTGCCTCCTAACACATAACATCTAATCACTTGTTTTCTTTTGCTTAACCCTATATACATGTTACTGGGTTGATGGTCAGTTAAATTCCATCACATTCTACATCTCTATGAATTGTGTATGATACAGCTATGTTGGCATCCCGTGAAGGAAGCTCTGTTGGCGTATGGGACTGACGATGGGCGAGTGGGTGTGTACGACACATTGTCAAACAGGTTGGTCAGATTCCTACTCGTAGCTTATCATTGTTCACGCGAGAAATATATGTCTTTTAATTGTCCAGAATTTGTGTGAATGATTCAGGTACTTTATATTCCTGTTCATTAAACAAGTTAACATTAAGAATGTTTTATTCAATACTTAATGAAATAATTGCAGGAAACTCTTGTCCGCACACCTATCAAGTCATCTGCATTTTTATGGAAATTCAGATTTTAACTTGCACACTTTGTGTGTCCTGATAAGTCATTTAAATTTATGATTGGCTTTCATGACCTGGAAATGGAATGTCCAGGGAAACTTCTAGCATGTTAGTTTTCTCGGTATAAAACTATTTTAGAAAGAAATTAAAAGTGATAAATAAGATGTCATAAGAAACTTGTACACGGTATCGACAGTTTATCCAGTCATGTGTGTCATTGCTGTCTCCTCAGTCTTTTCATGCTTGAAGCCCATGATTACCTGTTACATATTACATCTTCAGACATCCCAACATTTCCTCCACCTACCATAAGCGGACAGTGTATGTGGTGACGTGGGGTCCCAGCTGTTCACACCAAGGCAAGTCTTATCATTTTCTTTATTTTGTTGAGACATATGGTGATGTTTTGATTCTAATTGTATTAGCAACAAATACATTTAAACATATCTTTCATATACAGATAAAGATAAAGCTATCATTTCAACTTAATGAGATCAAATATTTTTATAGAGTTTTAAGGAGGCACATAGTGGTAGGATGCCGGGCCCCTGACCAAAGGGTTGCAGGTTTGTGTCACCTCAAGGCACTGTGTTGTATCTTTGAACAAGATACTTCACTCCACTTGTTCCAGTCTACTCAGCTGTAAATGAGTATGAGGTTGGGTAGTGCTAGAATTGTAGAATGCTAGCTGTGAGCGCCGAAATGGCAGCACCAGATGTATGCTCCCCAGGGAGTTGAGAAAGATATTGGCTGGTTGCAATGGCTCTATAACCACGGATAATAGCTTGTGAACCGCTTTGAGACGACCTACAAACTAGCTTTTGATAAAGCGGTATATAAGAACCTTGAATAATAATAATAATAATAATAATAATTATTATTATTATAGATAAAAACATTTTCACCAAAGTTGACATAACATGAAATGCAACTGGAATACATACAATAAAAGATAAAGAATTACATTTACAAAGGACTGTAACTGGGTCATAACATTGGTTCATAAACAAATCACTTTTCATCACTATAAAATCTAATATTTCATCAATAATTATATCATAATGAATTCAATTGCTGCTGTTTGTAAAATATTTCCAAATAATTAGTTTTACTTAAATAATCCATGTATTTATGTACCAATATTCACTGTCAGGATAAATTTACCTTCCTGAGGGGGGGCGAAAAAAGCAAAAGTTACCTGCAGCAAAAACTTCCCAAGTATACAGTATTAAATTTCCGATGTATGTTTGTAATTGAGCTTATATATTTGGCAAAGAAAACTGCCAATCACCTTCATGTGAATGTTGTCCAGTCATCTTTACTTTGAATTTTGATTACTTTTTTGTGCAAGTCTACTGGAATTCATCCACGAAGGACTCCAACATACCCTGCCTCCAGCACACATATACACAAGCACGCATATATTACACGCATGGAAGCATGTCTTTAATTGACCATAGCTGTTCATAGGACGTTACCCCCCCCCCCCCCCCCCCCCCCCCCCCCCCCCTTGGAACTAATGGAACGCTGATGCTGGATCTAATTTGCTTTGTAAAGATTAAAACTGTGTATGCTGACATCAGTACCTATGTAGACTGCTAACCAATCTGTTGACCTTTAACCTTCAGATGATGTATCGGGTGGCTACAGTCTGTACAGTATCGGGGATGGTGTTATCCTGGAACACGACGTCTATAACCTACAGGAGGAGGCCAGTGACGTCAACTCACTCATACAGCAAACTAATGGCAAAAAGGTAACTTCAGGGTCAGTCTATAGGTTCAAGGTCTAAAACATATGACAGGCGCTATAGTGATAGTGACCAAGGTCAAACAGTAGTTAGAGAACAAAAATCATTGTATATTGAAGGTAAGAAAGAGGTAGAGGAGATAATGAAGAAGGTTGTTCAGAATTTAAAAAAACCCCACTCAAAGGTCAATGAAGGCTCTTTATCATGGAGTAGTTACAGACAATAATACAAGGGTCAAGGTAGGTTCAAGGTCATACAGGGTTTGAAAAGATGATAACAAGGTCAATTTAAGTTTAGTTTAAACTTACTTTTATTCAAGTTTTTCAATTTTATATAAAAACACTATATATATAAGACATGTTGTAACAAAAAAGTATGGTTCAAAATAGGAAATAGAAACAAGTGTCTCAGACAATGTAGGTTTAAGATCATACAGAAGTTAGAGAATGGCATGCAATGGTCAATATAAGCTGAAATAATAAAGAGGTAAGAGTAAACATATAGTATAAGGGTCAATAGAGATTCAATGTCATACAGAGGATAAAAATGACCAATGCAAATGTCAATGTTCTAGGTCACATAAAGATAGAAACGATCATACAAGGGTGAATGTAAGCTCAAAGGTCAAACAAGTTAGATAATGTAATGCAAGAATCCATGTAGGCTCAAAAGCCATACAGAGGTTAAAGAATTATGCAATGGTCACTGTAAGTTCATGGTCACACAGAGGTTTGAGAAGCCTTTCCTTTGATGGTTCAAATTCACAACGACCTGTAGTAGGTAACACGGTTGAGTTTTTCAGTGCTAAAGTGCTAAAATATTTATTTTGTTTAAAAACGATTCCAGGTCAAGTTACCAGTGCGCAGTGAGATCAGCTGGAGTCCAGACTTTTCTTTTGTTGCTATTGGCAATGATGATGGGTAAGAGCATTCCTTCTTTATGCTAATTCAGATATTTTGCTGCTTTCCTCAGCCATGGCAAATCACTAGATCTGTTTAATTAAACATACATGTACATTCATACATGTGTGTATTGCTGTTGATGTTTTGTTAATATAGCAATATCTTAATACCAAATGTTAATGATAACAGTGATTCATAAAGCACAATCTCATTCACAGTCAATGGGAGTTTAAGTCATTCTTAGATCATGTATTTACATATCTAAGCAAAGAAAATCGATAAACAGAGTTTTAGAAAGAAAAAAAAAATAGTATGGCAAAAGTAAAGATATATTTGTTTTCCTACAGAATCTCAAATTTATCAGAGTCTACATAATCAAGTTTTATCACTTATAATTGTATTGGCTTTATATTGGCAGCTATGCTCCGAGCAGAAATCGCAAATAAAAAGTTTGTTTTTTATTCGCAAAGTTGTGTCTGCTCTTGTTGATTGCTATATGTTGAGCACATTAAGCATATGATAAAGTTTAAATGTATATCCTAAATAACACCTAAGTTATTTTAGTATACATCTGTATTATATTTTCTTTAAAGGTCAGTGGAAATTTACAAGCCCCCAAATTTTCGTCTGGTTGCCACTGTCCATATTCATAAAAAGTTGATCAACTGTATTCAATGGCATCCCCACATCACCATGGCTTCACCAGGTGGCTCCCCCTACATGTACTGGATAGCCACAGCATCAAACGAGGCGGGAGTCTATGTAGTAAACCTGTCTTCTCTCCTGGACAAAGGTAACACTGATGTTTCATTTCCAGTCTGTAGCTATGCTCAATGCATTGTTAAAATATAGATAAAAATATAGTGACTCGATCTGGAGAAAAAATAATTACACGTCAACTGTTTTACTCACCAATGTTCAACTTTCTTACCATGTAAAACCAATTTGCAAAGTGTCAAGTTTGTATACTTACCAGTATGGCTTTTCCTAATGTGGTCTTTTGAAACTGTTTTATGTCAAGTCGTAGAGTAAATTCAACATATGGCGAATATATATTTTGGATGGTGCCAGAGCAAGAAAACTTAGTGGGGCAAAAGAATTACAGTTTTTAGTATAGTAGTTACGTAGGAACACTGTCCAGTTTGTTTGTTTAAAGTGCATAGATATATAGACTATATTCTGTTACATAGTGAACGGCATTATATTAAAGGTTTCAATGAAAAGGTGTTCTTGAAATTGGACCATGATGCCCAAATGTTATTCCAGTGAAGTAACTGAAGAAAGGAAAATGGTATCTGAAACTAATACAGAAATGTTACTGAAATGATTATATTGTTATACTGTATTTTCTGTATTTTTGAGCAGGAAATTGAAGAAAGTATTCTGCATCGTCACACTCTTCAGTATTAGATTTACCTCCCCTTGGCTATTCACTTCAAGATTATCCATTTTATAACCTTTGGAGAGACTTCATTGGCATAGTGGTATTAAATACTGTTGGCGTTTTTCATGAAGATTGTTTGAACTTATTGAAAGAGAAGAGATAGGGTGGGGGCATTATCAGCAGTTAAATATGGATAATATTCAATGCCGGTAAAATGGACTTGGCTGCTATTATTCAAATGTCATAATTGGTTGATGAGAACAAAGGCACTGAAGCTTGATTGTCATTAAATAACCAAAAACCAGAAAATGGTATTAAATCTTCAACTTACAGTTGGAGACCTAGTGGCCGAACCTGTGGTAGTGTCCGAATCCAAGCAATGTCTCCTCGGCCACGTGGACAGAGTGACCGGTGTTGCCTGGAGTCCCCACATTGATCAACACCTAGCCACAGTTTCGTATGATGGTCAAGCACTGGTCAGTATGTGTTTAAACTTATATTGTTTTTATCATTTTTTTAAACTTTTACAAGCAATATGTTGATAAGTTGATAAGTATTTTGTGATTTCTGTTTAGGAATGCATATGTATTTTAAAGTGACCTTGACTTTACCAAAAGGTTTGGGATGTGGATAAGAACGAGATGCTGGCTTGTTACCAAGGTCACAGTGGGAGACTACTCTGTGTGCAGTGGAACGGTCTACATGACGATCTGGTCATAACTGGAGCAGACGACTTCTCTCTCCACCAGTGGCGACCTTCGCTTCACATCCCAAATCCAGAAAATGGTCAGTGACTTGATGAATAAGTCTATCCATGCTGAAAATACAATAGAACCAAGTTATCTCAAACTTAGTTCAGTTTCCTACCCCCAAATCTCAACATTCATTTAAATCAAACTCAAGTCAGTTACCTCAAAACACAAACACTCAAACTCAGACTAGTCGTTGACTCCAAAACTCGAACACTCAGTTATCTTAAACTCAAATGGAGTGAATAACCCAAAGTATGAACTTTCTGTAAGCAGAATGACTGAAATTAAAATCATGGGAATACTTTATCCTATCTGGTTTTTTTAATATGACTTTATCCCGACCTCAGTTACTCTGCATCCAGACTTAAAAGTATGATCAGTGGTTTGATTAACAATATAGATCATTGCTGAAGATATTTCATTTCCAGTATGTTACTCTGTTAAATGTATTACCTTCAAATGGTAGGACTTTCACATATTGTTATTTCCTATCTTTTCTGATAAATGGGGAAGATCGAATTTTCAGTATAATCCTTTTTTATATGTAGATTAATCACTTAAAGTTCTTGTTTGAAAAGGTAAGTCTACCTTTACATAAAAACAATCTGACATTTTAATTTTAATATGGTAAATAACAACTCCACAGTGAAGTTGTGAAGTAGAGTATAATTTGTAAGTGATAAGTATTGAGGTTTTACAGGAAGACATGTGATGTCTCCCTATTCAGTAAGGAGTCCCCTTATATTTTACCTTGAATGATTGAACCACACTCTAAAGAATCAGAATCTCCCTACAACTGGTTGTTGTGTTTTATTTATTTTAGCTGGAAGACAGAGAAAACAGAAGCACAACAAGAAAAAGTCAAAGAAAAGTTCCACTGTTAGTAATATGGATACTAATACCAACGCCAATCCAGGGCCTGTCGATTTATCTCTGACGACAGAAGACCAGGATGGCCTGGAGAAAATCCTGGAAGAGAAACGTCGACAACTTCTTGAGAAGGACACAACAGTGTTACTTGAAGAGACAGATAAGACAGGTAGGGACAGGGTGCTTCATTACATTAACCATAGTTATTAGTAATCTGTTCTCAACATTTTAATCAAGCCATATTTATATATGTCGTTCATAACAACCCCCTGGATGGTCAGGAACCACTAGTCTCAATCATGGAACCTGTTTCCTACGTCAGAACCAAATGATATACTAAGATTAACATGCTGCTTTACATGGTTGTCCAGACCATACTGCCTCAATTTCATCTTAAGGGAGTAAGGATGGTCACAAAATTTCAGCTCCATTCGTAACTTTGTCAGCTGAATTTCAGTTTTCTTTTTCTCAGCATCTTATGTTAAGTAAGGTTGTTGATACTGTTTCTGCTGTTTCTCACCATCTTAGGTTAAGCAACAAATGGAATAAGTTGCTTCTAAGAAATTTAAACATATGTAATAGGGTTACCAATGGTGAATGGGTTGCAAAAACCAACAAGTGAATAGTTGGACATCTAATTATCCCATAGGAAGCCTGATGATTGCCTGGATTAGGCTTACTGAATATCCATTGATCCAACAATGCATGTCTTGAGCTGTTAAGCGCTGTTTTTTTAACTTGATGATTAAGATTAACCAAGAGATGTCACTGGTAAAGTCCAAAATCAGGAAATATTATAAAAGAAAAGGGTGGGGTGTAGCAGAAGGCAAAGCAACCCATAATAACTGTTGGTGATCCTGGTTACAGGAGGTGAAGTTAAAGGTCATTCTATAACACTAGGGCTTTTTCTCACTATTTCGGGAATGGGGCCCCCAAACAGGACCTAGACTCTCTGAACACCATACTGTCGGGTGAACATGGTTAAAAGAAGTGAAGAGCATATTCTGTGACACCATACATGATACTGGATCAGGTGGACTTGTTTTAAGGATGAAGGTCATACTATATGACACTGTTTTGGCTAATGGACTTGGTTAGATGTTGAGGTCATACATTTTGACATCATTCTAAGTGTTGCATTTTGTAATAAGCATGAAGATATGATAATACAACATCATAATGGCAGATTATGTCAACATATCATTGTACTGATTCAAGATGAAGGTCATGCTATTTGTCATTGTACTGCTGAACTTGATTCAAGGTGAAGGTCATGCTATTTGCCTTTGTACTGCTGAAATTGGATCAAGGTGAAGGTCATGCTATTTGTCATTGTACTGCTGAACTTGATTCAAGGTTAAGGTCATGATATATATAATTGTACTGCTGAACTTGATTCAAGATGAAGGTCATGCTATATATAATTGTACTGCTGAACTTGATTCAAGGTGAAGGTCATGCTATTTGCCATTGTACTGCTGAAATTGATTCAAGGTGAAGGTTATGCTATTTGTCATTGTACTGCTGAACTTAATTCAAGGTTAAGGTCATGCTATATATAATTGTACTGCTGAACTTGATTCAAGGTGAAGGTCATGCTATATGTCTTGTACTGCTGAACTTGATTTTGATTCAAGGTGAAGGTCATGCCATATGTCATTGTACTGCTGAACTTGATTGAAGGTGAAGGTCATGCTATACGTCACTGTACTGCTGAACTTGGTTCAAGGTGAAGGTCATGCTAGATGACATCAAACTGGTGAATTTGGTTACAAAAGATGAAGGCCATAATCTTTGACACAATATTGTTTGATGAACTTAATCAGTACCTGAAGTAGTTACAAAAGAAGGTCATATTCTATACATATATATGAGGAAACTATGGTATTTCTTATTGTTTGTAAGGTTGAGACGTTTTAAAGAATTTTTGGTAAAATAACTGCCACTTCAGTTTGGAATGAAAATGTGGTCATCAATTTTAATATTGGTTGTGTTGTGCTATTGATGTAAATCTCATTAAAAGTATTCTTGCTGATAAACATCTTAAACTGAAATCAATTTTGTTTTTGATGTAAAGTGGGTTGTTTACAGGCCATCTGGTACAGAAGGAAGTCCTTTTGATACATATTCAAGCTTGGATATAAACAAGGGTAATTTATGATAAAAGTTGAACACTTTAGCCCACTTTTCATTCTCTCCAAGGCAACAGCAAAAAGAACTAGTACCATGACCAAGGGCACCTGACAAAAACTCTGAATGGGAAACTTTGGCCAATAGGGCTGTCATAATTTGTTAAGTGCTTTCTAGTTTGTTCTTTGATCTTCAGGAATAAATCAGATCAATATGATTTTTTTGTTTTTATGCCACAGCAGTTTCCTTAGCTTGTGGTATAAGCTATTAAAAGATAAGAATAATTTGGTGAAAGATTTTATAGCGAAAAAGGAGTGTCGCTTAAATTTTTGATTATTCAATTGTATGGTTTTGTGTTATACAGAACAGATAAATGTAGCAAACCAATATTAATTTCATTATCAAAGGTAATGTAAATAATACAGTTATTGGAATTTTAGCAATAAGTTCTTATTTTTAGCTCTCCTGCCCAAAGGTAACCAAAAGGCCTAGGATGATGATATTTGGCCAGTAGCATCCTGGAATTAAGGGCTACCAAGTTTGTTCAAATGAATGACCTTCATCCATTTTCAAGGTCACAGGGGTCAAATATGTTAAAATCTTTGAACGACTTCTGAAGAACCAAGAGGCCTAGGGTGATGATATTTGGCCAGTAACATGCTGGGATGAATGGCTACCAAGTTTGTTCAAACAAATGACCTTCTCCCATTTCCATGGTCACAGGGGTCAAATATGTTTAAAACCTTTAAAGCAACTTATTCTCAATAACCAAACAGCCTTGGATGATGATATTTGGCCAGTAGCATCCTGGAGTCAAGGGCTACCAAGTTTGTTGAAATAAATGACCCTCATCCATTTTCAAGGTCACAGGGGTCAAATATGTTAAAATCTTTAAAGACTCCTTCTGAAGAACCAAGAGGCGTAGGGTGATGATATTTGGCCAGTGACATGCTGGGATAAAGAGCTACCAAGTTTGTTAAAACAAATGCCCTTCACCAATTTTCAACGTCACAGAGGTCAAATACCTTTAAAAACTTTAAAACTACTTCTTCTCAATAACCAAAAGGCCTTGGATGATAATATTTGGCCAGTAACACGTTTGGATGAAGGGCTACCAAATATGGTCAAATGAATGAGCTTCGCTCATATCCAAGGTCAAAGGGGTCAAACATGTTAAAATCTTTGAACGTCTTCTTCTGAATACAGAGAGGCCTAGGGTGATGATATTTGGCCAGTAACACGTTTGGATGAAGGGCTACCAAATATGTTCAAATGAATGAGCTTCGCTCATATCCAAGGTCAAAGGGGTCAAATATGTTAAAATCTTTGAACGTCTTCTTCTGAATAACAGAGAGGCCTAGGGTGATGATATTTGGCTTTTAGCATGGTGGAATGAAGGGCTACCAAGTTTGTTCAAACAAATGACCTTCACCCATTTTCAACGTCACAGAGGTCAAATATGTTTAAAAACTTTAAAACTACTTCTTCTCAATAACCAAGAGACTGACGGTTATAATATTTGGCCTGTAGCATGCTGGGATGAATCGCTACCACGTTTGTAAAAATGAATGACCTTGACAATTATTCAAGGTCACAATTTTCAAATATGTTTAAAACCTTTAAACAACATCTTTTCAACAACCAAAAGTCCTAGGATGATGTTGTTTGGCCAGTAGCATGCTAGGATGAAGGACTACCAAGTTTATTCAAACGAATGACCTCAACATATATTAAAGGTCACAGGGGTCAAATATGTTTCAAACCTTTAAAAGACCTCTTCTCAATAAGCAAAAGGCTAAGGGTGATGGTATTTGGCCATTAACATACTGGGATGAAGGACTACCAGGTTTTTTCAAATGAATGACCTTTGCCCATATGCAAGGTCACAGTGGTCAATATATGTTTAAATCTTTAAATGACTTGTTCTGTATAACCAAAAGGTCAAGGGTAATGATATTTTGCCAGAAGCATGCTTGGTTGGATGACTATACGCTCTGTTCAACCTTATGTCCTTGTTCGACATTCAAGGTCACAGGCGTCATATGTTTAAATTTTTGATAAGTTCTTATGAGTCAAACACTGATATTCTGCCTGTAGCTGTATTTTAGTCCACTTTAAAGATTATTTGTGAGATTAATACCAGGTGAGCAACTCAGGCCCATTGGGCCTCTTGTTTAAAGACTTCTGTTTAAATGAAATGGAAGTAATGCGATTCGACTTCATTGTTGGATGTTTTATAGCTTTGTGACATGCAGTTTAATATTGACGTAATAATCTATGCTATACATTTTTTGCACTATATAAACTTATTCTATAAATGCAGTTTGTGAATAGACAATTAATTTGGCTGATATTGGTATAGTTTGGATACTGTTTACAATGGGTGCCAGGAAACTTGCATAATCAATGACTGATTAGTTCCTCATTGTTTTCTCCACTCCCATCCTCCTGCATCTAAAACATATATTCATATTACAGGCATACAAGGGAGTGGCACAGCATCTAATGACCCTGTCGGGATTCCGTGTACCACTTCTTCCTCTGACAACAATACCACTGTCTCTACGGCAACCAATATAACAAACAATAAGGCAACCAGTGCTGCAGTAGTTGACCTTGCACAACCTGTGACCTTGGAAACAGGTCAAGAGTTCACCCAGAGGGAAGTCAGAGCATCAGCTGATTTTGACCGAACTAGGCCAGCAGGTGCGTATTGAAGATGAATATTTTTCATACATAATTTTCTGTCAGTATTGTTATTAGCTGACCTATTTTTCAATCGAGTTTAGACATTTGTTTTCAATTCGATCAAATTAAAAATTCCCCCCCCCCCCCCCCCCAAAAAAAAAGGAACTAAAACAGGTTTTATTTCTGGCAGATTCAAAAATAAGAAGTTTATTTCACGCCATTTTAATGCATGAAAGGCAACAGTTCCCAAATAACCAAGAAAGCCTCTTGTAAGCATCTTAACTTTGCAGTCAATAAAACAAATATACAATAAGGATCCCCATGCTACTGCTTGAAACTGTAACTATGTAGTTGACACTGATTTTTCTGGCATGACTAACACTTTAATAAATCCTTTCTGAAAAGAAAACCGTTCCTTACATTATTTGTTAATTAAAAGAAGGATAAAGATAAAATAAAACAAAAAAATAATCAACAACAGTGTTCCTTGTGTAAAAATTGAGCGAGCTAGACCAGGATTCCAGTGCTAGATTCCAGTGCTAGACATTCCGTTGTTATAATGTTGCTCTAACCATCGGAGCTTCCTGGTCAGTGTAAGTGCTTAGACCGAAATGAAGGGCAGGGTAAATTAAGTAATTCAATTAGCTGATTTACCCATATGATACGCAATCTACTTCGTTGGATGTTGGATGGTATTGCTCAAAATTATATATGTACTTGATTGTGTAAAGCATTCTAGTTCCTGATCTTTCCCTGGTACTAAATTAGTAGACCTTAAGATTTCATTTGTCTGTATTTCTGTCTTTCCTTCCCAGGAGTTTGTTTGGGACAAATCTATAATAATTCGCTTTGGCTTAGTACACAAGTTATAAGGATGGCAGAGTTACAAAACCAAATAAAGGTCACTGTGACCTAAATTTTGACACCTTGGGATGGCAGAGTGTCATACACCAAATATAGGTCACTGTAACCCTATATATTTTGACCTCTGACTTCAGTTAAGGACACAGTTAGTCTGGGGCATATCTCCTATACTATTGTATACTGGAAAACTTTCAACCAGTCAACTATTTGCCATTCACAGTGTTAATTTCACCCTTTTCCTTTTATTATACTCTATATCATATATGCTATGTACATGAACTTAACTTTGATGCCATAATAGATGCTCTTATTGGGAATGGTGAAAAATTGGAAAATTAAAATGCATTGAAAATTTCCTAGTTTACAGTATTTCAACAGAGGTTATTCCTAAATTTGGTCTACAGGTATATCTTGCAAGGGCACGTATTTTTCTGGGGTATATATCCTGAAGTGTTCACTTGGAATTGTGTGCAGGTACACAATGGGATGTGCAGTATGAGTCTTACAGTCACACATCATTTGGAAGACATTCTTATGTCCTAAAGACAAGCAGATGTCAAGATATCCCAATTTATGACATAATTACAGAACTGGCATTCAGTAAATACACCCATTCCATTTATATACCATATATCACAATGAGGGAATGCAGACCAAACCCAATTTGTACCACGTAGCAAGTAAACAGCATGTATACAATGTAGTTGTGTTCTGAAGAATGAGGCCTCCTTTAGGCAGAAACATGTCACACACTGGTTTTAAATTGAAGATCATACTGTTTCGAACAGAATCAAGAGGTGTTGTTACTCATTCTTTCTAATTCTATTTTAAAATTTGCATATGTTATTATATAATGTAGCAGACTTCTATATTACAGCATAACGGTACATTGAGACATTACATATACGGTAGAGCCAAGAAATGTTAAACTTCAAGAATGACAGGGAAATATTTGTTTTCCCTGTTTTGCAAATATTTGTTTAGTTAGGGAATTTGGGTCTTTTTTCTGATTAGATTTTAAAAACTTGTACACAAATATTTTATTTTAGCTCACCAGCGGCTCACTAAAATGAAATTTTTTAAACTTGTTTTATAAATCTTGTGTGAAATGGAAACTCATGAAAGATCAAAACCATCACCTGTTACATTTGCCTATTTATTAGCCTTGGTATGAGAAACCTATATTTTCATTTCTCAGTTGAATTGCTTCAATAACAATACAATTATTACATCAGTTTCCTTTAGTGTACAGCTCCTTCATGCCCAAAAGGTAAATTATTCAATTGTGTCACTTCATCAAACCATATCAGAAATATTGGTTGCTTGCAGCAGAACAGGTCAGCCAATAGCAAGATGTCTTCAGTGTTCTATGTGTCTCAGCAAAGTTTTTGTACATCTAGGTGATCCTGACAAAAGAACAGTAAATAAAGGAATCCTTACCACGGGCGGACTTGAGATTGCCTAGTGATTACTGTGAAAATGTGAAATTTTAGTGCTGAAAAATTAAGCAACAAAATGTGTAGAATATTTATCTGGTGAAGGGAAATGCTAGATAGCAAGCAAGAATTTTCCTGTGTATTTGGCAGACTTCCAGCAGATTATGAACCAGAAACAGTTGGTGTTTAATCTTATAGAATTGGACAAAACACTGTATAAATTGGGTAGAAATCAATACGTTCAAGCAGTTTCCTTTGTAATGCTTCATTTCTTACGCCTGTTGGGCTGTCGTTGACCAGATGTATAATGGTATGGCAAAAGCTGCCTGTAGTCCATTATAGCTTTTCTTTGTCTAGACCAAATATCATACACTATTTCATGTCAGGAGTCCAAACCTGATTCAAATTGACATCTAGGGAATTAGAAGTACAGTATAACATATTTACTTATTAGGTTATTTGGAGGAGTTGGGGGGGGNTGTTGTGGCCATACCTTATGTACTTTTTCCTGTAGAAACTAGATTTGTGATACAAAGAGATAAGTTCGGTAGGTTGAGCCATTATGTACCATAAAAATGTCATTGTGACCAAGCTACTTTACAGGAATAGTGAACGTAATAAGAAACTTATACTGGTATACACTATAGTTTATCATGTCACTTTAGCTCTCATCCTTAAAATTCCAGGGATTATGTTCAGTTACATTCCCTGCGCCCCTGGAATAATTGATCACAAAATCAAATGCATTCAGTAAGCAATTTCAAGTAAAAAAAACCTAACCAATTGCTAAGCTGTTACCTTTCCATTGATTACAGAAGAGTAACACCCAGTTTTACAGCCAGTCGTTTTTACCTCACCTGGCACGAAGTGCCAAGTGAGCTTATGCCGTGGCACAGCGTCCGTCGTCCGTCCGGTGTCCGTCGTCCGTCCGGTGTCCGTCCAAAATGCCCAGGGTAATGATATTTGGCCAGTAGCATGCTGAGATAAAGGACTACAAAGTTTGTTCAAATAAATGACCTTCACCTATATTCAAGGGTACAGGGGTCAAATATGTTTAAACAACTTCTTCTGAATAACCAGAATGTCAAGGGTGATGATAATTGGCCAGTAGCACGCTGAAATGAAGGGCTACAAAGTGTGTTGAAATGAATGACCTTCACCCCTATTCACGGTCACAGGGGTCAAAGTTGTTTAAAATCTTTAAACACCCTCTTCTGAATAACCAGAATGTCAAGGGTGATGATAGTTGGCCAGTAGCACGCTGAAATGAAGGGCTACAAAGTGTGTTGAAATGAATGACCTTCACCTATATTAAAGGGTACAGGGGTCAAATATGTTCAAAATATTTACAGAACGTGTTCTGAATCACCAAAAGGCTCAGGATGTTGATATTTAGTCAGTAGCATGCTGGGGTAAAGGGCTATCAAGTTTGTTCAAATAAATGACCTTCAACTATATTCAAGGGCACAGGGGTCAAATATGTCAAAAACTTAAAACAACTTCTTCTCAATAACCAAAATGCACAGGGCGATGATATTTGGCCAGTAGCACGCTGAAATGAAGGGCTACAAAGTGTGTTGAAATGAATGACCTTCACCTATATATAAGGTCACAGGGGTCAAATATGTCAAAAACTTAAAACAACTTCTTCTCAATAACCAAAATGCCCAAGGTGATGATATTTGGCCAGTAGAGTGCTGGGTTAACGGGCTATCAAGTTTGTTCAAATAAATGACCTTCACCTATATTCAAGGGTACAGGGGTCAAATATGTTCAAAATATTTACAGAACGTGTTCTGAATCACCAAAAGGCTCAGGATGTTGATATTTAGTCGGTAGCATGCTGGGATCAAGGACTACGATGTTTGTTGAAGTGAATGACTTTGACATATATTCAAGGTCACAGGGTCAAATATGTTAAAAACTTAAAACAACTTCTTCTCAATAACCAAAATGCACAGAGAGATTATATTTGGCCAATAGCATGCTGAGATGAAGGGCTACCAAGTTTGTTAAAATGTATGGCCTTGAATCATATTTAAGCTCACAAGGAGCAAATATGTTCAAAACTTTAAACAACTTCTTCTCAATAACCAAAATGCCCAGGGAGATGATATTTAGTCAGTAGCATACTTGGATCAAGGGCTACCAAGTTTGTTCAAATAAATGACCTTCACCCATTTTCAACGTCACAGAGGTCAAATATGTTTAAAATCTTTAATCAACCTCTTCTGAATAACCAAAATGCCCAGGGCGATGATATTTGGCCAGTAGAGCAGGGGTCAAATATGTTAAAAACATTCAACAACTTCTTCTGAACTACCAAGAGGTCTAGGTTTATGATATTTTGCCAGTTAGATGCTGGGATGAAGGGCTACCAAGTTTGTTTAAATGTAGGACCTTGAATCATATTTAAGGTCACAAGGAGCAAATATGTTCAAAATATTTAAAGAACGTGTTCTGAATAACCAAAAGGCTCAGGATGTTGATATTTAGTCAGTAGCATGCTGGGATCAAGGACTACGATGTTTGTTGAAGTGAATGACTTTGACTTATATTCAAGGTCACAGGGGTCAAATTTGTTTAAAATCTTTAAACAACCTCTTCTGAATAACCATGGGTCCCAGGATGTTGATACTTTGCAAGTTGCATCCTGAGATGAAAGACTATAACATTTGTTCAACATCATGACATTGTTCGACTTTCAATCACAGAGGT